GGGGGGGGTGTTGTTGGTTTGGAGGCCGTTGCGCATTCCTTGTTGCATCATGACGGTCGTCTTTCATGCTGTAACGATGGCGATAAGCGAGGTCATCGGTGATAGTAATACAACATCGAGACCTCACTTTGCTGTGACCCATGAGAGCAACCGGCTAAGCAGTCATCTCACATGAACAATGCCGCGTAGAATCCTTCTCCGCTCGATTCATGATGAATGCTGATTGTCTAATAGCGATGTTCGAGCTCATGTCAATCACGCATTCCTCCTTGAGGTCGTCCAACACGAAGGAGCACCACCACCGTCAAATATGCCCGGTGATGTGGTAATATCCGCGCAACCTGTGCCGACCAATCAATTCACGGCCAGGTGCCAATAGTGGACGTTGCGCTTCGACAAAGGTAGTCGGGACGCCGTCGCTCCTGCTATTGTATTCGCCCTAGCAAACAAGCTCAACACGATGGCAGCGCCGGCCCCTTCTGCTCGCCCAAAAGCACGTTCGCCTTTCGACAGAAAGAGCACCCTGACAGGGTATGCACAGCCTGCACAGATTTATTTTTCCACGGGAAACCTGATGATAAAATGGTGAAAATATCTTAAGTCTGGATATGGAAATAGTTTGGAAATCGGGCGGAGACAATTGAATTATGTTCAATTGCTTCACCGAAACATATCGGTATCACATATTTTTGGACTGAAAAATCTTCCTTTCGGAAATAGTTTCACTATTGCTGATACGTTTCGGTAAAACAATCGTAACATAATTTAATTGTCTCCGCCCAATTTCCAAACTGTTTCCATATCCAGACACAAGATATTTTCACCATTTTTTGCATCAGGTTTCCTGTGGAAAAATAAATCTATGCAGGCTGTGATGCCCGTTTGTCGAGAGTTCTTGTACCTCGTGTTCGTCGATGAGGCTACCGCCTAAGATGTCATCCAGGTACTGATGCTATGTTCCAATCTCGCACAGGTGAAAGTCAATGCTTTTCGAAGCCCGCGTAGTCACTGAGTGATAAAAAGCCAGTCAAAACATGCCATAGAATTATTTTGCATGGGATAACAAGTAGCAAAATTGTGGGAAAACCAATACAGTTATGCTTGGTCAGAATAAAACAAAAATGGAGGTACTGGAACTGTTCATCATGGAGGAATAACTCCGTGCATGCTGTGCTATTCATGAAGCATTTGAGGACAAGCCCAATGACGGGGCGCGAACAGAAGGCTTACTTAATGCACCTTAGGCACCGGGGCTCGACACGTGCGGCAGTGTCGCACGGACCCCGGAAGTGGCTCCCTCGCCGCAGTCCGTCCCTCGAGCACCGCAGCCCTTTGACCGATCGCTATGATGGTACATGTCCAGGCACTCCCCAGTCTGCCTCGAAATTATGATCTGTTCGTCATGTTCGCCATCTCCTGGTCTTTCAGAGTCGCACTGACGCCTGCTGTTCTCGCTCCTTCGTCCTACAGCGGCCCCGCGATAGTGACTCCACATATCGCCGCCACCCTCATCTCGTTAGCGCCATTCACTTGCATAAGCAGACGATCCTCGCTCGGCGAACCATTCGCGCTGCCGGGTTACTCTATCATCACCTCATATAAGCCAGAATGGCTTCTTTGAATCGGCTGAGCTATTTCTCCGCCATGAGTGAAGATGAGGATGTCGATTTGGAGGAAGGACAATGCGAGGGCGGGAAGATGGATGGGCGTACGCCCCTGGACAGGACAATTGACCGCATTGGCATGGGTGCGTCGCTACGCATCCTTGGCTCTGATGAACGCGCTGATGTTTTGAATTTCGCCGTTGGGTCTTCAGGATGGTACCAATGGACACTGCTGTCGCTATGTGGTTTCGGTCCGTTTCACTTTGATCGATGTTGTACCTCGTTCATGAGTTCAATGATTTTGTATAGGCTGGTTGGCAGATAATGTGAGTCCAACCACGAATCAAGCTGGACGGGCTTCTCAACGTCGGCCAGATGTGGATCCAAGCCATCGCGATCGTTCTTCCACGCGTCCAGCAGCATTTCTCAGGTGTGTTATACTTTTCAGCGCTTTCAAGAACTCTATGAGGTCTGTACGGTAGTGTGTTCCTTCAGCCAAGGCTAGCCGAGTACGCTGCAGTCCTGACTCTGGAATTCTTCCAAACTACGTATAGTTTCTCATAAACTTCTTTCTCTCATACACTTCCACTGCATAGAAATGTGTACTGATCAATTGGTAGTTCGCGATAGTTTCATTGGGACGTTGTCCTCCTCGATGTTTGCCGGCATGATGTTTGGTGCGGTAGGCTGGGGAACGTGTACGTCTCTTTGATGCTTGCCTTGCCATATAATCTGGACTCATTCTCATCTTGAAGGTTCCGACCTGATGGGTCGCACCACTGCGTTCAATGCTACGCTATTTCTCACGTCCTTATTCGGTGTCCTCGCCTCCTTCGCCAGCTCCTTTTTCTGGCTGTGTACATCGCTGTTCTTCCTCGGCAGCGCCGTCGGAGTAATGACGATCGCTCTACCCATAGTAATGATGCCGGTGCTGATGCTACCTCTTTCAGGGTTCGATGCCCACAGATGGCACGCTCCTGCTTGAACATATGCCGAACGGAAAACAGTACCTCGTGACTGCGCTTTCCGTGTTCTTCTCGTTCGGCTCTGTCCTGGCAGCCGTTGTCGGACTGCTCGTGATCCCAGGGAATTCATGTCCTCCAGCACCTGCATTCTGTGACGTGAACACACAAAATATGGGGTGGAAGTACTTGTTTTCCACGCTTGGTATCATAGTATGTGTCTCACTCATCGTGGCTACCTGTATGGTGAACGAGCTTCCCTCACATAGACCCTTTCCATGTTCCTCGCGCGGATTCTTTTCTTCCGCCTGCATGAGTCGCCGCGATATCTCGTGCATGCCGGTCGTCCTCAAGAGGCACTAGAGTCGTTGCAGATGATATCGAGATTTAACGGAGACGAACTATCCCTTGCTCTGGACGACGTCCAGGACCATATACCTGCTATCACGACCGGTGCTGAGACAGCGCAGGATGGACAAAGTTGTTCTCTGGCAAAGCACGGCCGATTTGATGTAGCGCGAGAAACTGATGTCTTGGTGTTTGACGCGGACACTCACGATGAGGACGCTGAAACAGTCCAGACTAGTAGCGAACAATCTCCGATTCCCTCCTTGAGCAGCCGCGATGGTCTGCGACAGACTATGTCTGACTTAGAGACGAAGACATACAGCTCAGTCGGCGAGTCTAATGTCCCGCTAGACTCTCACTCGTTTGGTGCACCTGCTGTCCTCGAGGAAACGCGTTGCTTGTCTTCGCATTCGACGCAATCCCGGCCTCGAAGCGAGGACGTAAAAGAAGATCTATCTCCGAGATCGTCCATGTCCGTATCACGAGCAACGCATACGCTTCCAGGGGACCCTTCATCGTTCACACGCCCGCGCTCGAGGATACGCGAGATCAACAATCAGCGGATGTCGGTGACCTCTTCGATGTACGAGGTCAGGCCGAAAATCTACTGGAAGCTCCCCCGGTGGCTGCGGAAGCCACTGTGGGCGTGGCTTGACCGCATCGGGATGGTACTCTCACCCGAATGGATGCGCACGACGCTGTTGGTATGGGCAGCATGGTTCGCTATGTCGCTAGGTACGTATGCATCTGTTGTTACAACAGGCTGTTTGTGAATCGTGGTTCCTGCAGCGTACACGATGTTCAACGTCTATCTGCCCAAGCTGCTGGAAGGCCGCTCTGGCTCGGATCCACTAGCTGCTCCAAGGAGCCTGCAGGACAGCCTGAAGGACATCGTTATATACGCTTTGGGGGGATGCCCTGGCGCTGTTGTAAGTCGCTTTCAGTCACAAAAATCGCCATGACATATCTGATTGTTATGTTGCAGCTGGGAGCATATCTCATCGATTCTCCACTCGGACGACGGTGGTCTCTCGCGGGAAGCACGTTCGTAACGGCATTCTTCTGTGCTGTCTTCGTGTTTGTCGAGCAATCGTGGGCGGTGCGGGCTAGCACTGTGGGCATCAGTTTAAGCGCGACGGTGAGTCGCCCCTCCTAAAATGTGAAGCATTTGCAGTGGTAACGTGTCTGATAGGCAATGTGGGCTGTCCTTTACGGGTACGTTGATCTTTTATTGTTATGGAAGTGTCAGCTGATGCGGACCATCCTCCAGCTGGACACCAGAGATTTTCGGCACGAAAGGTCGGTTTTCATGTGGTGCCTTATGCCATCGTTCTGAAAAGTCTTTTTAGTGCGAGGATCTGCCTGCGGTATCGCTTCGGCGCTTTCACGAATGTGCGTAGGCCGAATATGATATCTTTGATTGAGCGCTGATAGCGATTGCATTTTGTAGAGGTGGCATGATTGCCCCGATGCTGGGTGGATCCCTCCTCTCAGTCAACCAGTCAGTGCCTGTGTACACCAGCATAGCAATATTCTTGCTCGCTGGATTATGTGTACTGCTGTTACATGAAGACGAGCAAGAGCGCGGCAGCGAGTGCGTGATTGTGCATTGATTTGTACCGTGTAGCTTGTAGGATTTGCTTGTATATAGAGTGATATGTCTGATAGTGATCTGTTCACTTGTGTGCGATACCCGAATTTCTGCTTCACTGACCGCGCATCACTGCAGCAGTGTTCCCACTGGGCTGCTTCCCATCCTTTTTCAGGAGATGGGGGGAACTCTGTGCCACACCCGATCAAGCTCAAGTACTAGTGCTCGATCAAGATGACATCACACACGTTAAACTCCGCAATCTTATTTGAATACAGTAAGATTTCGGCGTTTGAAGTATGTCGGAGTACGAAAGTATGGCTGAATTGTGGCTGAGGTGGCTGATAGTAAGAAACACAATGTACTATCTTCTCTCACAACGAGCCCCTTAAACTTCCATAGGTGGATAAGGAGAAACCTGCCGCAAGTGTTCGGCGACCTTCAATAGGCAATATCGTGGCAAAGTACACGTGCCGTCGGTGCCGACGGTGCGTTGCGTCCAGCGCCACACGACGGGCGGCCCAACGCGCTTCACAAAACATTATACGTATTACTATTTCCATCTAAGCTCGTGACGTACTAGGGGTCTTCAGAATTCATGTTGTCCATCAACTGACATGATACTGAACACAGAGCAGCATTTTGACGGTCGACTAGGTGCTTGAAATTCGAATGTTCACGGGGCTATAGCGGCAACATCGTGGTGCTGGTGAATACTTACAACGATCTGCATGTTATGGACGTGCAAGCCCGCCTTCTAATATGACGCCGTACTCTCGATTTGTACATGAGCATGCTGCAAGTGGCGTGCTAAACCATTTCTCGTTACCTTGATACCCACTATGCCCGCTGATCTCTACAAAGTGACGACTTGAAGAAGTGTCAAGGCGGAGCCCCAAACGATAGCGTCTTAGTGCGTATTACCCGACACGTATCTCATCTGAATCGCATGGCTCAGTCGGTGGATTAGATACGCTCCTTGCGTGGAAAGCATCCGGCCCGCTATGAAACCGCAACCCGTTTAGAGGATACCGTCTGGATCTAACTATAATGAAAGAAATCTGCAGGTCCCGGTCTGGTCCCAACCCACGAACGTTGAACATCTTAACATGTGTATCCGACGACCTTCCTTATGCGAGATTTCTCTACGAACGAAACCTTGAATGTTCAAGTGCAACGTTCAAGTGCTTCCCGAGGCCAGATGATAACGAGCAAGAGGATCTCACATCCGTATTCGCACTCAAACGACGCAAGTTGATTTCGAAGAGATGACGCTTCATTTCCGATGTCTCACAGGCCGCCATAGCACCCCAACTCAATGATGCCATATGCGGGTTGCGCCGTCTCCGTCGCTGCATATTCGAATTTCGAACTGGCCTGGATCACATTTGAAATTTTGGAACATCTTGCATCTCGCCGCTCCTACTAGCCAATGCTCGAAAACAAGCACATCGATGTCTCTGACATCCGTGATCTTGACACTGATTCAGCTGAACGCCCCCAGAAGAAGCTGTCTGCCTTCATACTGTTAATGCAACAGTCGAAGAGTCAGAAGCGGTCCATCAATTTCTCTTGGTTGTCACATCAACATCAGTGACTCAGACACGCGTCCGCGTTGTGGAGGTGCCTCGATGCAGCTTGTTGATAGATTACACACCATGCATGCAACGCACCGTTGTCGCAAGTCGCAACCGCCTCCGGATTATATTTTTCGAGATTCACGAATCAAACATGAACCCTTCTCTTCTGTAAGGTCACCTAAGGGATTTGAATACCTCACGGTCCTCGCTATGCTATGCCATCTTAGTGTCGAGATCAGTTGTCCGTACGACATTAACGATGACTTGCGGCGAGACAAGATCGTCGAAGCATGAACATATTCACAAGACCTCACTCTTGGTATCAGACAGCTGTGGCAAGCCAAGTTTCACCACGCGCAATGCTCTCAGGGCTCGTCGAACTGATTCGCCGCCATCCAGATGTTGGGACAGTAGGACTGGTGCTCGACACCAAGTTACCAAACCCGGGCGCCGACTCCAACCAATGTCCTTGTCGCGGGATATCGACCGAGACCTTAAGCAACCTGCACCGTGGAAATTCTAAAATCGACGATCCGACCGCTTTGGCAAGCTTTTTGGTGGGCCTATTGACCGCTCCGGATTACTCATTCTATAGGACGTGACTATTCGAAGACAACGTGGCGCGGCGACCGACAGAGGAGGATCTTGAGATGTCTGACAAGTGGAACAAGGTAGAGAAATTGGTGAATGAGTTTGCGGCTATACTTCCACATGACTCCATCATAGTGAAAATGGCATCCTCGCTCTCTAGGCTCGGCATCCCTTCGCATTGCCTGTCACAGTACTTGCAAGTACACCCGGAAGAATGCCATCCCGACGAACACGCCTCACATGATGCATTTCTGAAGAAGCCCGGGCTGTTGCCGGTGCGTGGATCAGTTTTCGTACATCATGATGTAGGTGTTATACCGCTACGAAGCTTTGGTGGTCCCACCAGCGTCGCCGCTTCTCCTATAAAAACATTGTGCTTGTCCCAGCAAAGGGAAGTCTAGCCGCAATGGGCTTGGCAGATCAGTGCATCGATCTATGCAGCCTTCACGTTGTATTGAATCAATGACGGTCTCGTGCATATGTGAAGGGTGCCACGATGTCAAAGCATAATTGATGTTCCTGCTCGTGTTTGTGTTGTATGCGTGAACTGCTCTCACAACGGTTACTCACATGAGCAACAGACAATCGGACTTCCAGGTCTCACAGGTGGAAATCGCATTTAATAGTACCGAGTGAGTGCAAATATTCTATGCACCCTTCAAGTATTGGCTATCCATCGATAATTGCAAATACCCGCAGCTGTGCGGTTGGGACAATCGTACCACACATGTTTCAGCCTACTACCTACTGAACGTTTGCTGATTAGCTTTCTACGATGGTGGTTACTTTTTCCGTAATCATTGCTAAAGAACAGACGGACGATTTGGTAATCTCCTCCGTGGAACATCCTAGACAATCGATGTGTCGTAATGCCATCGGATCTTCGTGCATGCAGGAAGGAGACACGAGATAACGAAACCACGCGGAAGGCATTGAGCACCTGAGCACGAAGATATGACATTACGCGATGGATCGCTGCAAAGGCTTGAGATCCTGAACGGATTACCTATCGGAGTTGAAGGCTATACGTAAATTCCTGTCTCTCAATAGGCCCCGACCTATTTTGCGGCGATAGACTATCGATGAATACTGTAGCATATAGTCCGGGACCCTCTTGGGCGTTGTGCGTGGAAAGCGCCACGACCATAGTACGGCATGCCGCTCGCTCGCGTTAATTGAGGCTCATTGCCACGCTTGGCGCTCGGCCTGCTTTCGCAGCTACGTTGTCAGAGATCAGGTGAGCCTGCGGCACATCGGAACCAATTGCCTATATTGGATGTCAGCGATTCTATTAGCACAGCAGAATGCTCTTCGCGGAGACATAGCGGCGGCAGGCTGCATTGACACTCGCCGAAGTTGCTTTATAGAAACTCCGAAGATTGAGCTACAGGTGGCACAGATCGATGGCGATACGGAGCAAGAAGCCTGACACTGCCTGACACCTCTAAGCTCGCTCGGAACATAGCCTTATCAGAGCGAATCAGCTGATTGTCTCGAATAGCTTTCTGGCTCACAGAATAGTTCGAGAGTTTAGGTGCCATTCCAATAGTAAGTTGAAGCGAGCCACCCAATATAAGTTGACACTAAGACGTATTAACTATCATGGCATGGAGGACGTCGGCGGAGCGCTGAAAACGCTCTCCTAAGGCATCTTGCCAGAAACTCTGCGCATTATCGGCGTTGCGGAACTGTTCCGTTCTGCAGCCCGCAAATGATAGGAGAATTGCACCTTCAACGTTGTCAGCACTAGACAGTGTCACATCGGAGTTGCTGCGAATAAGGTAAAAAGCAATGAGCTGACGTGTTCTTTGACGTGTGACGTACCGCGCGGCAAGTTGGTCGGGCAGCTTTCGATAACGAGTTCCGATTAGGCATCCAAAATACTAGGGAACTTCCTGCTTCATGGAGATGCACTGCACGGCTATCGTATCGTTGGCCTCCGGGATGCTGGAGTGAACATCCGCCACTTCGTTTGCGTCATGGATTTGTATATCAAGTGTAGGAACATTCTCGGACGTGAATTCTGACGTCGATACGTCATGTTGTGGCACATACAAAACTTTGTGATACATCAGTACGTCGAACTCCAATGTCTATCCATGTTGAGACCAGAAGTGTAGTAGGATGCACACATCCTGTGCAACCCCCTTGTCGCCAGAAGGTCCGATGTGGTGTCAGTTAAGAAACGAGCATTTGCAATGCACGTACAGTTTGCCTGCCTATTTGTGTCCGCTTGCTCGGCAGCGCCAATTCTCAATTCGTATGCAATACAGAACACATGGCCAGCAATACCCAACGGATCAAATGAATCGATTTAGTTTGGGACTTCTCTTTTCAATCGTGCAATCTGTATGAGTCACAATGATCGCGGTGATTGCAGTTCATTAAGCAATGGGACTGGCCTTATGACTCTTCGGTTCATGCTTGCTACAAGGAACATTGAGCCCCGTTTCTTGTATTGTGGATTATAGATATTCCGCTAGCAAGAGAAAAGCTCCAAGGGGAACGGCCACTGCGAAGGGGCCCGCCGGGAGGAAGCTTTAGATTCAAGTTGAGACTTCTCCTCTCGCTATTCGACAAAGTCACTCAACGAGACACTCTACGAATCTTGTAGACTGCTGTCAGCATTTATCTCATACTAACAAAGCATCATTGTCTTCTTATGTAGACATTATGGGCATGTTCTTACGCCTTTATCCGCGGCATCTCGATAAACGAGCAAGCTGATCTGTTGAATCAGCTCTAAAAGTATTGGCTCCCCACACTATCCTAGGTCCGAAAGCGATCTGCACTCTCCGTATGGGGTCATATAGAACTTACCCCGCACGTCCCGAAGTGAGACTCGCCGAGCGGCGAATGAGAGAAGCAACAAAAATTGCTTCTCAGGGTCCCAAAGCATCTAGACGCTCGGTCTCTGAAGTCCATATCTGTCTTCTCGGCTGCTTCTGCGTGACTTCAAAAGTCTCTGCGGATGCGTTCGAACTTGGTGGTCAGTGTGCGCTCCCGCGTGGCACGGGGGTTGACTTGCTGATATTTAGATCGGATCAAGAATTAGCGCGGCGACTGTCGCTCATCCAGTTTGACAATCCGCCGGAGAAGTGGCCTCTGGTCAAAGCTGCTGTGGTACATTTCGAGTGGAATTCGAGGGTTCATGAGGATAAGTTATCGGCATCGATTACATCTGGAACCGCCAGGGTCGAAGATAGCAGGGCGCGAACGCACATCCTTCACGGTGATCGACATCGATAACATTGGTCTAGGCAACGCTCGCCTCCATCCGCGCAAACCACAGCGAGTGGTTTTGGAAGAATCAAGATTGCAGAACCGACCGAATGTCATGAGATCGGGTCCAGATCCATACTCCGCCTCCGTGCAAGTATAAGTCGGTCGCCACAAGGTCTAGCTCTCTTGTGCCTCCCTCATCTACCATCTTTAGTCGCCGCACCGTAAGCATCATGGTGAGCGTTCATGTCGGCTGTTCTCAAAATCGCCTGCGGCTACAACGCTTGCTAGGGTGTTACAGTCGAAGTCCTCAAGCCAGGTGACGGCGTTCACTTCCCCAAGAAAGGTGGTACGTCGCCTTGATCGTGATCGTAGATGACTTGTTGAGCTCGCAGCAGACAGGGTCACAATACACTACGTGGGTACCTTGCTGGACGGCCGCAAGTTTGACTCGAGCAGGGATCGGTCAGTTGCTCTACGCACGTTGGCTGCAAGCGCACTCATCTTCTCTTCAGGGGACAGCCGTTCGAGACAGACATTGGCATAGGCAAGGTTATCAAGGGATGGGACGAAGGTGCGCTTCTGCCGTCGCGAACGGAACAAGCATGGTTGACGTTTCCATGCTCCGTGTCAAGGTGTACCACAACTATCGCTCGGCGAGAAGGCTATCCTGACTGCATCACCAGACTACGTGAGTGACGCTCTGCACGATCGTTTGTGTCCGTCTTATGACCGGGGTTTAAAGGCATATGGCGCTCGCGGTTTTCCTCCTGTAATCCCGCCGAATTCGACGCTGAAGTTTGAGGTCGAATTGTTGAAGATTAATTGATGCATGGGTGCGACCCTCAACTCGGACATTACTTCGCTACTGTACATATGTTCCTGGGATCAGCCGAGCATTGCGTGAGATTACCGTTTATTCATCATCGTCATCACCATTCCCTCCGCAGCATTTATCGCCATGTCAGGCCTCCGTTCAGACGAGGTTCGTATAGTATAGGAGTGCACCAACCTCGCTCGTCTCCACCTCATCGATGAATCACGAGTGCATCGATGGGCAAGAATGCTCGTTATGTAGCACCCTTCACTATCTATAAAATCATAAACGGATAGATGAGTATCTCGGCGTTCGCCGAGCGTACGAACCAGATCACTTGGACTACCCTCCCCTTTTTCTTCAAGGCCGTCGCGAAGAAAGATGAGACCCATACATTCCACCTGCTCAGTTGGAACGTACATTACGGCGACCGCTCACTAGATCGTCTGCTGCACGCAGGCATAATATCGCATTTGACTGATTCAACGCTAGGTTACCGAGATGGCAGCAGTAGTAATGCGCAACTCGTGAATGGTCACATTTCTAGGCTGATTCCGGGAAGACCTTGGCGCTATTTTGGCCGGCCCCTGTTGTGCAGCAATTCCGTTAACTCTTCCTGCATCTTTGCCTTCAGTTCGCTCATTTCTACGATCGCCCGTGAAAATTCGCTTTTCAACCGAAACTGAACTTGAGCAGGCGTACAGACCTTCTGCCCGGGAAGCCACTGCGCTTGCCAATTCCTCCTTAGCGCGATCGATGTCTTGTATGATTTCCGTCGTTGTGCCTGCTGGTGCGGACTTGTTAGCGGGCCGCGATGTGCACCGTCCTCTCGGCGATAGCCAATGCGCACCAGATGTGGATGGTATGCGAGCATGAGTCTCGTCGCGCTTAACGATCCCCGCGAGGCTTGCACGCAGCTCATTAAATTGACGATCTCGCTCGGTTCTCCAGAAGACTTCGTCCTCCCACCTGCCGTCCATCGTATCTCTACTTTGGCGCAGCATTAGCCCGACGTCCTGCAAGAGTGCAGTGACATCTGATAGCCGTTCCTGCAGAGCTATGTCCTTTCGCTTTGATCCGCTGTCTGCCATGCTTTCGTCCATAAGGCGGTAAGGGAGATCCTGGAAGAACATTCCGGCGGGCAGCGCGATAGGTAACGATCATGCACCAGCAGTGCAAGTCCACATACGTATAAATTTCACTGCAGACATAAAAGCATATGTTGTTCTTAAATGCTTCGCAAATGTGTTTCAGTCACCTTTGCGACAGTAGGCATTAATCAGACAAATATATGTCTTGAAAGGGAAAACGATTAAAATTTGGTTAGACTTAAGAGCATAAATCAAGTGCTTGTTGTGCCTGACGGCAATCTCACGCCACAGACGCGCCGGTAGATCCACGTGATCAACGCGCCGCGCGGAGACATTCGCTGTCCAGCGGTCCGACTCGAACGGGCCCTGGTCTGAATTACTATGAGGGACAGCCAGTATCATTACTGCAGACATGAGCCTCTCTCACATCACAGATTCAGTCATCGTACTTTCCATTACCCATGTCGTTTTTTATGCCTGCTGCTCTTGGCCTCTTTGTGATGCTGTTACTTCCATCCACAAGTGCGGCCTATGCATCCTACACGCTGAGCAATATTAGCGCCACTAGCCCGTTTGCGAACGATGCCGTTCTCATGGGAAGAGAAGTCTACAGTCCTGCTATCACGGCTCCTGATGCGACCACCACATGGCATGTTGGTTCTACCGTCGAAGTTAGGTGGTGAGTATGGTCAGGTTTATACTCATTGATTTTTTTTTGCTGAAATCGCGTACACCTACGACAGGGATACATCGAATGCACCAGAATTCGCAAGGAACTACACGGGCAGACTTGTCCTTGGCCACCTCGACGGAGGCTATGATGAACACCTAAACCTGGGTGCGTATACTCGCTAGCACTTCCTCGTCTCTCGCCCCCCCATCATCTTTGACTCAGCCGCTCATTTTGCATATGCGGCCGCAGACAATCCCCTCGCAGACGGCTTCAACATCACAAAAGGACACGTGAAGGTCGTGGTGCCGAATGTCAGTCCAGCTGATGATTACATTGTCGTGTGTGAGTCCTGCCTCTGCCGTGGTGTGCATCCGACCTCTGGCTCACTGTGCCGTTATGCGCACAGTATTCGGAGATTCTGGGAACAGGAGTCCTGAGTTCACAATTATGTTGTGAGCTAAGCCGTGAGATTGCGACGACTGTCGCAGTCATCGCTGCATATTCTGAGCATTATATACATAATCTGTGCGAACTCGCCTTTATGTGCAACGGCTGAGGAATTAAGCTGATCGTGAAGGGTGAATCTGCAAGTCGTTCAGGCTCGTACCTGCACCTTGAGTACGTGGGCATCACAGCATGCCATTTCTCAATGGGAAAGCCTGTAGAAACACGGTGGAGGAATGCCAAGTCCCGTCTTGTAGAACTGGGAAGAAATCTCGCTTCCATATCAAGTTCAGTCTCACATCGCAATTATGGCAAGCAGAAAGGAATTGTGACCTCACAATGTGCCAGGACAGGACTTTATATTTCTTCATAGTGGCTCTATTGGTTTTCCCGCAGACAAGTCCATCAAGCGCTCGCATACTAAGCCTGCTCGCGGCATACGTCTCCATCAGCAAGCTCACGTTCACGGTCAGAATCTCAACTATATCATTACATTCGGCGCTAACGACGCTGCCATAGGCGATGATACGCCGCTTAAAGTTCAATGATGAATCATCATAGTCAGGCCTCAGTCCAGCGTCAAGCAAACGGAACTTCAACTGTACGTTCCCACAGGCCTGCTCGTAGCCCGCAACTCTTGCATCACGCCCAATGTGTTAGAGAAAATCTGGTTGTTTGCGTTCGCGAAGTATCTGTTTCAATCGGTGAAGCTCGCGCAGGTAGGGAGCCGTATTTTCTAGCCTGCATCGGGGCACTGATCAGTTACTTACACGTATCCCACATAGGATTGTGAGTTTCTCAGGCTGAACCCAAGTAATGAAAACGTTCATCACCTCTGCAATGTTACTCGTTCGCGGCGGGTCGCTCAGTCAAAGACAACCGCTGTCACGCATATCGGTCCATGCCGCGCTGTCGGAATCTCCGCTCCCACTAGATGTCTATGAGGAAATCCTCACGTACCTTCATGGCGATATTCATGCCCTCTGCACCTGCAGCCTCGTATGTCGCGCCTGGCTCCCGAGCACGAGGTCTTACATCTTCCGCGAAGTCACACTGAAACGAGAGAATTTCAAGTCCTTCCATCACCTCCTGCACCATACACCTGCACTTGGAATCTACGTGAAGGCGTTGACGATCTTGCACTCGGAGCTTGGCGTTTTCCACTGGCCTTCGACACAATCCGAAATGCTTCGCCAGCTTATCGCATACCTTCGATCTGTGACGTCGTTGAAGCTCACCTGCTTTATGATCACGCCGCCGGTGATGGATGCATTGGCGAGCGTGCTTCCCGGCGTGCGCGACCTCGTACTGGATAGCGTAGGCGCGGAGACGGCGGAACAGCTGGCTGACTTTATGCGCCACATATCGCAATTACGGAGCCTTACCTTGGATGGAGACGTATTTCTTCACCCAGAGGGGACCGCGATCAGCAGGCCATCGAACGTGCAAACAATCTGGAGCAGAGTTACCGATACCTTTGCCTCTAAGCGGCAACGCATCCTTCGCCGGACCCGTCGCATCTCGCTTTTGCCGGCAGACTACATCCTCTATGGGATGCTGTCAAGAATAAATCATGCGCGACAGAATCCATATGATATGTGCGGCCTCGCTGAGAAGGGATTGTCGACGGTCCTCGCTGCTGCGAGCCCTACTCTTCAGCGCCTTACTTTTCGTAATCATTACGATTGCATTTGGCAAGGTGGGTTATTCTGAGCCCTACACTGTGCGAAGTTTGCCCATTCAACAACTACAGGGGTTAGTCCGAGCCTGGCACACCATGATCGTCTTGACTACATAGACTTTGTCGGCGGGTCTCCTGGTTATTGGGCCCCTGATTATAACGTCTTAGTCGGATTCCTTGCACAACTGAGGATTACCAACGTCAAGAAAGTCCGTGTTCCAGTCGATCTGCGGGTATTGCACCCTCTGCAGAGTCTTCTCGATGTCGAGACCTTGATTCTGGATGGTTCCTTCGGCGGAGCAGAGATCATCTTCGTATACCAGTGTCATGGATTTGATGGCGACCCGGAGGGGACCATTCGAAGTCGTGTTCCGCGACTTGATCATCTTGGGCTGGTCAAATATGAAATGGCATTATCGGAATAGTGATATTGAAGATGCTTTCCGAAGGAATGAGGTGCTATTGTACATGTACATCCATTTTCAAGTGTAATGGGGCCACCTTGCGACAGCGAGAGCGGCAATGTGTCCCTGCAGCGAATGTGCTATGATTTAGCATGTTACAGTGGTGACCAGGCCGAGTCCCTGCAAGTTCGACTTTGTCCATGGCCTCCTCGAGCTACCCGGCACCATATGCCAGGACCCCATACTACTTGACAATCTCTATATATAGCTAACAGGCCATAAATTTCCCAGGATCAGACCGTCAACGTACGCGTCTTCTCTTCGGGGAGGTTTCTGATATGCTATTCTCGTTGACATTTACACGCCGTGGAGTGGAATTGGCAAGGCCGCCTCCTAGAAAAGACAACACCCCTATATTTCGTGAAGCGACGTCGTCACAAGTTGAGTCGGTGCCAGCTTGATGCCGTTCATGCCCTGACGTACGATACGCTTATCTAGTGACATTGGATCAACTTCTACCCCACTGTACATCCTCCTGGCGGAGATACATTTGCACAATACATGCATTTTCCAAAATCCATGAACATCTGCTTATTTGCACCGATCAATTCGTGGCTGCGTAAGCTCAGCTTCCTCTCCAGCAAGGAAATCATGAAGGCAGTAAGCGCGAGGCTCGGCAAAGTGCAGCCCTTATTTCGACGACACCGTGGCATTTTCTGATTCTTCACGAGGCATTCGCTAGAGACCTCTCTGGATGTCAAACAGGCGATTGCCGTCGATGAAATTTACACGGCATTCATGAATCGTCGATGCCCTTGGATGTAACATCGGCCTAGTCAGCGGCTGAGGTCCTTCTCTCATCATCTCTTCAGTCTACGCAGCGCTGGGTTTCTGTAATGGATGCGATGGCCTCCATTGCACGCACCTCCTGGCATGTGCTCAGTGCAGTCCTCACGCCTACCATCGCTCTTGTACATGATCCTGTTAGCAGGCTCACAGAGAAGGCTATAGTAGCGTGCGTTGACCTCGTCCTTCTTGGCGTCTTCAATTTTTGTTGTAGGTACATGCGCTCATCTCCCCTGCTCGCACAGGATCCTTAACAATATCACTTGCGGCGTACTCCTCATTCATACTTACACGGGGACGTACGTTCTTCCTAACCCAGGCGGCCTGCCTCCAACGTCTCTGCAGCCCGTCCACCCATCACTGCGGGCTCAAGATGCCAGTACGCAGATGGGCGCACATTCGGTGGATTGGGAAGGCCTTGATGGCGAAGACCCGGCATTCTGTGTCCAACTTATCGTCCGCAACCCCGCGTTCTGGATACGTGTTGCGATGCAAGGCGATCTCGGTTTCGCGGAGTCATACATGTTCGGCGACGTTGATATATGCTTCGGGAGGCAGGGTGAGGAAGGCGAGCAGGGCGGGGAGGCACTTTTCAGGTTCTTCGAGGTAGGTGTCTCACGAACTGACTAGCTGCTCGACTAACCGGTAGCTGTATCCAGCTCCTCCTCGCTAATCGTAAAATTCTTGATGCAATCGATACGCCTCTCGCACGCATAGGACGGCTGCCAGCTGCGGCCGCGGCTAAGACCCGTCTTGCGAACACGCTCATTCAGGCGAAGACAAATATTGCTGCGCATTACGACGTAAGCAACCGGATGTTCGCTGGTGAGTCCACGTTCGTCTTCCTGTATGTCTGCAGTCAATGTGGATGTATGCGCGGAACACGTTCATACAATGCTCCAAAGTGATCTTCTTACTGTCATGCTGTCGCGTATATATGCGCCACTACTATGTTGTAATTACCTTCGTATGGCTTCTGCATCCACATTGCAACTGTAGGACACCGTGCAATAGGTATTGACTGAAAATGCCTTTCGCTTTATAGCATTCCTCTCGCGCGACATGACGTATTCTTGTGCAATCTTCCCTGAACTCGATGGATATGTCTACCCGTACTCGCCGTCGACATCCACGTCGTCATCCACGTCCGCGTCCACGTCCAAAGATAGCCCTGTCGTTAGCGAAAGTCAAAGTGATGGTCTTCCGCAAAGCGCTAATGGGAGCGATCGAGGTGTGGAACGGAATATCGGAAGGAGGGAGGACAAGACGGAAGTAGTGGACGAGGAGGAGGATAATCGTGACGATGAGGAGCTATATGAGGCGCAAATGAGGAAGTTGCAGCATATCATCGGAAGGGCGGACATCAAGCGTGGTCATAGGGTGTGTTCCATCTCCAAGCTTCCATTTTCCCGCGTTCCCCTCCCATTTGTGCTCTCGTACCCGTAATATCTCCTCAATGCTGCTGCTGATACGGATGGACTGCACAGGTCCTAGAGATTGGTACCGGTTGGGGCGCACTGGCGATCACAATAGCACGCACCGTACCCGACGTCCAGGTCGATACCATCACGCTGTCCGAGGAGCAGGCGGCATTGGCTCTAGAGAGAATAGAAATAGCAGGGTTGGGCGAGCAACAGTGTGAATGTGGCGGGAGCCACTGCAAGGGGAGTGTAGAGCGATTATCTGCGATCGAAGCTGGGGGCAGGAATGAAGAGCGCGAAGCGAGAGGAAACGACGAGAGAGGAAGGTCGAAGAAATGCAAGTACCGCCCGGCGCGTGTTCGGGTGCATTTGATGGACTACAGGTCACTGCCACCGGCGTGGGCGGGCGCGTTTGATCGGATGGTGAGTGTGGAGATGGTGGAAGCGGTCGGAAAGGAGTGGATGGAGGTACGTGATAGGCATCTCGCGTCTTATCCATTCGGCTGAATTGTGCGTGCCGTAGACATACTGGAAACAGATCGACTGGGCGCTGAAGCCAGACACGGGCGTGGGCGTTGTGCAGGGGATCACAATCCCCGAGGCGAGTGAGTGTTCACGAATCTACAAGCAGAAATCGGTAATGCTGATGAGTGCGTACGCGACCATCAGGATTTGATACGTATATGAGGGACACTGACTTCATCCGTAAATGGGTAGGCTCACCTGTTCACAGTTGATATAAAAATTTGCTAATCTCCATATGTTCCGCGCAATCTCCTGAAGAGTGAGCACTCTTTCTTCGCCTACTATGTTCTTCAGTGGTGACCATGAGCGCCGCGAACAGTATTCCCTGGTGGCTTCCTGCCAACGGTGACTTTCCTCGTAGACACACTGACGCGCGGATCTGGTGGGCGGCTGGTTACCGAATCAATGGATAACATCGGGCCTCATTATGCGAGGACGTTGAAGGAATGGAGAAGGAGATTTGAAGATAAATTTGAAGAGGAGATCCTCCCTGGTAAGCTTCTAATCGCTATTCTCTCATCGAGTCTCGCTGAAAGGGATTTCTGCTTACTGCAAACCACAGCGCTAAAAGAGGAGTACCCGCTGGTGATGGGTCATGAAGTGGAAGGCGCGGAGGAGGCAATTGAGGTTTTCAAGAGAAAATGGGTGTATTATTTGTACGTCAGCTCATCTAACGACCCTGTGATAGCATCCAAAGCTGACGCATTCCCTCTCATAGTTGCTATTGCGAAGTGGGGTTTGCGAGTCGTCGTCTGGGCGGTAAGTCCATGCAGATTTCGGATGGCGGTGGGGATGCTCACAGGAGTTTGTCAGACCATATCATTACGTTCACGAGGGAGGGAAACGTTGGCTATGGATGTCCGGCAGTCGAATGGGAAGAAGAGGAGGGCTGTGCTCCAGAAGTGACTGAATAGATGTAAGCTTACGGCTCGGGCAACTGCAGCAGAGGTCGGTCCACCAGGACCGCCCCAAGGTCAACGATACTCATGTCACATGTGGGGATCTCGCAGCAATGTCGGTTGGGACATAGACATGATTTGTTTGAGACTTCGCAATGTAGTTCCTGTTTTCGGAGGGAGCGGGATGAGAGGCTCGAGTTTTCGTAAAAGATATCCCAGTGAGGTCCTTGCGGCCGTCTCAATCTTGCTCACGATCACGTTCGCGGATCAACACATTCCTTCTGAGTTGCCTTTTCAGGCAATATGCTCAGGTCGAAATCGGCTTGACATCAACTTCACTTCGCGGGTGTAGCGCTCCAAAGTCCAGGCTGCACTGATATGCGGAGTCGCCGTGGACTCCGACGAGCTATGTTCAGTACCACTGCCTCTGATAGAGGCTGACTTTCATACCTGTTTCGTGGCTTTGCACTGTGGCTACTAGAGAGACACGTCGATGGACAAGTGCGACGGTTCGGGTGGCGCGTATTTACAATCGCTGGCGGTGAGCCATGGAGGAGTTGAGCTGGCTGTGGCTCTTCGACTCGTAGAGGAGCATTGGTCCCAATCACTAGCGGCAGCGACAGGTCTGGACTTGGAGGTGCGTACGTGCGTACGTCGAATATTTTGACGCGTCTCAAACATGTTCAACAGTTGAGTCGGCCTGCATTGGTGGGCAGCAATGAATCTGGGCTCTGGTCAGAATCTGTGGCGAGAAGCGGGCATGAGCAGCCGCCACAGTTTCTTGAAGTTTTCACGACGAACCGTGGTAACTCACAGTTCTCGGAATGTCCGGCGTTGATGGGAAGCCGGCACGAAAGTGTTTGCGTGGAAGCAGATGTTGCAGTAAGTGCTCGCGTGCCCTGGAATGTTGTGGTCTGGGTTTTGACCTGCGTTGTCGTTGTGGTTGACCTCACAGCCTGCTACTGATAGCCCTAGTGAATGCGAAGAGCAGCCACGCACACATTTAACCGAGCATGATCCGCTCACTGCAGAGCCTCTGTTCTTGCCCTCATTTGAGGCGACACCTGAACCAGACTGGCTCATGGACACAGAGAACGCGACAGATGACGAAGGCGTCGAGGAGGAGCAAAGACGAACTCCGATGATGTACAGTGGGATCGCATTGGCTGTTCAGCGTCCAAGAGATATGCATACAAATGAAGACGATGCGGTGATGGCATTCGCCAAAGCGGCTTTCCCTGCTCTGGCTGTCCGGTGGCGTTCATTCTCTCCTCCGACCTCTACGTCGGATGATTCGCAACTCCAGTCTTCTGAGGGTGTACACTCTACTTCTATTACAGGACGTTCAGATTCTCCTCAGGAACAATGCCCAACAACAATCGAGTTGGAACGCGAGCGCTCAGCATGTGCATCGGAGAAGTGGCCATCTCCACCTCCAGAGGATCATCACTGGGGCTCGGGTGGAGAATCCACAACTATAATATTCTCCTCGGCGGACGATGAACTGGGTCAGTTGTCCGAGCCAGACTGGGAATCCCTCGTCGAGCTGCCTGAATTGGTGCAGACACCTCGTTCCTTCTCAATTGAGGTACTGGAAGGTCTGCAGTCTCCAGAGGTCGCCGAAGATTCGGTGACAGTAGACAGCCCATGCGTTCCAGCACTTCTCGGATTGTTGGATGGCGCACTAGATCAACTTTCATCCCCAGGTTCCGTCGCGGCCCCGATATTGACGGAAGACGCAACAATCTCCTTCGTGGCGGGCACCGTTTCGGATTACTCGCCGGAAGGCATTGACCAGGGATTATCTAATGAGCATCCGCAGTCTATATCTTCCCCTGCAATGGAAGTGATGGAGCAATCACAGTTTGAAAGGCACGTCGACAGTCCTATGCATGCGGGGCTTAGACTGTCTAGCCAATCCTCGCGCGACGAACTGTCTTCCCTGTGCCCGGGCGTTCTCGAAGTTGTACACGGCATGGACGGTATTCCAACATCACCCTCATGGGACGACATTCCCAGCCCTACTTCAGAAACTATCGACCACAACACAGACGCTGTACGTGCAAAGGTTACCGATGATTCTGAGGAGGTAGCCCGGATGAATGATACCTCCAGCCCTTCTGCCGAAACTGTCAGCTATGATACGGACGCGGCATACGTGGAGATGCCGACTGTTTCCCAGAAGGAAACCTGGGTGCAGGGCCCATCCAGCCTACTTTTGGAGCCAATGGACAGCGATTCGGGTGCGATGTATGCAGAGATGATGGGACCGGTGACATCTCCGGAGGATGGGAAGTCATCTCACCCTGCTGAGTTGGTCAGCGCAGGATCTAATGTGAAGCTGGTGAAGTCATCGCAAGAGTCCTCTCCGCTGGACAATATGTTGGTGATGTACACAACTCTTCTTGACATGGAGTCTACCCCCGAACCTACAGAAGCGCCGAAACTCCCAGCTACCGTCCGAGACCATGTGACTTCGGGTACCGAGGACGTTCCTCAGGCGGGGTCTACACCTATTCTAGAACCTGCGGATAGCAATGGTTCCCTCTCTGACAGTGTATCGGAACATGCCTCAGGAGCAGAGGTAGGCGCAAGACCACCTCGATCTTTCTACGCGGTCGTCACCCCTCCTCTGTCTCCAGTTTCGGTCCATGCCGAACTTGCGACTGAGACACAAGACACTTTGCATTCTAGATCGTCATTCTCGCAAGAAACGGTGCAGTTGGGCGAGCAAGCATTATCAAATGACCTGATATCAGCAAATACTATGGAGCTGCCTGCAACGCCTGGACTGTTGGAGCGGTCACGGTCACCATCTTTGTCATTGCAGTCTTTACCTACCGCATCCTTTGAGAACGCGGACGTGGCGTCAGTAACTGATCGTTCACAGCCGATCTATTCTTCACAAAACGCGGTGTCTGAGCAACCTGTATTTGGTCCGCCACTACTCCTTATAGGCACGCCTTCTACAGCTGGCGATGCGGAAATTGAGCCGAACCAAGTGCGCAATTGTGGAACAATCGAAGAAAGCCATCTTCAAGCATCGTCCTCACCGTCGGATGTTGTCCCAAATCAAAAACCAAAGCGCAAAAAGCCATCGTCCGCCAAAACCAGAAAGGAAGGGCCCCCGTCCAAGCGGCGACGTACAGTGAAGGCTGTCATATCGACCGATCTGCGCGAAGATACAGGCAATGTAGGTGGCACAGGAGGCTCGCGAACTTACTACCGAGAGTATCTGTACGAGGCCTCTTCGAGTCAGGGCCCTGGATTGTACTACCGACCGCGCCAGAATCAGACGTTGCAGGTCTCAGCATCACCAATCTCGATCAATGCACCTGTGCAGAATCTGACTGAAGTAGTCATCGGTTTGATGACGCGTAGTGAAGGCACGACTCGCAATTCAGTCTCTTGCACAAAACCACCCGAGGTTGCGCAGCATAATCCTTCAAATAATGATCATGTATGTGATGGCGCTCAATTACGTGCGGAGTCTGCCCAACATTTGAATGCGCCTACAAGAGTTCCGACAACGACGCTGGCATTATCACATCCACACTACCCCCTGCGCTCTGACCGTTCAGCGAACGAATCCCTGCAACCGACTCGGGCCATGCCTGATTCACAGAACCCACTTGCTTGGCCCTCTGCATATAATGCCCAGTCTGTACTATCCATGAACCCTACCACGGCCCAGAAACAGCCATCGGAGACGGTCCAGCGTCATGGAGATCCCGGTCAATTGGATCGTTGGAGTGCTCTTGTCGAAGCCTCGGTTGCTGTGCGAGATAACAGTGCCGGCAGTTCAAACTCCATTACAGAAAATCCATCAATTCCGGAAGACCAATCCGAGCACAGCCTTGAAAGGCAGAAACTAGAGAAACTGATTATCGAGACGAATACAGCATCTGGCACCGCGACCGGTATTGTATTCCCCTTTGAGGCACTTGTCCTACAGTGGATTTTCAACGACGTCACACCGCTGCCACCCCAAAGCTGGAGGGTGTTGATATCGGTAGCCTTCAATTGGTGAGTCGATGCATTTATGAGTTTCGCTGCTAGCCATTGTGGTTCCAACAATGACAAGCTGACTTGGACTTATGTTCCCGGTAGGTCAATCAAGAAAGTGTCACAGTGGTTTTACAATCGACGTGGAAGGCGAAAGAAAGGCGCGCAGATGCCTCTAAAGATTGATCACCCTGATGATGTCGTGAATGTGACCGTTGAGGAGGTCGTTGTCGGCATGCGTCGCAAAGCACTTGTCGGAGGTCCTTGGACGGCTATGAGGTTTCGGCGAGAGCTTTATCCGCGGCTCGAGGAGCAGAAGCGAATCTATTTAATACAATGTAACGGCCTTTTAACAGAATCTTGGTGAATAGCCGCTGATGGGATGTGAAAATTGCATGGTACATGATGAGATATCATGTAAGGATGAATATATGTTCTTGTGGTCTGTGCCACACATTGTATAATGCAGTTGACCTACGTATTTACCAGATATAGCTCTTCTTTTGGTTGGCAGGCCAAGATCATTTTGAAAACGGATTCAAAAGTACAAATATATGAGATCTTTGTGAGATGCACTCCTCAGAACAAACGGAAAATCGCATCACATGGCAGCTGAACCATCCCCCTTAAGTGTCCTCAAGCTGGGCAGATGCAAAATGCTACAGTGCGAGCGATGCCACGGAAGCGAGAATTGTTTGTCAATGTTACGCAACGGCCTTGACGCCCATGGTTACCCGTTTTGGAAACTACTCAGCGCTTCGTAAGCGACAAATAGGGATAAATATTAATGCAGGCGCCCATCTCATCAGGCGGGCAGAGAGCCACAACACTACTTTCACGTCGACCACGGCAACCACGTCTCATCCTCATACGCTTTACACAACCATGGCTACCAATAATCAGCTCAATAAGCTGGCTTTCTTGTCTATGCCGGCGCCGGCATCTTATGTCGCTGGTCTTGGTCGAGGGTAAGTCCAGTAAATAGTGTTTAGACTCCAATTCAGGCTTACACGACTGTATATTCAGTGCTTCCGGATTTACAACCCGTTCTGATATCGGTCCCGCACGAGAAGGCCCCTCCGCCGAGGTCATTGCGTACGTAACATCCTCCCATCCTCTGTCGACCGGCTGGTTTACATTGAATTGTAGTGAGGCTCAAGCAAGGCGAGGCGAAGAGCCTGATATTGATCAAGAGCAGTTTCAAGATCCTGATAATGAATATGGTCTCTTTGCGGGTACTACGTATGAGGCCGATGACGAGGAGGCGGACCGGATTTATGAGCAAGTTGATCAGAATATGGATGCGCGGAGGCGAGCTCGCAGGTGCGTCGTTGCTGTCAACGCAATATTATTCTCTCTGCTCATCTATTCAATACTTGCTTTGCTAACCAGAGAAGCGTTTGAGAACGCGCAAATGGCGAAGCATCGTGCGGAGCGTCCGAAGATTCAACAGCAGTTTGCGGACCTCAAGCGAGGCTTAGCGGTTGTCACAGATGAGGAGTGGGAGAACATTCCTGAGGTGGGCAATCTCACGAAGAAAAAACGTAAGAGGGACGAGAGGTCATTCGTTGTACCCGACAGCATCTATGTCGGAGACAGGTCTAAGACCGAGTACGAGAATTCCCTGGATGCGAGGCAACAAACGGTACGTTTCTTGTTGGCGCATTACTACGTGTGACTGATAGTCTGGCATTGTAGATTGGAGGTTTCGAGACCCCAGCTGATAGCGGCACGCTGACCAACTTTGTTGAGATGGGTCAGGCTCGTGACAAAATTCTGTCGTTGAAACTTGATCAGGTAGGTTGCCCTCTGATCTGTTTCATTCGAAGTCTTCTTATATCACTTCAGGTATCAGGTACTTCGACAAGTTCTGGGCTCTCCACATCCATCGACCCCAAGGGCTATCTCACCTCCTTGGACAGTGTTGTTCTCAAGACGGATGCTGAGATTGGTGACATCAAGCGCGCACGAATGCTATTTGACTCCCTCGTGAAGTCGAATCCCAAGCATGCGCCAGGTTGGATCGCAGCTGCCTGTCTGGAAGAACACGCCGGTCGTATGGTTGCTGCCCGCAAGCTCATTAAGCAAGGCTGCGAGCAATGTCCTAAGAGTGAGGACGTTTGGCTCGAGGCAGCTAGGTTACATGTGAGTATAGGTATACCATTATCTCCATCACGAGCTGGAATCGACGTTTCTTTGCAGAACAACGACGACGCAAAGGTGATTCTTGCGAATGCGGTACAACATGTTGGGCAGAGTGTCAAGATATGGCTGGCTGCTGCTGACTTGGAGCATGATATTAAGGCGAGGAAGCGAGTTCTGCGCAAGGGTACGTCCATATAGGTATGCTTATACATTGACTTGGCTGACTTTCTGTCTAGCTCTGGAGCACATCCCGAATTCGGTACGCCTCTGGAAGGAAACTGTCAACCTCGAATCAAATCCTGTAGACGCACGAATCCTGTTATCGCGTGCAGTGGAGGTCATTCCGCTGTCGGTCGAGCTCTGGCTGGCACTTGCACGACTCGAGACCCCTGAGAAGGCAAAAGCAGTTCTCAACAAGGCTCGTAAGGCTGTACCTACGAGCCACGAGATCTGGATTGCCGCAGGCAGGCTTCTTGAGCAGGAGGCCTACGTTGAAGGCAAGTCGGAGGAGCAGCGCAATAAAGAGCTTGAGGTCGTCGATAAGACTATCGAGGCTGGTGTCCGCCAGCTTCGCCATCATGGTGTTCTCTTGACGCGCGAACAATGGCTCAAGGAAGCGGAGCGATGTGAGAACGAAGGCTCGCCAAGGACATGTCAGGCTATCGTGAAGGCAACCGTGGCGATGGAAGTGGAAGAGGAAGACAGACTCGACACATGGATGAGTGATGCAGAGAGCGCGGAGTCCAGAGGAAACGTTGGCACCGCCAGGGCTATCCTGGCGTACGCGCTCAAGGTTTTCCCAGACAAGAGGGTACTCTGGAGGAAGGCTGCAGATCTCGAGAAGGCTCACGGCACCAGAGAATCGCTTAACGCAATACTCGAGCGCGCTGTTCACCATTGTCCCCAGGCAGAAGTTCTCTGGCTCATGTGGGCGAAAGAGAAATGGCTCGCTGGAGATGTCCCGGCTGCCCGTGAGGTGCTCGAACGAGCCTTCGTTGCAAATCCGGAGAGCGAACAGATTTGGCTGGCGGCCGTCAAGATCGAAGCAGAGAATGGCGAGCTCGGCGTCGCTCGAGAGCTCCTGGTCCGTGCGCGGACAGTGGCAAACACTCAGAGGGTACGTTCATGCGACTCATTTTGCTGGATAGATGCTTACTATTCACTGAATCACACAGATCTGGATGAAATCTGCCGTTTTCGAACGTGAACAGGGTCAGCTGGATACCGCGTTAGAGACCCTCGCCATTGCTATCAAGAAATATCCGAAGTTTGCCAAGCTCTACATGATTCAAGGCCAGATTCATCAGGACAGGAAGGATTACGCGGCCGCTCGAGCGTCGTACGCAGCGGGTATCAAGGCATGCCCGAAGGATGTCATGCTGTGGATCTTGGCTAGTCGGCTGGAAGAGGCTGACGGCAAGAGTATCAAAGCCAGAGCACTCCTTGACAAAGCTAGATTGGCAAACCCAGGAAGCGACGTGTTGTGGGCCGAGGCGGTGGGTGTTGAAGAGCGCAGCGGGGGATCTGCACAGGCGAAGACCGTTCTTGCCAGAGGTATGGTTGTTCAACACTATGAAGTGATGACGCTGAGGATATTGACCTACTCTTAATCCAGGGCTGCAGGAATGTCCGACATCGGGTCTGCTGTGGTCAATGACAATTTGGGCGGAGCCGAGACCGACGCGAAAGTCGCGCTCCGCAGATGCACTGAGGAAGTCTGCCGATGACCCGCTCATCCTATGCACAGTCGCGAGGTTATTTTGGGCTGAGCGCAAGATCGAGAAGGCGAGGCAATGGTTCGAACGTGCCATCACTGCCAATTTCGACATTGGTGACAATTGGGGTTGGTGGCTCAAGTTTGAGAGGCAGCACGGCACTAAGGTGAGTTCAACCAATATCGGCTTTTTTATGAATCTTTCTGATAAAGTCTCTTCGCACTTCAGGAGCAGCAAGAGGAGGTCATCAAGAAATGCGTTGCCGCAGAGCCTCACCATGGCCCGACCTGGCAGTCGATAGCGAAAGACTTGAAGAACGTGCGCAAGAGTACCGGGGAAATACTGGAGCTTGTTGCAGATGCTTTGCACTGAACTCTTAGATGCTGAAGAACAGCATACTGATCGTCATTACATTCTGTATAGTATTGTTTTCCCTATGACATTGTAATCTACACTGCGAGTAACCGGAGATGGCCTATTGCTCTCGATCATGAAGCCGTCACCGTGAGCAAGCCAAAGTACTTGCGCCGAGCCTCGAACGATAGAAGTACTATGGCGCTCTCTGGCAACGTTTGCACAGCGTGGTGGGGCTGCAAGGGACGATATTTTTGGAAGAGCCGTATTGCGGTGGAATGGATAGTTCGTATGTCCAGAGAAGTTCGACAGATCCTTGCACTGGGGCTTGACCTCCCGTAAAAACAATAGACTGGCCGCCCAGTTCGCCTGAGCAATACTTGCTCGGATGCCTGAGTTGCTTGGATTGCTGGGTGGGGCGCAATGATTGAATGGTGCTCCGTAAAGGCATCGTTCAGCCCTCGACCGTCCGTATGCACCTTGTTCGAAGGCCTATCGGTCTTTTCATAGCCAAAACATAAGTTTTACGTGTGGCAATCAGACAAGAGCGAAGAGATTACCGCCTAATGACCATTCTGATGGCAGCCTCAAAGTCCAGGCGAGAGCAACGTGCACGACTTCTCCGCCGACACAGGCTCAACGTGTGGACTCATTGACGCCAAGATAACTAAGACTTGTGTCTTGATAAACGCCGCTCAATTGCCCCTTCGATCCGGCAGAGGGACCAGTGCAGAGACCGGGCGGTCAAGGACGCGTGACAGGTGCAACTGTTCATTCCATAAATCGTTAGGCCAGGGGCGTTACCCCTCCTCCTGACGCTCAGGTAAATCGGAAGCGACCGTGTCGCAACGCCCTTCAACGTTCGCCTCGAATGCCTAGGATGCCGGTGAGGAATTGGCCGAGCCGAAGTTGTGAGTCTGCCATATCAGGTCAGGACTCAGCACCAGCGACCGACGGTTGCCGGGCACTATTCGGTTCATCTGCTGCGATGTGCGAACGGAGGTGATGTCGCCCGATGTTCAATTATGTCTCCAGGGGCGATATTCCGAATAAACGGGCGGTATCCGGTAAGCAAGTACTCGGATTGTTAGTATTCAAGGGAAGTAGTAGGATGTGCATTCATCTTTTGCGCAGCGATGCGGGAGTCAAGGCTCAAATGTAACGCTTAGCACAGAGATGTGCTCGGCTTTGCGATCGTTGCGTGACATCCGACTGTATCCCAGCACACATGAATGACAGTGAACGGCCGGGATGCCATAAGAGCTGCAGCTATGGAAGTCTAGCGTCAACCATCCGACGCTATACCTCGTTCTGTGTAGTTAGAAGCCGCATAACTCACCGGTCACCATGTCATCAGCATACTCAAGCAGCTAGGCTGAAAGCAACTGTCCAGCGCTCAGCCCAGGGTTCCTTTACGTATTCACCTAAGGCCATACCCGTGATGGTAAATGCTTCGCGCTGCCACTGAGAACTGCCATCGTCCACTTTCTCACGCTCATCAAATCAGTCTGGGGTTACCATTGAGTTGAGAAGGCACGGCTAACCGCAATATTTCCGCGAGGCCTGGGGCTTGAGGCTTCATGGCCGCCGAACTCATACTGAATGAGACTGTGACAGCTTCGATGACACATGCGTATTGCGTGAAATGTGATGCCTGTACCATTGCGCATGCGGTGGACTTCAGCGGGATGGCTAACTAAGAGGATTCTGGTCGACGAAAGGCATCAACTCTTCAGTCTAGATTGCAGAAAAACTAACAGGAGCGTACACAGGATGGGTTGTGGTGTATACTCGAATCAAGCCTCCTCATCACGAGCCAAGCGCTCGTTGCTGAACCGATAATTGCATCTTGAGTACTTATAGGGATATCCCGCGAGATTGAGCGGTCTCGTTGAATCAAATATCGAGGGTGGAAGGGTGAACCTTGAATATCCCAGGTCCATGACAGGGATTAAACGTAAAAGATGGCAGGCATACAAGCGCCCGAAGCTGCTGCATCGTCTGCATGCATCGGTTAATTACTGTCTAGCACTGTCTAGCACTGTTTGCAATTGAGCGAAAGGACTCAGCAAGCTTCAGCATTTAGAGCTATGAACCATCATAATACGCAACTAGTTAATGATATTTGTGTGCAAGCTTCGTCAGCCGAACTCGCCTATGGCATTTGGACTCGATGAATTGCCAACCGTTGGACACGGGCAGTTATTTGAATAGAATTTTAGCATGCGGTCCCATTAACTCGCCATCAGGTCTGGACCAAGTTCTGGTGTCTTTAAGTTGCGCGTCGGACAAATAGACGAGTGGAGTCCAAAGGAGTTAGGAAGTTGGATTGCAGTATATGTGTTGGAGCATGCCTCGAGGACCACATGAATCGCAAACGTGCTGCACGGCCGGCATAGTCTTTGCCTACTCTCGAGCACGCTCGAAGACACGCGATCGTCCTGCAGACCAGTGCGCTGCGGACGAAGATCAAAATGAAGTGTGATATCCGGACACGGTGTAATGTCCGCCATGACGCAAGTATCGGCGAGCACGGAGGGTGCGAGAATGGATTATCATGAAGCATCGATCCTGCAACTGTGCGGACAGCTCTTGCTCCGAGTCACGGTGACGAGACCGTTCTTCCTCCAATTTCCAGTTGTGGGTCTGTGAAACGCACGGTAGTATCGCGCTACCAGCGATACTTTCCGCGGCTGCCGATCAGCACGATCGCGATAGTGCGTAGAGATATCCACCGTTCACATGCATGCCGGTAAGTCTGATGAGGAGCACGGAGCATGACGACCACAGATGAGCTTCGATAACAGATTCCGCGACGCTCCCGCTGTGGAGTCCGATGTCGGTGTCAGGCCATGCGTCGACGTCGACTAAGCTCATGGCCGGGCCTAGAGCGTGCTACAAGCACACCTTTGCACGAGTTGAGAGCATTCTAGCTAGGTTGAGACTAACACCTGCAGTGCTCCGTATATCAAAACCTGGTCCGAGGATGATGCCGGATGTCCATATTGGGAGGCTGCATGTGGCCCCAGCGACAAGACAGAAGCAGTGCTGCGTGTGTGCGTCACACTGGGCAGCTGGGCCGTCCGGAGTCTTCGTCCATCTTTAGCTAAACTAAACGGATGTTGCATCAGCAGGTCCGAAGCTGTGCCGGGGAAACTACGGACCTATTGATCCCGCTGAGGAGTGATGCATGGTATTGCGCAGGCAAGCTCGAAAGGATCAATCAGCAACCTGCGATGACGCCGCTCACTCCATTGCGACCGGTGATATCCAGAGGCTGTCACTGTGGTCTCTATTGCAAAGCCAGAGAACCTAGTCTCACCTCAGGAAAAATATTCCACTCGAAACTTACGCGGGCTCATCGTCGCTGATCCGACAAGCAAAAGTGCCACCAAGAAGGCATGCATACCGCAGTCCGCAACGGCTGCGCCCACTTGACGGTATGTACCTGGTCCTAATCGGCATCTCAGGTACATCGCTGCTCTGCCTCCGTCAAGTCCGAGCTTCGCGGCAGGTTTGTAAGGATGACGAAGAAAAGGTCGATGACCCAACTCGCATGCAGTGCAGCGTGGAAGCACGCTACAGCCTGCTTCGCGTCGCTAGCGGCGCCAAATGACTGTACAGATAGACAGTTCCGGCGCCAGCTGGGAGTTCTCTCCGAGACCGGACGAACGCTTAGGGTTTACTGGTTCCATGACTTGAGTGTGCAGTGTAGGAAGACTCAGGAAAGGTTCTTACATGGACGCTGCGGCGGAGGTGGTCCGCCTCAGGGGCTTTGCCTAGATTGAAGCACGTTGACAAAAAAGTGCGACGGACCATCTATACCAGTCATGGTAAGTCTCCTACTGATAGGTGGCGCGTAAGCGGGAGTCGCTAACAACATCTAATAGATGGCCAGGCTCGTCGTCGCAAGGGTTAAATCGGACATCGTGGCGCGATCGTCTCCTTCCCTTTGTAGTCGATGAGTACGTCGGCTACGTCACCCAGATTGCTCGCAAAGGCAGCAGACGGTAACTTTTGAGAGAGACCGAGCTCACCGTAAGCGATTGTTGCCCGGAGCATGGAACACGTCCAACCGCTTTTTTCGAACAGCACAGAGCGCTCGTTTCACATATAGTTTTTCTGATCGTGCCGCTTTCGCAAAAGAAACGTTTCTATTATGTACGATTTCGGCAATCCCCGTTTGATCATTGTTGTAATCTCACATTCAATGAAACTGTGCGCTCGGACAGAAGCTTCCAGGATGATCCGTTGTACCTCGGAAGGTCGATAGCATCTCAACATGCATACGCTCCCCGATACAAGTGAGTTTAGATCAAGGAAGAAGAGCTCAGAACGTCTTTCTTGGTGGACCTGAGGCTGCCAGCTATCGAGACTTATGTAGTAGGTCGCATCGCAGGTACCGTCAGTCGCCGTTTACTTAAGTGCTGTGACTCTTTATCGATAACAAATGACTGCATTTGGAAGTTGGTTCCCACTTTGTCCAGGACTCCAAACCTCATCTTGGCCAACTTCGAATATTCTGTCCGGCAGATCAACTCCATCCCTGGAGCGCATGCAATATTTCTGCCAGAAGGATAAGGGATTGGGCCACTTACAATGGAGTTAACTGATTGGACAAAAGTGGCGGCGACTAGGCGGTGCCACGCAGCATCGTAAGCGCGTCGTGAAGTGACAGTCTACAGCCTATAGGACAACATCGCGTGCGATGTTGCGCAGCTGCGTTGCAGCCTGGAGAAAAGGAGGTCACGTAAACACCGGCGGAGAGGTGAGATGCCGCGCATACATGCACTGTCCATCTGCGCAGGGTCACAAGAGCCCGCGCCTGAGAGACTCGCCATCTCGAAGACAGATCTGCTGCTTCAGTTTGACCTCGGGCAACAGACAGCCGGATAGACACAGAACGTCGCGAACACAACACATCGCATCGCGTCGCCAGGAGGTTAGCTCGCCATCAGTCTTCCTCTCACAACCCTGCGAATCAACGCTCGGATAATGTGCGACGTCTGATTGGCACGCCTGCTTCCCCGTGCTGCAGCGTTCACGACAACAGCAGCGTGAGTGGGAACCTGAACAGGTACAGACCAATGAGCGCGTGCGAGCGAGCCGCACGGTGCTGAGTCACTGGTTCACTGGGGTATTTGGCTGTCTGCAACATGGCTTCAGAAAGCGGTGGGAAAATCGCCTCCAATGAGAACTCTCATGCGGATACATGTAATATTGCGGCCACCAGGTGCTCCATCGAAGCAAATTCTGACACAAATAAAGTGTAATGTCCGAATTCGGGCACACTAGACGGTATATGTATCCTGCAGACACCCATCCGGAAGACAGAAGGTCGCAGCAAAATTGACGTCGTGCGAGGCACTAATGGAAGATGGCGTACCCATCACCGCGGAGACGTCAACGCGAGTGCGTCGATGGGGCGCTGCAGACGTAAACGCAGCAAGTTATGAACCAGTTCTTCAGTGCCTGTAGGCGAGCATGCGATAGAAGCAGCTCCTTCCGGTTGCGTGTGGGCCCGCTTCCTTGATCGGGCAAATGTCTCAGGAGGATGCTGAAGACGGCAAGAGCGAACCTGATGGACAGGGCCGCTAGGCTTTCGCTGCCTGAGACACCGTAGGAAAGCGTTTTGGCACCCGCGCCCAAAGAGGGTCGTTTCGCTCTATCGTAGCAAGCCGCTGAGAGATACGAGTAAGCAAGCGGGTACCGCCATATGCAATAGCCAGCAACCTTACGGAAAGTAGCAACAAGACCCGTCCAGCGATAAGATACGCTCGGGAGCAAGAACAAGTAATCGGGGCCACCAGGGTGTTGAGGATCACAAGGAGCACGCCTTCCTGCCGCGGACACGGTCCGCCCGTCCTGGATCAGCGACGCGTCTGCAGAGCATTCCCTTGCGGCCCCGACCTGCGCGTTATCGCAGTGCTTCGCTTCTCTTCGCAGAATGCCGATCGGGCCATTTTGAAGGGGCAACAAGCGAGCGTGTACTTATGATAAGTAGGCGCCGTTATAAGACGCCTCTCCGTGATTGAGATTGAGTAAGTGAAATAGCCGCGGTCGGTATGAAGAAGCTCGCTGGGCATTTTGACGGAGGTAAATACGGCATCGTATGTAAGTATCATCTCAGCCGGAAACGGGTGTGTCCGCGGTGTCACGCTTTAGAATTTGGCGAACGAGATAAGGCAAAGGCTCACGTATATTGGACATACCCGGACGCCCTCGTTGCAGGACCTTCACGAGGTGATCAATTTGAGGCGTGACGCTGTGAGGCCTATTCGATTTGCAGGTTTACCGTGGCGCAATCGGCGTCTTTGAGTCCCTCGTGCTCGACGGCAGCAGAGGATCCCGACGATCGTCCGCTGCTGTGGCACGCGTACGCGGGCAGCATCGACACACCTCGGTTTCGCCGAAACTGTGTTTGCCCGCACTCCAGCCCATGACGGGTGCCCGCGCCGACGTCGAACCCAACGGGACGGGAGAAGGGTGTGAAGAAGCGCGGGCGATGTGATAGACTATACGCTCCGAGCTCAGTCCCGAGCTCATTCCGTCGCTCTACAGCTTCTCGTGTACGCTCCCACTCGCTTGCCGTCCCGAGTCCCGTGCGGTGGTGCCACCGCAACGCAGGCGATTAGAGTTGAGCTGTTCGTCATTCGCCCGAGCAACTTCCCTGCTCGCGGTCTGCCTCCGCAATCCCTCTCAGGTCCAGCGGACCGAAGACGTCGTTCATCGGCGATACCGTGGCGTGACGGAACACGAAGAGATCGACGGGATGGTCATATGCGAGTCATAGATGCATGGCGTTACGCACGGACGCCCGCCGCGCGTCGCAGCGTTCATGCACAATCGTGCCGCCAGTGCCAGTCTAGGAAGCAAGGGCTCGACGCCACGCCCATCGCATAGTATAGTAGGACCCCGAAAATCCCTATGGGAGGCCGGTCGGCTATCCGGACATGAATTGGCACTTTTCAGGCTCGAGGCCTGTCCTCAATCCGGACAAAATGACCCCCTAATCCCCAAACAGCCTGTCAAAATGTCCAGACATTTTCTCCGTATGTTCCGATAGGCCAGTCCAGTGTCCAGACACACGGGTCAAGGATCATCCTGTCGGCGACGCTATTTGTTTTGGGGGAATGCGGTTTGATTTTTTTCTAAATCATTGACAGAACTGGGAATTTATCGGCGTCTTATGCGCTACTATGCGTTCGAAAACGGGTCGAGCCAAACGTGGTTATCAACCTGAAATGTCTTCGTTGAGAGGCTTATAGGCTTTAATACATACTTAGTTCGACATGTTACAAGAAACGTCATTTTTCCCTCTGCAATGACGTACTGCCTGTTCTTCTTGAAATCGCTTCTTTGACCAATGACCACTGCAATAGACCTGACCATTGATCCTCCGGCTTTCATCCGAGACGAATGGATTGGTCAAGGAAAGGTTTGGCCAACTAAGAAAGATGCGCCCATATCAATAAGTGAAGCCCATTGTGCGGCCTTCTCCTTGCCACCAGAATGGGAGGGCTGCTTCCTACCCAGATCTGACATTCCTGTGACTGAATTCATCAAATATCCCTTCCCTCGACACAACTTCTCACTTGCTATCACACGGCCTATGGCTTGGTTCTCCCCTGATATGCCCAATGCAGAGCGCAATGTGGCCGCCGAAGAGTAGATCTGCACTTGTACTGTCACATATAGAAAGCTCTAATCGTTGTCTTGCGAATTTTCCGAAAAAAGCGACTTTTCCGACAAAATGTAATGCAAAATAGGCCGGTCAGGCGATCCGGACAGATAATGGGCCGCTGAAAGGCCAGTCACAATGTCCAGACACAAATTCCAGGGTATCGGAGGCTGGACAGCTATCCGGACAGTAACTCCGGAAAAGTTGTCCGGACAGGAAGTCCCAAAATCAGTGATTTTTGGACCGGCCTCCCATAGGGATTTTCGGGGGTCCTAGTATAGTGCGTTCGAACACTCCGACGAAGCCATTCGAGATCCGCCTGGCGATAGCATGTGTTCGCCCATACACGTCTCGCTGTGCCCTCGTAGGGAATACATCGCGTACCTAGTCCTCCGTAGGCCCGGCTCGCGCCTCCTAATCTCGCCCTCCCACCGAGCCTCCAGAAGTGAACATCATGAAGAACTGTAAAAGATGAAACGCATACAGCGCATGGCTAATTTATCACCGCGGACTCGGAGGCAAACTGATGAAGGATAGATACCACGCACGGGGCAAGGAAATGTGATGCACGATGCATCGATGTCGATGCACGTACCTACACGCAGCACGTCTGGCCACGGCTCGTCGCCATGTCTCAGCCTCGCCGCCACCGTCCCTCCGAGCGCCGCGGAACCAAATACAGCAAGAGATCACTCGCGGATCTCCTGCTCATCGAATTGCCTGTATCCCGCACGCACGGCCCGCCCCGCTACGCAGGTGACGACAAGGTCACGGACGACGGTCGCCATGCCCCTAGTTAGCTTATAGTCTGCGTTGCGTATGCGGACAACTGGGCGGTGACGGTCTCAATTCGGACTGGCATCCAAGCGCTGGTGGTCGGGCTCGGGGACTACGAGCTCCCGCCTAATTGGCGGAGATGAGTTGCTACTTTCGATCAGGATGTGGCGCAGCAGGGAGAGTGGTCGGCTCGAGGCGTGGAGACTTCGACTGGCCACCCGTGTGCAGGCACCACGATGCGATATCGATTGATGCGATGTGTGCGATGTCGATGAACGATGCATCGTCATATGCTTTGAAAGAAACGTTGCGTCGACGCGCGGGCAGGCTTCCGACGATGTTGCGGCTGCACGATGCAAGCTTCTCATCTTCCCAGGGCGACGTCGCTTAAAGAGAATATTCGGAATTGATGGGATGCTTACGTGTTGTACGGGTTGCTTACCTCCATGCGCCTCGCCTGGATAAAATATGGCAGAGTTTGCATGATGGATCGTATATGAGCTTCAGGGACATGATGTGATTAACAGGTATCATATCTCGTGCATCAGGCGAGAGCTGGTTGTTTACGTCCAGATAATCGCCAGCCACGCTGCGCATGGAAAAGAAGCATGGTCGGACCGTCGAAGTCGAGGCCGATATGCTCCTTGCACCGCCATTGGCTCTCACCGCGTTGCGATCCGCCATCCGTCATGTTGATCTGGAAGGCCGAAGCGTATTGTGCTGCGTACACGATGCAGGCACGTATAGTACATGTCCGTAATGATGTGCAATACGTAGCCTTCTCATTTCCTGGAGATCGTAGATGTGGCGTGTGCGTGAGTCCTGTTGCACGCAGCAACTGCGACCGCGGGAGTTTACTGGGGTATTGCATAAGCGTAGCTCAGAAGCAAGCGACTCGAGACGAGCGTGCACACGGAGCGCGGTGGCCCGGTGTGCGTGGGAACCGATGTGGTGTGTGGCGCGTGGCGCTTAGAGCCTCTGCTGCGTCTTGTGCATAACAAAAGCGATCGAATAAAGGGTACACAAGAGAACAAGATACTATTGACAAGGCCAGCGATGGGAGGACGATAGGACCGTTGCCGGAAGTCGAGACCATCAAGCGAGTCAGTATGCGCAGCGTGGCCCAAAAGACGGGGCATGTGATGGAGATCCGGGGAGGCAGGAGAGAGACGGAGAGATGAGCGCTGTGATTGCGGCGTTGTGCGAGAAGCTGTACCGCAGCGTGTACAGCGATGCGAACAAAAATGGTTAATCTCCTGCACATCGCACACATCGGAATGCACGATGACCGCGTTGCTCGTGACGATCCATGCATTGCACGACGCGATAGCACCGACGCGGCGCATGCACGGTCCAGTAGAAATGCTCGCAGACGGCAGCCAGTCGGGTGACTGCGGGGAGTGGCGTCCGCAATAGGCAGGCGGTCGGGCCAATGAGCAGCTGAAGGAGTGATAGACGCAGGGAATTCGGGAAGGCCCGTGGCGGGGAAGGAATGGATCAAGATCCTCGGAGGGGGATCGGGCGTTCACAGATTGCAAGATAGGCACGCGAGGCATGTGCTTCTTTCCATATTGAGGATGGTTGGTCGCTTGGAAGGGAAAATCCGGGGCTGGACGTGCCCACCGAAGTGCAGCCGAGCGCTATATGAGCGGGGAATGGTCGGGCGAGCGCGCACGGCGCGAGTCTGGCGTGCGGCGCCGCATGACCTGGTCGCCGTTGTCTTTCCCTCGCTATTATGTCGCGGGAGATTGGCTGCGTGGGGTGGGGTTCGAGCAGCGACAGACAGCAAGTCAATGCAGGGTCACAAGAGCGTCGTTGCGGTAGAGACGATTGCCGCATCCGGGACGGGGTGAAGGCAGGCGAGCAAAAGAAATTAGGGTCGAAGCGAAGGGGCCGAAAGAGGCAGGGGCTGATCGCAAACGGAGGGTCAAGCGAGCGAGCGCTCTGGCCGATGGTCTAGGCTGGAAAAATGCAGAGCGGGCTGCGGTGATTCGCTCGGGCTGCAAGGGGCCGGGGACCCGGCGACTATGGGGCCAATGGGAGAGGTCGCACGGGGATGACGTTCTCGGTGCTCGTCTCGGGCTGCACACCGCGGTGGACCTCACCAGCTGTCACTCGGTGTCACGCCGTGTCACAACCTCGGGCCAATTGGGGATCGGCTGTGAGCGCAAATGCATCAAGTCGATAAATAAACTGGGTCCTTGTCCCGTCCCATCCGTTCCCCACCTGCGCGCCGTCCCTCCAGGTCTTCCCGTCGATTCATCCTGGCCACACCAGCCTCGACGTCGTCGCTGCCTTCGCTGGGCCCTTTGTCGCCCCCTCATCTGGCATTGACACAATCTCTCCGCTCGCTCTGTGTCTGGCGCGCCACCGGCTCGCCGCGACTTGCGTTTGGAACCGCTTTCCCGTTATCCGCGCCTTTTCCATCATCGCGTTAAAGTCCGTCCTGGCTACGGCCCTTACGCAACTCCACACATACCATGGATATTGCATTCGACACTACTTGGTGTCCGGTCTGCAGCAGGCAGATCCTGCCAAAGCGCTACTACGTCCCCATTCAACCTCAGCCACAGGCTCCCGTTGTCCCGCCCAGCTCTCCTACCTCTGGTACGTCTTCTCTTCTCTTCCTGCAATTCCATCATAATGCTTAATAATCCCTTTCAGACCCCAAAAGCCACGACGATGCGCCGGCAGTACGCCTTCCCCGTAACAAGACTGGCACCATCCGCGCGAGAGCCGGAGGGCTCGTTCACGGCACAGGTCGTGTAAAGCCCAACGGCGCTCTCAAGCGCGACGACACAATCAAGAACACGAAGAAGACCGCACCCACTGTGTCTTCTACCGAGTCCGAGCCGGCTCTCGTCCGCCCTGCGGGCCCTGTTCGCCACCGCACTGTGATCGACCAGAACCCCGTTCCCCTCTACTGCTCGGACGAGTGCCGTCTCGCCGACCTCCAATCATCCCACGGCGGCATCGGTATCGACTACAACCCGGACCGTTGCCTGTCACCCACACTGCCTCCTGTTCCCCATAATTCCTTTTCCGATTTCTCTTCCAGCACCGAGGAGAGCGACGTGGGCAGCGGGGCGTCTTATGACTCTCGCTCGTCCGTTAGCTCCTCTCCTCCGATTGGTATCCCCACTGGTTACGAGGCGTTGCGACGACTCTATGGTGACGATCTTCCGCCGCCGCCGCCGCCTGCTCCCCTCATGCACCGTCATGCGAAGGACTCCATCTCCTCGCTCGACGACTACCAGTCGGGCACTATGATGGCCGCGCGTCGCATCAAGGCTGTGCTCGCCAGCAATCCGCCAAAGCGAGGCGAGAATGGACGCCTCGAGGACCGCAAGCCCATCCCTGGCTGGACTGACGGTTCAAGCGCTTGGCGCGCCAGCGTCTACAACCTCACCGCCCCTCAGGAACTCAACACCCCCGTCGACGAGGAGCGTGCGAAGAGCGCATACAAGGGCTTCGTCGCGAGCTCGCACCGCTCACGCAGCGGCGTCTACTCGACTCTCAGCGAGGCTGCCCCGACATTCGAGTCCGCCTCCGCCGCTTCTCTCCCTGCGCGTACCAGCAGCACCAACTCGGTGGCGTCGGGCACCCGCTCGCGTTCCGAGGCTGAGGAGATGCACAACAAGTACCCGCTGTTCGCACGGCGCTGCGAGTCGCGCATGTCGCTTGCGGGACCAGCACTGTCGACGTCGCCGACCGGTTCGACGCGTTCGTTGCCGGTGGCCACCGGGCGCCGAAAGGAGTTCTCGCTTGTCAAGCCTGGTGCAGAGGGCCGGCTCCTCGTGCCGAACGTGAAGATGTCGCGAGTGCCGTCGACGCTGTCGACGATGACGATGTCGAGCGAGGCGAGCTCGAGCTGGGGCAGTGCGTACTACGGGAAGAGGCGCACGCCTCTGAGCCGCCAGAATAGCGACATGAGCATCGACAGCGTGGACAGCAGGGAGACGGAGCCTGAGGAGCCGCCTCACTGGCCGTCGATGTCGTTGCCGGCGACGACGAGGAGCGAACCAAGGAGTGAGTGTTCTTTTTCCGTCATTGGGTTGAGCTGGTCGCTGACAACGTTGACAGCACGGACGTGGAGCTACTCAGACGACACGTTGACGTATCCTATCATGCAGATGCCGTTGAAGAAAGAGAAGCGCATTGTGCATAGCGTCGTCGACGGGAAGGACAAGGAAGTCGAGGTCGAGGTCGAGGTCTCGCAACCGCTGAAACGCCTCTTCCTGTTCCCGGGCAAGGAGGTGAACTAGTTGCACCCTCGTCCGTCGTCTCATCGTCTCCCAGTCTCTCGTGTTCTTTCTACTCCGTCCTGGTCGTCGGCCTCGCATTGCATTGACCTGCCCATTCATCACACTATCCCATACCCACACAAATCGCCTGTCGATACCTCTGACAACGATACCCTCACGACGCTCACGAAGCCGCATCTTGACTTATTCATCATATCTCCTGCTCGCTGCATCGTCTCGTCGCCCGCGTTGTCATCGTCGCTCGTCATCACCGCGCTACCTCTCATCGCATCGCATCGCACTGCATCGTTGCTACCCTATGATCGCCTACATCAATCGTTACGCCTAGCACCGTCTATTCTCGCCATGCTCGTCGCACCAAAACGTGTACCATATGTACGATATATCCGGGGTCGCCGTCGTGGCTGTCTTGTTATCAAGTGTACTTGTACGTTTTCTCTATCGCCGTCATCGCCACACACATACCGCATATAGCATGCTACCCTACGATCGTGGACTCCGGTTCATACCTAACGCTCGGTGTCTCGTTTTCTCTCGGCATTTGTTGACATTGTGTACAATAGCGCATCGTCGTCGTACACTACATGACTTTTCTCATCGTGGCCGGTCTTTGGGTTGTTCGTTTTCGGGTGTACGAGTCATTTCGCATGGGTAATGGAGGGCATTATTGGGACTCTGTTATTACTTACGCTTACTGTGTCTCTCGCATCAACGTTATCTCATGGAGTCAATTATTGAACTAAGTGTAGGCTACGTTGCTGTGCATAGTTCGCTATCGACGACAGTCATGAATGCAATACATGTTACAATATCCGTCTTGTGATCTCTTGCTTGCACGGCGAACTTGGGTGCAGTCGCCTTTGCGAGTAGGGCGGACCCAGGGATGTATCTCGACGGATGGTTGGCGCACGTGTGATTGGGCCGTGCGGTCAGGGCTTCTAGCCGACGGGACCCTATGCGGGATGAGTCAAGCGACCAGCTGTGCTGGAGGACAAGACTGAATTGTTTACAAGAAGGCGGGTACGAATTCCGAATTGACCGCACCATCGACTCGACGCCATCTCGCAACCCGAGGCGTGACTAGCCCTTATTCATCGCTCGGGAGATGAAATGCTGCCGACGCGGAGTCGACGGTCGGACGTCGGTGGAGCTCGATTCGGCTCAGCGCTCATAGTCTCGGTCGCCTGGAGGCTCGAGAGCGCCTTTTATATTCGCGCTTGCCACATTGCGGCTCGCCCGCTCGGGGAGAGAGCACCTGACCTGCGCGCCCGACCGAATGGTCCCTGTGGCTGCGCCTTGTCTTCGCGGGCGACCACCGCGACCCCGAGCCGCATGCCTCCTCGTTGATCATTGCCGTTGCGCTTCGGCGACCGTTACCGGTAGCATCCATTCCGCATGCGGGCTTTGTTCTGTTACTGATCGCGGCCACATGCCGGATATGGCATAGGGCGCATTCGCGGTCCGCGGTGCCCTTTGTTCGAGTCTCGACCGCCGCGCCAATTCGGAATTGGCGCGGACGCGTACACCGACGGACCGCGCGCGGAGAGCCGGCTGCGTGCGGTGTTCCTGACGGTGCCCAGGCAAGAGCTCAGCATACGGTGGAGCAACTTGAATGAACAATCAATGCGTGGTGAACACTGCTATTATGATGAAAGTGCTTTAAGAGATAGTTCTGGCACATTGCCGGTTCCGCATGCTACGTTCTGGTCGAGGTCTTGTGTATTGTGTGTCGGACCTCAGCAACAGTTTTATCTCTTTCGGGCAGAAACAAATGGACGTCCCCAGCGGGCGCATCAGATTGCGCCTCAAGCTCAAGCCTCGTTCCTTCGGCGAAGCCCTCTTTTTGTCTGGTCTGGTCTTTTCTCATTTTGGACGGTCGTGGTCGGTGTCTCTTGTCTGTTCTGGGGCGTTCGTGCACTATAGGCAATTGCAAATGGCAAATACAGCAGTGCGCACACACGGACGGCCGCAGTTGACCATTAATATTGCGCCTCGGAAGTTTGTACTCGCTGCTGCGCACGGGCCCGGCAGAGCGTCGATCCGCCAGCAATTAATAAGGGACGCGCCGACCGACCGTCTTGGAGTCTGGGCTTCCGCGAGGATTTGCGCCTCTGAAGCACCGAGTACGTTTCGTCCGGAAGCGGGGCGTTCCAGTTCGAATGCAGAAGAGGATAGTATAGCATGCAGGATGCATGGAAGGCGAGTGCGCGTGACGGACACGAGGCAGGCCACTGGGGCGCGCGATGGGGAACGCGCTGAATTGGCGAAGGTGTCTGTGGCGGAAATCGAGGCCTGGACCCGCGCAGACTTGGGCGGCAGCGTCGCGGATGCGGGGACCAATGGCAGTGCGCGTTCTGCTGCCTCTTTGAGCGTGCTTCGCCTGACATCATCCTCAGCCACATCGCAGTGCGAGTCGAGCGCTGATCTGCACAGGCACTTCTGCCTCGGCGCGACGCTCGGAACACGTACGATAGCTTCCCGTCGTCTATCGCCTCGCGATCCTTCCCATGTAAATCCTGCTCCAGCACACTTGGGCGCAGACTCGCCTGGCCAGTTCATTCCGCTCTCACCCTGTCGTATCGCTCGTTCTCCCGCTCAGGATGCGCTCTTTTCGCCTGCGCCAATTCGACAGCGTGCGGGTACTCGGGACGACGTGAAGCTTATTCACGCGCTGCCAACCGATCCAGAACTGCCAGTACTCTTGCACAGGAGTGCTTCCTCGTTACCCCACAATAAGCATAAGAAACGACTTGTCTTGGCTGATTTATGAGCGTACCCCACAATGCGATACCCGCCCTCTGTGCTGTTCTGCCACAGCCCTCCACAATATGAATCCACCTTCACCGCAGATCCGAGGCGTGTCACCTGTCCCGGTCGTCCACAGCACACAAGTCTGGGTGCATCGCAGCGACTGAATACTGATCGGACGTTCGCCGCCGCCTAGCCCAACCTACGCGGGCCATTCTCCCCGATCTCACAAGGTTCGCTGCTGCCGCTGAGACCACTTGACTTGCCCAGCGGCACGCCCACCATGGCTGTTGGTGCTTCGAAACATCCTTGCAAAGATACTGTACCCTTTCGACCATAGGTTCAGTCACGGTCACATCCACCCTTGAACTGGCCTTTCAGGTCAAATGTCACGCATCACCGGCCGGTAGAACTAAGCGTCACTTCAAAGGTCACACCGTTCCGGAGCTCTTTTCACAGGTGCTTATATATTTTTCTCTGTTAGAATGATCCCTACGCCTACAGAATGCCTACTGTTGCATCTCCCACACAATTAAGCACCTGAACTGAACTGAACTTTTTGTCCCAGGTCACAGGGGGTCTTGAACTAGATTCGGAAAATGCTATGAAGCGAGCTATATTGCGAGGCAGTGGCAAGGAGAATAGATGCGACACCTTGTCAGGTGAGCGCGTCTCTTTCTCGTCCACCTGCTTAGTAAGCCAGCGTTCGGTCTAGCGCTCGTTCCCTGAACTTCGCAGAATGCCTACCAGTTGCATCTTCCACACAATTGAGCACTGAACTGAACTGAACTTTTGTCCAGCTCACAGGGGGTCTTGAGCTAAGTCCGGCCCAGTTCAAAGCATCATGTGTAACACCCCACGAACCTATGGTCGAAAGGGTACAGTATTTATCCATCCATGTTGCCGCATGCTCGCCGCAAGCTCGCCGCAACGCGCTCGCACAGGCAATTTTGCGCTACCGGTGCCTCATCCAAGGATATCTCGTGGAGTCGCTTCAGAGCGCGCTCACGCCGAGCAAAAGCAAATTCGGCCGTCGTGCGACGGATGTATTGTGCGTTTTTTCTCATCGCTATGCCACCCCGCGTGACCCCTTCGCCAGCCCCACTTGACCTGCAAGTTGACAGCGACATCGCGCAATCTAGACTGGACGTGGTATTTTCGTCCCTGTCGTGTGTGTGCGTGTCTCCGTTCCTGTCGTGTCTTGGTGCGATGGGTCGGTCATGCGTGCGAATGCTCGACGTGCTCTTGATCTACGCTGAGATCCCAAGCGTGAGTGGCGCAGATTTGATTCTGCACTCGCCGCAGCGCGGATTCGCGTTCGTTGCCCCAATCTCCGCATCCAATCTCGTCTCATTCTGCCCACGATGGTGCTTCCTGACGCATCGCGCTCGGAAGGACGCCACTCAGCTAGAAGACCGGTGCGTCGTGACACTCGCTGCGTGACGGGGGCGGCCAGCGGATATGTCGGCTCTCGTCCTTGGCCAGGCCGGCTGTCGGAGGTATCACGACATGGTACCAGAGCAACACGGCAATTGGTCATGTGGCCCCTTGCAGCAGCGGCGCTGTCACACATCCCAGCGCATGTGTGGCCACTAATGTCTATCTGGTGACACGTCCATGTGAAGGGACTACACAGGGCGGAAAACTCACCGAGCCTGAGCAACAACTTACGCGCACGCACGTATCGCGTCAACGTTCTGTCTCATTCCACTCCGTCTGATGACGCAGTAACCGCTGCCGTACCATGCTATGTTATTTCCGCAGCATTGCACGGATATAACCTATTCCTCGTATGGCTCGAATGAATGGACGCCCCTTTACCCCGCATACATGCGGGGATCGTGCGGGGAGACGCGCGGCGGAGTCACCGCGAGCCAATATCCATCGAACGATATCTGTCCCCTTGCCCCGGATTCCCGCTGTCGATCGCTGCGGCGTGATGTCTGCATGAATGCATGACGAGTGCAGAGAGGTGCCCCTATCGCGCAAATGATCATCGTACGTCAGTACTTCAGTCCTCGCTGCTGCGTGCAGGTATGAAGAGCGCGAATATTGAATCTACTCCCCTAGTGACCGTGACAGTGACTCGAGCGCAGACGCAGACGCTCTATTTCGTCGCTTTCCGAGACGTAAGCATAGAGTTTGATCGGCGCTGGGGTGCATGCGGGGAGACGCACGCTCGGGAGCGAGCTAGTATGACTGATGCCTTCCCTGCGTGTATATCGTGCTAACCCCGCGCGTGTGATGCCCGGCCATGGCCCCCTTCGCTCCGCGAGCTGAAATAGCCCGCTGTTCGTGATATAGTGGCTAGCAGCGTCTTCCAGTATTTGTCAACGGGATCTGTTGAATGTCCTCCGCAGCCGTTGAGGACAGAGAGACGGTTCAGGCAGGGTGCATAGGTATGCGGATCGAAGAACGTGGTGTCCCGTACAGGTGGTATGGAATATACAATGCGACATGAATACGGCGCTCGCAGACTCCGCGGACCTCCGCTCACCCCGCGAGGACGACGGCGGCGGACCTTGTTCGCGTTGACGGGTGACTGCCGCTTCTGCCAGTGGGAGCGCCGTCGTGATCCGCAAAGGTGAGTCTGCTTACTTGTTCAGACGTTCAGATATCGCGGTCAACGCGGCACTGCGTTTCAGGCCCATCTGTTTGGATGAATCATCTGCGCTGACTCCTATATGCACATTTAGCGACGGCAGTTGCCGCGTTTCTGCTGTCCGTGGGCTGTGCATGATGGTGGTCGCGGCGGCGTGGGGTGGAGAGCGACGGTCGGCTGTGCCACTTGCGAGCCGGTGAGGTGTGCGGTGTCGTGTGTTGCTGCGAGCTTCACTTCCGCATGTCACGGTTGTGTTTGGTGAATGTGCGGTGGAGTGTAGAGAAGTCTCTCGTTGATCCGGCTGTCGCAAGTGCTGTCGTTCGGGGGTCACTGAGAAGGAGGCCGTGTGGCCTGCTCGTTCAATTGAACGTGTTCCTGACGAGGAGTTGGGCGGAGGGCTCTTGCCGTGCAAGAATAGACTCTTTGACGGCTTCAGTGTGTGCTGCAGTCAAGCGTGTCGTCGAAGGTTTGTTCTCCCCGAAATTTGTGTGGCCCAGCGCAGCCTCGACCGTCGTTTGCCTCGACCAACGCAGCCGTAGAGTGAATTAATCAAGCCGGCGCAGACGCTTTCTGTGGGTGACATTGCTGTCACGCCCGAAGGGCACGGCGGTTGCACAGTTGGTAGGTACGTGCGCATCTGCGTGAGCACCCACATTCTGTTCCGGGTACTGACCGTCGTCGGCCAACATCGCTCCGCAGAGCGCGCAATATCGGCCATCAATACGGCTACGGGACAGTCGCCCCGGCAAGATGCGGTCGCGTCGTGGCCCTCAGACTGGACGAGTGGCGCGCTATGGCTTTTATGGCTAGCGCATCGTGGTCGTGCAGCTTGCTCCCGCGCGACCCCGGGTTTTTGATGATCCCATCTTGTGTATCGGCTGTGGGGAGGTCAGGCGGGGTGGGTGCAATAGAGCGGTTGCGATTCGATCGCTCGAGGTGGTCAATTGAATCGTCGCAAGGCTGCGACGAATCATCGCTCCGAGCGCGGTCGGCTGTTACATGGCGCTTGAGCATGGCGCTTTAGCCTTTGGTGAGCATTTGTCTGTCTTTTATTGGCGGCAGGGACGTGACTTACTATCCTGGATGGTTCAGAGCCATAAGAGCCCTTACATGGGTTTATTGATGTCAGGGCCGATGGTCAGCCTGTATTTTGCATATGTGCAATTGCAGTAACTTCATGTCATCGCTGCTGCTGCGCGCAAATGAAACAGCTCGAATCGCGACTGTTCACTCATCAATCTGCCACTTCGTATGTCAGTCGTCCATCAAACTGAAATAGCGGCTTACGCTATGTGTCTGAGTGAATGCCTGCCGCTCTCATGATTGTATCTCCAGTCACCCTCTCGACGTGATAGATGTACTCGCCATCTTACTGTCGACAAACTGTCATCATCAAAGATCTATCTGTCCGAGGCACTAGCGGTATGTTCTTGGTCATCTTCCGGCGCCCTGTGATCCTGCTCCATGTGCAATGCGTCGCGCTTGTGACCCCGTCTGGTAGATATTCTTGCCTCATAAGGCTTATCGTTCGCGTCTCTCGCAGACGCGCCAGGCACTTGCCGGTCGCTCGTATTATGGGTGTTGACAGCGACGGAGACCTTGTACTAAGACGTTTGAACGCCTGTCAGCGCGTCCGTGCATCCGTGCTTACCGGTGTCTCGCTCAGTCCAGATGTTCCGCGGTGTTGCGCGTGGAGCCTGCCTGGTGTGGCCGTATTGTTACCCGAGTCGACCGGTTTGTCGCGGCGCCTGAGGCGGTGATGACCAGTCCCGCGATCGTCCCTGCTCGTTTATGGACTCAGAGAGAGCTCCGTCCGGAATGAGCGAGCCCGAAGGGATTGTCTGGCTTCATGCGGACATTTTCCCGACATGACCCCTCCGATGTGCTCGTAGCTTGTTTACCTTCCTATCTGGTGCTCAATGCCGCCGTGTGGGAAGTGGGCCGCCAGAAGTCCAATATTCCGCATCGACGTTCGGTGGAATCGCGGGGTGAGGCGGGTGCGGAGAGTGGGTGGGGACGTCCGGTCCTGATTCCTGGATCTACGTTGACATTTTCGGGTTATAGAGCACGGATGCGATGAGGCAGATTGGTCTTACCACTCACTCCGTGCCGACTCTTGTCTCCTGTTTATCGAACCGCGGGTATGCGTTGTTCGCATTTTTTGCGTCCGCAATGCGACAAGAATACATGCTATGCATGCGTTTCAGGAGGCTGTATGCGGTTCGATCCGATTACCGACTGCGCGACGGCTGCAATGATCTGAGAATTGCGGCGAAGCGCAATGGACGGATCCCGGGCTAGGTACCGCCTTACTCCAGGTCTCAGGATGAGGTATAAATTGGGAGGATGACCACCTTCGGGAAGGACAGCTTGTGGGGATCAAGCACTTCGCAATGGAAAAGTATAGACGCGTATACTATTATCGGATGGTCTGATGGAGTGTGCAGTTTACAGAAGATTGAGAGGCCGCCGAGTCGTCCGGCTATTGTTCGTCAACTGAGGGGTCATCCCGGGTTGAGATAGGTGAAGTGGTTGCAAGTTCGGTATACACGGACTTGGAGTGATCAAAATGCAATCGATGTTGTTCGCCGACCGCCAATTCGCCTTGAGCGCGCCGGATCACGTGGTCGCGGTTTTTTTTTGGCGGGGGGAGGGGGGTTAATATGATTAATATCCCGCATGCTGCAAGTATGACAGACAACGGTAATCAGGTATGTAGGTGGTGGTGGTGGTGGACGGAAGTAGTCACGGCAGACGGATTGCAAAGTTAGGTGTTGTGTAGAATTTGAAATAAAGGACACATTGAATGTCCGGTAGTACCACCCCGCTGAGGAAGGGTACCTGCCGCTCAAATGGAAAGGGACTTGCAACTATAATCCTAGGATCGAGTACGGTAAGCTGGTCCATCAAATGTGACGCAAGGTTATATCTCCTGTCATTCCCTCGCTCAAAAAGGGAGCATCAGGAAAACGTCACTTTTCTTTTTTGCTTCTTTTGGGACCTTTTTCTTACAAAAAAGGCAGAAAAGAGAACAATGTAGAAAAAGCGTGAGGATCGGCTGATTCCTCACTTTCTCATGGCCTTGACGACGCTTGGCAACACTGATTTGCCCAAAAAGTTGTCATCAAGTCCATTTAAGGAACAAAAGCCCGGAAGCCTATCAGGAAATTCCAAAGGCAGATTCTCTAACCTTTTGTCCTTGAACGGACTTTTCACAAACTTTCTGATCAGAAAGCATGCTCAAAAAGAAGCAGATAAGGCTTATTCAAGCCGATCCTCACGCTTTTTTCTACATTATTTTCTTTTCCGCCTTTTTTGTAAGGAAAAGGTATAAAAAGAAGCAAAAAAGAAAAAGTGACATTTTCCTGATGGACATATCATAGGTCTGCCTAGGGGAGACAAGACGCAAGGGACCTTCCTGGAAGCTCGCTGTAGGACGATATGCATGGTCAAACGTTTGTGCATATCTGTCGATAATGCATCGGCTCTTCACAGTTGCGGAGCTTCTTGTGACAACTTTCGACTGGCTCTCTAACGATCCTATGCAAGGGCAAGTCACACTTGCGAGGCCCGGGCTAATTAGGATGCGTAGGGCTTCCACGAACTTTATGCCGTTCGTTCCAACCCCCGCGCGTGATAAGAAAATAAAAGTACAAAGCGAATGGCATAGAACTTGTGCTCGACTTCCTTTGATGCGAGTAAACGACTCTGTGGCTCTGACCCGACTTTTCCCCAAGCCGTGTTGGGCTGAGGAGACCTATCCTGAAGACGAACATTGAAATTTCTGGTGGGCATTATATGCGTCTTTTTCTGCTTCGTCCGCCGAGAAGTATGACAGAAAACATTCGGTCTACCCAAAGTGGACGACTGGCTGATACTTTTGAGCTACGTTGCTCTCGTCAGGTCGATTAGTGATGCCTGCACCTCATTACCGACGGTTCTATGAAGAAAGCATTTGGACAGTAGCGCACATCAAATTCTGTACCAGTAAAAGCCGTGCTCAACTCCGTTTACTAGGTTGCGGCGGCTTGGGTGGTATCAGGCGCGCGACGATCCGGAGGGTAACATTGCCCTATCTCCCGTTGATGATGGGCCCGAACATGAACATTTACGACGTATCTATCTAGGTTCCCGCCATCATGGAGGACGACATCGCTGCCGAGATTGAACGTGCATTGCGGGACTACAAGCATGAGTGCCCGTATTTGCAGCATGTCAGCACTACGTGCCCTACAGTCCGCGAGCTTGCCTCCCTTATGTTGGAGATCATGTCGCTTCCACGACATTCCCACGCCGTCAATATCATATCCACTGCAGAAAGGCCTGGCCATCACATTCTTCACCTTACCGGCCTATGCTCTCGAGGGCGATGGCCTCGCCAACAAATGTCGCCGATGCTACTCAATGCGCTCCTGCCCAATTTTGAAGTCGTCTTCCCGGTGGTACGGCACATGGTTGGTGCAGGCGAGCCTCCCATCCGCCTGTACACCCTTCATCAATCTCGTACGAATTGCTTCGACCGCAGCTCTTGCGCCCTGTAATTCTGGTCTTTCCAACAACATTTAAAATCCAGCAATTGATGATCGCACTGTCCAAGGGCCGCTTTCATTTTCTGCTCCGCGACATCACATTTGGATCAGAACTTGGAAGTCGCCGCGATGGTCGTGACTGTCTCTTCACCTCTGACGCGCTCGGATCCCTCCTTGCCCTCAGAAACATAGAAGGTCACAAGATCGAGATCCGCTGCCTTGTACAGATCGATAAAGCATTCTAATAGGACCTAACTATTGCATGGCCTCGTCTATGACCTTTGGACATTAGGATTAGAATGTAGAAGGCACGCGGACACGCCAAGCATTACCCTCTCAAACATTGTCCCCACCTGCAGCTTTTGGGACTCAAGATCAACACCAACGTAGCGGAACTCGAAGGGATCTTCGAAAAGGAGCGTCTGGGAGAGGGATTTCAGCTGTCCCAATCTCATTCTTTTATCTGTGGGCACTTCCAGCATCACCAATATCGAAGACAGCAAAGTACTCATCCTGACTGGAGTCCTCTCGGACTTCTTTCCTAGATTGCGCTATTTTCAGGACTTTATAGGGCAGAGGCTGCGCGCATCTTAGAAAGGGACGCTGTGATAAAGATGTCACAGCAGCGCAGACGTTACAAAGCGCTAGATTCAGAGTGTACCAGATAACAAGGTAGATACCACCAAAACGACACAGAACAACAGAGATCCTATCGATCTTGAGGTGGAAGAAGCAGCTGACGAGCTGTTCTTACTTGAAACGTCCGCTGCAGTCATACTATATGATTGACCGGAGGAAGTCGACGTTATTGTTACAGGAATGTCGACCACCGTACTTGCCGTGGGTGCAACATCCAATGTCGCTGATGGAGGTAGGACGTCAGCATTCTGTAGAGAAACGAGCAGTAGCCACTCACTCGAGAAATCCCCACCGTCTTTCTCCGCCTTGCTCACAGCTTCATCGAGCAACTCTGATGCATTACTCGGCACCATTGACATGAATCCAATTCGGGGAGGGTCCACCGAGGGATTTGTCAGGTTACCATAGTAGAACACCGCCAGATTTGATTTCAGGAACGGATCGCCTAGGCTCCAGCTGAAAAGCGACCCAAGGCTTGGAGGGTCGGTAGACGTTACGCTGCTCGCGACGCATTCGGTCGCATTGCCGGTCTGATTCTGCGAGACGAAGTCGCGTGGGTCGACGGAGAACATCTTGCCACCGATCTCGAAAGCCAGAGTGTGTGCGTCTGTGCATGGCAGGGTGGCTTTGGCGCTCGAGTCTGCTGCGTAGGCTGGGGACACTGTGCTCAGAATGTTGTTGACGACGTCTTGGGGGCCGCGGATCAGCGAGTTGCCCTGGTAGAGTAAACAGTCTGATGTCTGAGAGGCAGAAGGGTAGCTTGAGACGTACAGTGTCAATCAGTGCATCGATGAACGATGTCGTGACACCGTCAGGTGCAATTGTCGAGTTTGCCAGCACTTTTCCGTCCAGATAGACATTGTCGATAGGAACCTCCCATCGTCTGCGATTGCGTGGTAAACTGGGGCATATAGCCGACGAGAATTTCCTATGCTCACAAGGGATAGACCTCGTCTGATGCGAAAGTCGGGGCACTGAGTCCACCATCAGCGGATGAGTACAGCCGTACAGGCACCCAAGTAATGGAGGCGTTTTCTACTCCATCGGGCAGCTCGCCGATGGTAAGCTGGCCTTTCCCACTAACATCTACCGTGTCTCGTTGCAAAGTAACCTGTCTAAGATACTCAGCTATAGTGCACGCGAGGAGACGTGATTGCTTACGGCGAACAGTGGCTGGTCGATTTCACCGGCAGCAACGAGTCTGGAGACTATAGGCCCGTATGCGCTGATATGGGAAACAAAGTCATCCGTCGTTGTTGGATTGTTGAACTGTGAAGGATGTTAGAGCATTGTGCATCTGATTTTGCCTACTGATCCGACCTTTTCGTTTGTCAGCTGCGTCTCGATGAAGCTGCATGCGAAAGATGTGTCAATCTCTGCATCGTAGTTCAACCGAGTGGTGACTTACCTCTCGCTCGGGAACCCTAAGCCTATGATCCCAGCACCACCATTCAAGACAGCAGAATTATCTGTATTATCCACGGCAGCGAACGGCTGGTCGTTCATCGAAAGTCCAGCTAGTGTGACAGTGTCCAGACCGATGGGACCTGAAGCATAGGTTCCTGTGGTCGAGTCACCATACGTCAAGTTCACGCTTGCCCCAGTAGAGGTCATCCCAGAAGTTGAATAGGCAATAGAGGTTGTTTCCTGACAAACGGTCGTATCACAGCCGGTGGACATAACCCACAGATCGCTCGATCCTGTGTCTGTTGAAGTAAGGCATCAGAGCTGTTGTTGAATTTGGAAGATGGAGGACATACCGAGGTTCAACGTGGTTGTCGTGTTTCCAATTTGGACAGAGACAGTGTAAACCCTTTACAAAAATTCGAGTTCGCGGGAGTGTAGAATGACACGATGCATCCACTCACATGTCTTGATAGTCTCCCAGTCCTATTGCTCCGGCAAGCAGATCCTCGACATATGCACGTTTGGCCACTTTCCTCGCCTGCAAGGGAAGAGTGATACTTCTTGTTCGACCATCCTCTGCATCTCTTGCAATCCAGTCCCTCGGACGTCTCACAGGGAAAGAAGAGACTAGAGACAAAGAAACAAGGAAAAGAAGAGAGTGAAGGCTTGCCCGCGCCTTGAACATGGAGAATCCGACTGTAAGCAATCAACAAATGCGCCTGCGCAGGTATCAGTTTGAAAGCATGAAGAGTGACGAAACGTCTGCCGCCTCTCGTGTGTAGGACGAACAGCGGCTCGAAGGCTCATTGGAGCCATTCGCAGTGTGCACATAAGTGTCGGCAGGGCGGTTGCTACCATCACCGCAGTGTGTGTGATCTCCTCGGAAACGATGCCGCATCAGCCAATCATCATACTTTCTGACATATCAGTGCAACCGCACCGCATTATGCCCAATGGGAGAGGTGATACACCATCATTCAAGCCAGGAAAGTCGCTGTCTTCCACATTGATCCTTGATGCCGCTGGCCTATGCGGCTACTCATCGAGATATGTTTGCTCAACTCCGAGAACAGTTATGCATCCCAAATGATGCTTCAGCTCTGCTGAGTACAGTGCTCTCTTGGTTGGCATATACGTTTCATCAAACGACGTGACGCCCACAAGCAGTGAACCGACAGTGATTCAAAGCTTCAGACCGGAGTCATATATTGCTCGCATGACATCCAGGATGTTGTCGAATCACATATCACAGGTGTTTGAACACCAAGGTATTCTCTCCTCATGTCTACAACCACGCCGAAGGACTGCTTCTCTCGAGCCTTCTTGTCAGAGTCTCAAGCGTTCCCTGTTACAATTTATGCAGAAATGACGAAAGCAAAACGATGTAGAAGGTATTTCAGCTGCATGCATACACAACGTAACACCCATCAGTCGCTAATCAACAGTGACACGAAGCTCCAAAACAAATGCACTACAGACAACATCCATCCAGCAATGATGAAACTACAGTTGTGCTGGTTTCACATCTACGAGTGGCCGAGAAGACGTTCCAACATGAACTTATCATGGCGATATTCAATCAGCCCATAGTCTTTCACCGACTCCCAATCCCGAGGAATGATCTTGGACAATCTACCCGGGTATCTCGCCTTTCCCTGAACGCCAGCCCAGTCAAAGTCGATAAGCTTGACCGGTGCATCGGGATTGACGGTGATCAGGATATTCGGCAATCGAATATCCCCGTGGACCATCTGCTGGCCATGGAGGAGCTTGACCGCGTCGGACAGCGTCTTCTTATGTTTGACACAGTCAGCGAACGTGGCACGTTCACCCTCTATGTGCTCCATCACGACCATCTTGCGTGGGCCGCAGCCCTTGTTTGCCACAGGGTTGTTGTGCCAGATGTCGCCGCAGTAATAGAACTTTGGTGCAAGACCCTTCTCTGCGAGAACTTTATGCGCATCCTCGCCATACTGCTCGACGAATTTGACAACCAGTCGCTTGACAGCCACCTGTCGCTCGTCGACTATTTTGTTTGTATCGTCCAATGTGGCAGAGAAAACCAGGCATGATGCGTCGTTCGCCTTGAGATACTTCTCATAGTTGAAGTAGACCACTTTGCCAGAGTAAGGGAAGGAAGATGCCAACGGGAAAAATCGCTTTCCCAAATCAGGAGGGGGAAAAAGAAGTTGTTGGTATCGGTGGCGAAGAGACTCCAAGCCTTTCCTCAGTGCAATAAACATACGCGCGATCCGTTTGACCTCGAAGTCACTAATCAATGGAGGGGAACCAAGCCAGAGAAGCCCCGAGGCGAGAGGCTGCACAATTATATCAGTGGTCCAAATGGCGGCGCTGAAGGACAGATAGGGTCCCATCAAACTGATGAGAAACGTTGGTTAAAAAACTGCCATCGGCGAAATGCTGCAAAAATTGTGAGACGGAGGAGTCATAGACGGAACACAATACGCACTTTGCGTTCCTTCCAGTACAGACGATAAGAGAATTCAGCCTGAGCGACAGCATCTCCGCTTTTCCCTACTCCGGCCTTCTCCTCTACTATGGCGAGTGCAGCTGTCTCTGTTTCTCGGACGTACGGGATGATGTGCTCGGATGCTGACCCACTGAGAGGGGCAATGCTCTCGACGGCGCTTTGAAGAATCCCTTTGAGCGCTTCGCAGTGGGAGGCATAGTGCGCTCTCTCCGCGACGTGTATCTCCGACACCAACACCATAAACTCCTGCGTTCGACGCATCATGTCATCGTCCACTGGCTCCGAGCCACTGAGGTCCGCAATGAAGGTAGGGAAGATAGGATCATATATCACGATCGGTGCCGGGACAAGTGGCTGCTCGGAAGCACACCGGCCATCAAGAAAAGGAGTATCTCCATTCTGGAAATCGTAATAATTCTGCGCTTCCGCAGCAACGGAAGGGCTAGGGAATTCTGTGTTGATCGTTTTCTTGAAACCTGCACGATGACATCAGGGTGTTTGGTGAGAACGACAGTTCAATGTGACGTACGCTTGGTCAATGGTGATACCTCATCACGGCCCTCATCCATTTCTGCATCATCAACCAGATCCTTCCTCTTTCTCTTCGACGTCTGATTCTCTGCCTCTTTGTCAATTCGCGCCACAAGAAGGGGGAGCTTGGCACTACGCGGTAACTCGCCAAGAGAAAGCTCGTCGCTGCAGCGTTCCTCGCCTTTGTCTGTAATATTGTCGCAGAGGCGTCCGAGTTCATTGTCATTGTCATTAAGGAGCTGGGGGAGCCTTCCTCTGTCCTGCTGTTTGAGCAATTCCTTCGGCTGTTGCAGGCATTAGCGAACGCAATAGGTGGGAATACATTGGTGACAAACCTTCCATAAGATGACAACTGATGTTGAAACTTTCTGGTCTTTAGCGACCTCGTCAACAATATCGTCTATGGTTGCCTCTTCAGGATTGATGGATACCCAAGGACATTTGGGTGGAGGAATGGGTCACTGCCATCTCTGAAGAAGTCAACAATGGCAACAGGTATATTCAAAGTTGTCGTCATAACGAACAGCGAGTGGATAGTGATAGTGGGCCTCCAGTCGAGGTGCGACTTTGAATTGAACATCCGTTTGACGTATTTGTACATATTTACAGGTATCTTTTCTGGTTGCCTGGCCATCCGTTCTGGGGAAAATAAGCCTAAGTCGAGCGCCGTGTGCGGGCGCGCAACATCGACTGCGTTTTCTCTGAACTCACGGACTATGTCCCAGAATATGGCGGCATCGGACTCGCGACGCGCAGCGGCATGGCGTTACCCACCGCAAACCTCATCGTGGTGACGTTCGGCCCTCGCCCGAACACCGCATGGATCGCGTCGCTCGGCGCGGACGTCCTCGATGAGCGCGGCCTCATGAGGGTCGAGCCCACCTTTGAGGTCGTGGATCACCCCGGCGTGTTTGCGATCGGCGACATCACAGACTGCAACGAGCAGAAACAGGCACAGAAGTACCCCGTGCACGTCGCGGTCGCTGCGCCAAACATCGTGAGCTACTTGGAGGGCCGGCCACTGACGAAGCCCTACAAGGGCAGCATGGAGATCATCCTCATTCCCATAGGCAAGGTGCGTGTGCCCGCAAGGAAATAAGCGATGGCGCTTGGCAGCAATGATGCGTGGACAGAACCGTGGAGTCGCTTATTACGACGAAAGCTTCACTGCATTCGTGGCTTCTAACGACTCGCTGCGAGGCTTGCTTTGCGACATGAGAACGAGAACAAGCCGTATCTATGGAAAAGACCAATGAACACAGGAATCATTACAAGCTGAAGATGGTTCGACACGGTTTTGTGTCGCAGCTGCGTCACGGAGCGAAGTACGAGTCCGTTCCTGGCGCTTGTTAGTGCTCTATTCAACACTCAATCATGACCCGCGACCATCGTTTTCAATAAGCTTCAATAGCCGTTGATAAAACCGCTGGGGCAGTTTGGAAATCCGCAGACTCTGATTCTGAAGCAATCGAGTCCATCGCAAACTACGTGAGCTATGAGAGCTCCTCGATTGCTCGGACAAAACCCCGTTCCAGAGAGCCACTCATTTCCATCGTATCCAAGGTCACACAGTATCGTACAACAAGCGATAGCTGAGAGCTCGGGCCCGTCATATAATCCGTGAAATCATACAGGGATTCGCCTGGTATTCATGAATGCGTGACGCATTCACCAGCCATCCTAGAGTAAGAGAGATATGTAAGTCGTTCGGGTCAGCAGTTCATCGACGGTTGAGGCTGACCTTCTTCTCCTCACCGCGCTGCACTAGGTTCGGATCGCGGGTGACCTTCCCTGCCACTTCCTCAACATCGCCTACAAGGAAATGGTCAGCTAAGTGGTAACAAAAGAACGTGATCTTCGTGCCCACATACCCTCGATGCGCTGACCCAACGAGGGCTTTCCTCCAGGGCCGCCAGGACCGCCGGGGAAGTTTCCCTGTCCAAAACCTCCGCCTCCCTGGAAGTCACCGCCCTGCGGGCCAGGACCGCCAAAGTTACCTGGTCCTCCGCCGGAGTTGTTATCGAAGTTGCCTCCCTGGCCTTGGAAGCCTTGGTCTTGAAAGCCGAAGCCTTGGCCTCTGGGACCTCCTCCTTGACCTTGAAGGTTCGGGTCCTGGAATCCCTGACCTTGGAAGTCGCCAGGACCTCCCTGGCCTGGGTTGCCGCCGAAGTTGTTGGCTAGACGGAGACGCGCATTAGCGTACTATCCTCATCAAGATGGCCACAATCAACGAACGGCCGTTGTTCCAGTTCTCGCCTTGGGGGTTATCGTTGTTCATGATGGGTTGCAGTATGGGCGTGAGGTACGAGCGAGTATTTATTCAAATACTGAGATTCTGGAGCCGCGCAGGCCATAAATATACACCTCACCGCTGCGGGTCGAGGCAGATCTCCACGCGCTAACGATGCACGTTCATGACGCGATGGACTTCTGATGATCAGAAGGGTGGACATGAGGGTCAATGGCGTGCCTGCTAAGATTAGCTTATGGGGTTGCTCGTTCGAGCTCGCCATTCGAAGCGGTCATACTGCATTGCATGACGGTCATGACAGAAATGCACAGGACAAATTGATAAAGACGCCATTTGGAGTGCGAATTCGAAGACATCTCCTTCCTATGCGGATGCTTCGTGCTCCACAAACCACTGGAAGGGTAGCGCTCGAAAAACTCAATGCACTCGACGTCATGGCCTTTGTAAGTCTTATCATAATAACGTTCTTGAACTGCCATACAGTTAGAGGTCTGGATATGAGGAACGACCATTGTCCAACGTCAACATTCAACGTTCAACGTTCAATGATATTCAACCACGAGCATGCGTTTTGCACCGAAATAGCCTATCCAGGTCGTCGCAGCCCACTTCGACAGACGCCTTCTCTTTCGGTCTAAGAGAAATTCCAAGCCTTCGTGAAGGCTGATGCTGCGGTAACGTCCTCAATGTGTACATTATTTCGTTGTTGGCTGAGGGGTGTTTACAAGTGACAATAAGGGTTTACTCGAGAACACACTACATAAGCCTGCGGATACTAATACACGGCAACGTTGCTAATAACTTCATGACTAGACATTCTTTTATCTACCAGTTGGTCTGCGCGTTGCGTTACGTTTCGTCAGCGTCGATTCAAGTCTAAACCCATGTAAAAGCGCACCTTCCGCTCGCCACTGTCCTGTAGCCCCTGATTGCCAGTCGCCTTGCCAGCAGCCTTCTCGACGTTACCTGATACCAATGTCAGCGTTCACAGAGCTCAACGGCCCAGCACTACATACCCATCATGCGCTGGGTCATGGAAGGCTTGCCGCCGCCCTGACTGCCTTGGTTGCTCTGGTCAGCGTCGTAGTTGTCGCTCTGGCCTCCCTGGCGACCTTGGCCACTGGCACCGCCAAAGTTACCACCGGTGGAGTATGTGCTGCTGCTGGTGTTGTCGCTCGGGTTTCCAGAGCTGCCGTAGTTGTCACCTTGGCCAGCGCCGTATTGTATCCCGCTCTGGTCCTGCTGACCCTGGCCCTGGAAGCCCTGGCCCTGCTGGCCGCTGCCGAATTGGTTGTCGAGCCCCTGACTGTCCTGGCCCTGGAAGCCTCCACCAGAGTTGGTAGAGCCGAAGTTGTTAGCTTCAGCAGATAGTGTTAGCAGACAAGCCGCGACGCAGTGCAAAGGATCAACACTCACGGTCATTGTCCCATGACTGAGCGTTGTTGCGACCCTGAGAATTTCCGTAAGAGTCCATTGTGCGTAGATTGGCTGAAGGACGGTGAATATTTCAGAGCGCGTTGGTAGTTATGATCAAGAAGGCGACGTTGAGAAACCTGGTCGCAACAACGCACTTTATAGGATTCAGGGATTAGGGCGGAGTGAGCTAGTGGACTGCATGATGAGGATATGACGCGTTATGGATATGACGCGTTGTGGACATGAATGTGGAGCTGTGGCTTAGAATATGAGCAGGGCTCCAATGTCCCAATTCGTGCTCACACTGAAGCGGTGCTTATAAATGGCATTTAATGATTTGTTAGAGAATACGCTACATAAGCTCGGAGATACAAATACATCGCAACAATGCCAACAACTTCGTGATTAGACGTCCGGGAATTTAGAAGTCGGTCTGCACATTGCGGTACAATCCGTTAGCGTCAATCCAAAGCTGACCATGAGAATGCGTACCGGACGCTGTCCACGGTTCTCTATCCCGTGTTCGCCTCTCGTCTCGCCACCAGTAGTCGTAGTCTTGTCGGAGTGGCCTGAATGCAATCATTGTTAGCATCCAGTGAGCTCAATGACGCAGCATCACATACCCATCAGGCGCTGTCCGAGGGTCGGCTTGGTGGTGTGCTGAGTGGTGGTATCGTGGCTCTGGTCACGATTGGCGTCGTATCCCTGGTCACGGTTGGCGTCATAGCCCTGACCACGGTTGGTCTCGTAGCCCTGGCCACGGTTAGCCTCGTAGCCCTGGCCGCGGTTGGCCTCGTAGCCCTGGCCACGATTTGCGTCGAAGTTGCCACCCTGCTCGCCCTGACGGCCTTGACCGCTGGTCTCGTCGAAGCCACCGCCAGTGGTGTACGTGGTGGTATCGGTGGTGGTGGTGGTAGTGGTCTTTCTATCACCTTGGCCACCGGTGTACTGTCTGCCGCTCTGGTCGTGCTGACCCTGGAAACCTTGGTCGTGCTGACCTCGGAAACCTTGGTCGTGCTCGCCTCGGAGGCCATGCTCGTGCTCGCCTCGGAGGCCATGCTCGTGCTGACCGCTGCCTAACGGGACGTCGGACCTCTGGCCCTGCAGGCCTCCAGTAGTGGTGGTAGTAGAGCCGACCTTGTTGGCTTCAGCAGATCGTATTAGCAGACAAGCGCGGCGCAGTACGAAGAATCAACGCTCACGGTCATTGTACGTCTGAGAGGTGTTCTGACCCTGCGTGGTTCCATAAGAAGAGGACATGGTGTAAATTTAATCAAGGACGGTGAATATAGAGGGGTTGGTCGGTATGATCAAGAGGTCGAACATGGTCGCAACGGCGGCGCTTTATATGGATCGACGGCGGGGACTGAATGATGCAATATGACGCAGCGATTGGATATAAAGCGGAGGTTGTGGCTGAATGTGAGCAGCTGTGGCCGGCTGGGCTCTGCTGGGCTGCGGCGAGAGGTCCAAATACACCACCTGCCTACTTTGGACCGGTCTCGCAAGCGCACGTGCTTGTGGCGCTGGCTGTGAAAGTCTCCCTCAGCCGAATCTTCCAGCCGAATTTCTTGGCTGGGACTGACAGTGTGTGGGGAAGGATTGGGCCGGTACGCGTCACCGCGCGGACAGGGTGCTCGCAGTCCGGATCAACGGTCTCCGGGGTCCGGACCCGTGTGGCCAGGCTCCTAATTCGCTGGCCTGTGATCCGGGTGATCCGCGGGTTCTCGAGCGTGGAGTGCCGTAGGAGAGGGGGCACGACTACATCGCCACCAGACGTGGTGGGTGGATGAAAAATATCGAAGCGGTAGCGAGGTCGTGGCAAGGAGAAGAGACGCGATAAGAGCGCGTCTCTTTCTCGTCCGCCTGCTTAGTAAGCAAGCTTTCGGTCCAGCGCTGGTCCCGAACCTCACTCACTGCTGAGCCCGCCACATGCATACTGGACTAGCAATGAAAAGGGCGCGTTCCTCAATGCGCTTTCTGTGCACTCCCATTCAGAGTCGACTAATAGCAGAGCAAAGGCAATCGCCGATGTCTGCGTATACCTCAATTTATTCGAGAGCGGGACACAAAGTGCCACGAAAATTAGTAGGAAGGATGTTCCCGCCGCGATGGAAGTTTCCGATCGCATCTTCGAGTTCGAAGAGCGAAGGGCTGCCGGACTTACTGACTTCTATGTGGATCTAGAGAAAAGCGTTTTGGAACAAGCGCTCCAGGAAGAAACCCGAGAACTCAATTCGATTTTAAGGGCAAAAAGGAGGAAGCGTCTTGGCTCGCTATGCTCAAACGAGATTGGGGGCGAGTTAGATCCAATCACACTGAACGCGACGAAACGCATACTCCGCGACGGTGCGAGAGAAAAGACCGACATGACGCTTGTTATGCACTCGATCGTGGATCTCCTAACAAAGTTCTTCCACGCTTGGTTTGCAACAAATTGGAAGACTGCGCGGTGGACGAGGAGAGGTTGCATCGAGAAGGCCTTGATTTCCTCCATCCCGGTGGTATCGCAAAGTTGATGCGGTATTTGTCCCCGCTGTCCTGTATAGTCATCGAAAAACAAACCGGACGACCGAACATGACAACATTACGCTCCTTTTCTCAGGTGGTACGCTAGTCTACACGACGTTTCGGAACAAGTTGGGTCGTATATCTGGATGGAATTAGTGCACATCCTACGTGAACTTGTCGTCCAATTCATCACGGAGCTCACGCATCGCGCAATTGTCTTACGGGAACAAGAACGGGCGGCGAAGGCACGGACAAAAGGGTTTTCCCCTTCGCGACGGTGGAGTGAGTGTCTGTTTGGGTAGTGTTCCGTTTCGCCTGCTTCAGAAACGAAGTCGACGTCAAACCTGCTAACGCTCTGACGTTCTGCGGAATGTTACCGTCCCGGATGTCAAGCGTACTCTTGCGTTGATGGGTTACGAGAAGTCGAGGATGCAGGAATACTATAAATGCCTCTTACGTCGGTTTGGTTAAAGTGAGGGAAATGCTGATGAAGATAGTAGGGATGGGGCCAATGCGGACGGAGATGCGCAAGAAGACGAGGAAGACACCATAAACGAGTCCCCAAACGTTGCACAGGGCCTTCTCCCTCACCATTCTTTACATCGCAGCACCGACCCTCCGATAATTAATCCGTATGTCATCCACATTCTAATCTTCTTCCGCCGTCGGGGTTCCTCAGTCAAAGGAGGCGACCTCACATATGTCCTAATCTCGCGCCTTGGAGTCTATGAACGACGATGGAGTTAGTGGCGGAGGAGACACTAGACAAGCACGACCGCGAAATCGAGGAGATTTATCAAGAGAGTCTATGGGCTGAGTTTTCCGATGATGAGGAATCGGTCGAACTTCCGGATCGTCAAGCGAGCAACGTGTATGCCGGCCGCAAGTGCAAGAAGAACAATGACAGTAGCGATGAGGAAGCCGAGCAGGAGGAGTTGCGCTCGCGGTCATGATAATTAGTTTCTGACAGAAGCGGACATAAAGGTGAGCCCCCTGTTCGCAGCCGCTAGGCGATGACAAACATCTCATCGTACGTTTCACACAGATCGTCGTGAACATCAGGATACGGCTCCTGTGAAGGCAATGACGTCAAATATCGATAGGAACCTACGGAAAGGGTTTGGGAGTGTCAATCGTCGGTATTTGCTCGCCGATCGATGCGCAATGGATTTTGGGGGATCGCACTGGAGTCAACACGCACTGTTGATATCATCCGCTTCCTTTCGTGATGGGCACTTCCGCCGAATCCTGGAGCATAACCGAAGCTTTGTCACGTTCTGTCTGTTGCAAACCCTTCCTCACGTCACTATCTCTACGGGTATATCTCCAGACGTCCTCATCGACCGGTTTGGAGCGTCTATACGCAGCGTAACGTGGTCGCGCCTGATATAATGCAGCCATGTCATCAATAAAATCGTTGCATGCGAACGTGTCTTGTCGATATTGAGGTGACATCAGACTGTTGTCGAGAATTAGCATACACGCTGAGGAGGGTTCCGGATGCAACGCAATTCAGTATCAGATAGTATTCATTCCAAAGTTCTCATTAGCGAGACCTCTGTCAAGGTCATTTGGCATAGCTATCTGTTCTTATCCGATAAGTACATTGCTCGTACAAGTGAGATTATCACCTAGGTTGGTCTTTCCGTGTTTGCAAGACCTTGTTTGGACCAGCAGACCACACATCTGCACAGAGTGGAGTGATGCCGTTTCTGGTTTGGATGATTTATTTAACTTGGAATCTAATGGCCTATTTAAGTAATCATCACTTTGTGAAAGGTAGTTGCTGTCGGATTTTTAGAGGGGCTGCCGGCCTTAAACTAGCTGAATGTGCGGAATCGAGTTAACTACCGGTGAATAATTTCAGAGAGTCCTGTGCGAAAGTTGTCCTGTGCGAATATTGTTTTGTGCGAAAGTTGGTAGTGGCAGACAAGTGAGCGGCGCAGTGTTCCAAATGACCAATTTGGCTATTTCAGTACGCCGGTCACGTGAACACGTGACGCGTTTGTTGCAGATTACGTAATTTATTGTTACGTAACTTATGCACACGCCACCGTCGCCCTGTCGTTCCGCTCTCCTATCCTCTTCCATTCGTTCTACTCCTGTTGCACGTCAGCTACCCTGTAATATTCACTACTGCATTGACACTATACGGTATTTTTGTTCATCACCGCGTTGACCTTATTTTTATTAACCGTACTTTTTTCCAGATACGATGTTGACTGAACGCGGTTCATGGCCATATTCGTTATGCTGCAAGGCGTTGCGTGTTGTTGCGTCACTGTTGTATCTCTTTGCGCTTATCGGTACGTTAATTACATTCATAATCGCGGCCTTTCCAATCATGTGTAATTTTCACTTCAGGTATTTATACTTTTCATCGCTGCCACGAGTTCTTGCGTTGGCTACGTCGTTCACCGTCGTCGGTCGACGGTTTAAAGCTTGCGCGGTCGCATCGCTTTCATGGTCATACAACCCCTCTGATGGGGGGTGCACATTACCGCTCCTGTGTGTGTTCTTCTACGGACCTTCAGGATTATTCGGTGTTGTTTGGGTCTTCCCATCTGCTATCGCTGTACCCTCTTTCACGTTTGGGGGTGTCCAACTTGCGGCCTTGCAGGATTCATCATGGTCAATGAATGTTAGATCCGTTGCGGTGGACGTTCCGTTATCGTTCATTGCTCGACGGTTTTCCTTTCAACATCTAAAGGATGTTGCTCTCCTGCATTGTATAGTACGTGGTCCGCGTACGTGCACTTTAGACGGACTGGAAAGCGCTCTGCTTGAACATCGGTGTGGCCTCGAGTGCCGTTCCACTGTTGCAGTGTTTGACGTTGTAGATGATGGATTTCGTTCCATCAGCTCTGACGGGTGTTGCATCTTTGATCGTCAGCTGTTGGACCAGCTTCTGCTTTTCAGTGGACGGCTGCCGTGGACAGGCTTGCAAGCGTATATGTTTGTCGGCATCGTCGATTGCGGTATAGGTATGGCTTTTGTCGATACTGACCATGTACTTGTCGATATGCCGTTGATTGATCTTGCGCGCTAGTTTGACTTTACATCGCTTACCAACATGGCTCGCTCACATGGTCTCGCCCCCCCTACCGGCAGTTGGACCGCAGACACCGTTTTGCGGGATGTTATTGCGCATCGTTGCTGGCTTTGTTCCAGGGTGTTTACGATCTTTCGCGTATGCAGTCCATCGGTCGATCAGATGCCTTCCAATCCACGTTCGGATCCACATACATTGTCATCTCTCCCCACGGCACCATACTATCCGGTTCCGCTGCTGCCAGACTGCTACTCGTCGACGCTTCGTGTCAGCCGAACGACTACGATCTTTACACGCCACACAGTCAATGAGATGTGGTACTCGACTACATGAGCAACTTACCGGGTTACGCGGTCGAAGCCGTCATCGATAGATCGGACGAGGAGAATGAGGAGCATCCGTATCCCTGGTCTGACCAGGGAATGGACCGCATAGCTCGAATCATCGGATCAAACATCCGCGTCGATCTTATGCGTAGCCACAACGAGTCGGCCTTCTACCCGCTATGTTTTTTGGTTGACTATCATCTTGAACGCGATCTCCGCTGACGCTATCCTGTCCGCATATCCCACACATGTTCTGAAACATCGCGGTATTTGCTCGCCCACCATCACCGGTAACGCACTCCCCGCGAGGAGAAAGTACGAGGGCCGAGGTTTCTCGTTCGATGACATCTGCAGCGTCTCTTGCACTCGCTGGAGCTGCCCTCACCGACAACGCTTCTTCCACGATGATGGATGTCTTTACCTCGTTTTCGACAACGCACGCACCCAGACAGTCGGCGATGTTTTTGTCTCTTGGCGAATCAAAGACTTACCCTGCGGTAGACCGAGTGCGGCGACGGAACAAGGACCGGTTGTCTGGGCGGGTTCTCGAGATGAAATGGAAGAAGCCTTCCACGGCTTAGTGTAGATGTATCTTAACATGTAATATATTATTCCCTGCGAATACAGTTGGCATCGTTGTCATTTGGAACCGGCGCTTGACGCCTCTTCACCCAAGTACAACCGCCGCGTGGCGCTGAATCCTGAGCGCGTCACTCACGTGACCGCGCCTGATGCCGCGATGCCGGCGCTTGTGCACAAGGGCGCTAACTTTGAGAAACTGTGGGGATTGCCACCGTAACTAAAGATTTCCTCCTGTCTCTCGTTCTGCACAGAGCTCACTGTTGTCCAAATCCCGGCAAAATCGATAAGCCAGTTCTTCTCGGGCCTCCTGCATAACCTGAAGTTGTGTAGTGGCCGACGCCGATTGATACCTGCAAGGATCTATGTGGCTCATTTAATTCAACTTGGCCACTATTACTATCCCGGTCCGTGCCGCCACCCTCGAACTTGTAGCAGAAAATACTTGGCAATCTCACTAAATGTTGCATCCAGCAACTTCAAGATGAGATATGGCCGCTTGATGACCTCCAGTGCAGCATCCCATTCGGCCATCGAACTCAAGAGATCATAGATCTCTCTATACCTGTCCCTCCCTCTCCCCTCCTTTTTCTTCGGCTGTTCTGTTCCCATCAAAGACTTCGAAACCTGTTCAAATGACATCGGACTCAACGCCGCGTCTGGACAGCAAAAGGATCGTCTCCCTGTACAGAGGGCCGTTAGCCACTTTGCAATCATCACTTAGCAGCGATCATCTCTCCTATCATGACATTGCTGAGGCATACAATACGCTCTCTGCAAGGTTGAAGATGATATTCCCATTCTTGCCTAACGATAGGCGGCTTGCTCCCTCATTAGATCTCCTTGGGCAGCATGCAGATGTCATTGTCAAATGTCTTCGGAGAGACATCCATTGTGCATCAGTCGAACCAATCCCTGATTCGTCCCAAAGCGACAGACTGACTGAGCAATCTGCAAGCACATTGGAAGCTAACTATCGTGAAGAAGACATAAAGTACGCCAAAGACATGTCTCTGGTCTGTCAACACGCACTGCATCTACTATCTGACATCCTTCGACTACCGGCTTTGTCCTCATTGCTATCAGGCAAGGTATCTGCATCTATAACCGAGGCGTATGACTGACAGGACCACAGAAGCTAACATATTTGAACTCCTCGATCTGGTCTCAAAAGTTGCTTCTGCACATTTCTTGCCCATTCCAAGTGAGCAGAAGATACGTGCTCTGGCATATTTGGCTTTGTCAAGTATGCGACTTCCCGTGGCGACCCTACGTGCGAGGCGTTCACAATTGACATCTGTATGCAAAAGCGCAATGGAGCGTTCTGGCAACGAGATTTGTGTGCTTGATGGTCTCAAGGTCAGTCTGCCACTCGGAGAATATCGTATAAGGGGATTCACGCTCAATTTTGATAGATGTTCTGCAATCTAATGAGAATGCACGCTTCTGTCTTCCTCAATCCGTTCGCCAACATTTTGCCGCTCGTATTAGCTGGCATCCTCTCATCCTCCACACGTGTGCAAACTCATGCGGCAGATGCTCTAGGCGCATATGTTCTCGCGCTCTCATCCTGTATGAGCTCGTCCTACGAACATGTTCGCAACGTCATCAAATACCATGTGTCTACATTCATTGAAGCAGCAGCGAAGAAACTGAAGGGACCTCGACCCCTCTCCGACTTTCTCGCGCGGACGATTCAAACGTCTGGAAAAGACGCTGCAGGATATAGACAGCCGTGGGCATTTGTAACCCTTTCCTGCATCATAACCTTGTCAGAAGAGAACACATTCACGCATGAGCCCACATTGCAGCTCGTCATCGAATTGCTGAACGTGTCTGCGCATCCCAAGCGGCTCATCACCACATTTTTACATCGATGTGTTTGGAGGTGTCTTGTCTGGGCGCTATCTCACATCGAACAACAAGCGGAATCAACCCAGCGCCGTAAAGGGATATCGACTGACCGGACGCACCGAGCCTTCCAATTCGTGAACCAGGAACATCGCGGCGAAATACCCATCTTGCTAATTGACACTCTGATGAATTCCGCTGCGGAGTCTAGCCGCTCACACACAACGACTCCCGAAGCCCGAGAACTGTCCAAGGTGCTTGAAGTTGTTAATGCCTCGGTGAATGATAAAGACGACCCTGTGCACATGCAGGGTCGAGCGATTTTGGCCAGACTTACCAGCGCCATCGGCTCGTCTTCCGTTGCTGTTCAGGACCACGTCCGATTGCCTAAAACTCTGGTGGCGGAGCTGTTCGACGGCACTATCCTGCATTCCAATAAAGAGCAGTTGAACGCTCTTGCAGCTAACTTTGCTCTTCCTGACGTGACTGTTTTGCTACAATTGACTGAGGCGGAAATCATCCAGAATTGGGATGCATTGCTCGATATCTGGATGCAGTGTGTGCGCAGATCGATCAATACGTCGGAGCGTTCATTTGTTCTCTCCGTGAGTCCTTTCTTCGCTTTTGCTTATCTGTGCTTATCACTGCGTATAGGGGGATCTAATGCAGACTTGGCAGTCGCTTCTGCTAGCACAGGCGCAACTGACTCAAGAGCATGGCCACCTAACGACCGTACCTGATGTATCGCGCCGAGTGCTGAGCACTTTGCACGAGATTCTCACATCAAACGATGTCTTTCATACTTCCTCAAAGTCACAATGTGTCGCATTAACGCTTGTCAGCCAGCTCTGGAAGGTTGTGAAGAGTGTATTCGCTGCCAGTTGGCTCGCTGGAATGGCAGAATCCCTCTTGTTTGCGGTGGTCAGCCAACAATTCGATCTGGAAGATGACGATACCAAAGCATGCTGGGGAGAGCTATCTGCTGCGCTGATTTGCACGAGTTCTACGGAGCTGCTATATAAGCTAGTAATAAGCCAGAAGAAGCAAACTGAAGGTGACCTGAAGCGATACTTATGGTTCAGAATAGCGACGGCTTGGGTGTCTTGTGACATGAAGCCTTCATGGCATGATCAGGTTTACACACTTTCGTTTCCACTTTGGTACGTGCTTTAGGCTATCCTGTATGTCGAAACTGTGTCTGACATAGATTCAGCTCATGGTCAATGTCGAATGACGAACTGGAGATCTGGAAACGCTTACTTGAGATTGCCGTTAAATGCGCTCAAGCATCATCAGTGCATTCGGCTCAAGTGCTGCGAACATTAATGTCACATATTACCGAAGCTCCTGAGCGGTCAGTGACGCTGTTTCGGCTAATAGGATTGACTAACGTCCCTCCAGATCATTCTCGAACCCTAATACAATTCCTATCATGTTATCTCACCTCGAGCTCCATGAGACAGACACTATACCAGACAAGCTGCTCGCTCAAGTGGACAACTTTTTAAGTGACGTTTATGGAATCCGACAAGAGCAGTATCACAATGTGCTTGAAATATTTCGACTTCTCGCACAGGTTTTCCAGCGTTGTCCCCGGACTCTGCTGGGATCAGTAGTCTGTTCAATCTCCGATGGTCTATCTGTATGGATCCGCGATGAGAGCGAGATCCTCTTGGCACAAGAGTACAATGACATCGTGAGTGTATAATGCACCATAGCGATGGCTTGAGCTGAAGATCTCACCTAAGATTGTTCGTCTTTATCAAATCGCCCTTGATCTCATGCGAGAACTACCGTTTTCCGTTGATACCCTCCATTCTCTAGCACCATTTTTCGTCTCCGCATTTTGTCGCATACCCCCTCCAGCCCTTGGGCCCATCGCCTTCAGAACGTTCTGGATGCGTATCCAGCCAGGATTAGGCTCTTCGACCAGCATCCTTCCGGACGACATCAAGCAGGTCTTGTTGACGTTTCATGTTGTCTTCGGCGACAGCGTGCCTCTGGATGTCTCAGATGCTTCACAATCAACAAACCCAGAGAATGAAGAGGACGTGAGTTTATAATATCACATGCATGTGCGATTCTCAACGCAAACTTGTCGTCCAGGAAGTTGTGCCTGAAACTCAGGGTGCTGACGAGAGCCAGCCTCGGGAACACCCGACCATGAACATTCAACCGCTAGACGAAGGTGGCAAGACAGAGGACGATACTGAGTTCACTGACGCCCGCAAGAATCTGGGCAGCAACATAGTCTCCACGCTACACTCAGCGCACGAATCTTCTATAGTTTCGGCAAAGACTGTCAAGGTTATGCCTGAAGTCGTAAACGATGATTCTACAACGAAGGAGACGGGCAAGAATAACGCTCAGGATTTACAGCGACTGCGCAAGGGAAGCTCAACCGTGCCCGACGACAGAGGCATACGTCCTGGAGGCTCTTCAATTAGTGCTCCAGATTGTCAAGCATCCGGCTCTGGACCTTCGTGGGTAGGACACTCGAGTACCAGAATAATTCCTACGTCAGTGAAAGGCAAAAAGCGCGTTCTGGAAGACGAGGGCCGACCTCGAGCGGAATGTTCTAGTCTCTACTCGAAAACAGTGGGTCCAAAGCGATTACGACTATCATCGGCTTCACAACAAGAACAAAGAGAACACGCGGAGAACATTGCTGGTGACAAAGTCGAACATCAACCTGTCATCTCCGCAGAGGACACGATTCACCAGCGCTCCCACAGTGTCCGGGGACCTGATGCTTTCAGACATACTGCCGATGAGCCACCAACCGGTGCAGGACAAAGGAATCGAATGTCTCAATCACCAAACTTTTCTCCAGCTCACAGACCCCAGAGTCTGAGTCCAGAGATACCGATCTACAATTATGCAGAAGATCCTGCTGAAGCCCACAGTGCATCATCGCCTCCCTCAGACGATTATGCCACATGGGAGGCAGAAGTCGATCCCGACGAGGTGAAACACGTTCAACGAGATACTTCGCATGCACCTGGTAAGTTCCATTTGCGTTTGCTTTCACACAGTATGGTAACATGATGTGAAGATCAGGGCGGTGTGTCATCTAAGCCGCTGTTGCAGAGCCAGCAACTGAAACCTTATGTACGAACGTATTACCACAATTCACTCATCGACGAGTCGGAAGTAATCCCATCCAGCCAAGGTGACGAGGAGCTCCCCATATACCCAGAGACCCACTACTCCAGGATATCATCCACGTCCGGGAGGTTGAACGTTCTTAGACGAGCGCTGACCGACTTGCGGAAAGACGTCTCACCTATGTCCATGGACGAATTTCAAGCGGCAAAGAAACTCCTACATGATATGGAGAGCGTCGTGGCCGACAGATGCTCACGGGGAGTGCGTGGGTCTGACGCTGACGTTCCGATGCAAGATCAATCGGAATGACGTGGAGAATGCGGTTCTCATCGATCTCGCGAGCATCTTCGCTACCCTATACGACAGCCTACATATACTGATGACCGTCGTGCATATTGGATCTGCATTCCGCCTTGTGGCAATGAGCTCCAGGGCACGCGTCTGTTGTTCATTCTCCGTGTACTTATGTCTGACATATGTTGCTATCTTTAAAGACCGTTTTCCTTTCCGAGTCCGCTGTCATTGTCACTATCTGTAATATAGCTCCAGTGCCACCTGTATCATTGTAGTGATGTTACCTTATGGATTTACATGCTGGTCAATTTGCAAGACAGAGAATGCAGCTCGACAGGGAGCATCGAATGGAGTGAAGTCCGAGTCGCCACACGGCACATTACCCTCAACCATTAGTACAATGTACAATAGAAGCTAGCATATGAACATATTGGCCTGTGTCTCCCATAGCAGCGCATACTCAATATTTCCCTCTATCGCTGGCCGTACGACTTCGTCTCGTACTTGCCAACGCCTACAATGACGTCCGCCGGCTTCTGCGGCTTACCAGTGAGATAGTTCTCAAGGATCGCACGCGTACCCGCCGCGTAGCGCGCCTGCGCATCGAGCGTCGTGCCAGAGTAGTGCGGTACCATGCCGTTGCCACCGCCAAGCGGGTTCTTCATTGTGCGCCAGATGTGGTCGCGCGGCGCGGGCTGCACGTTCCACACGTCGCCGGCGTAGCCGGAGAGCTGGCCGCTCTTCAGCGCGGCGGCGACGGCGTCTTTGTCGCAGATGGCTCCGCGCGCGGTGTTGACGAGCCATGCGCCCTACGGAGGAGAGGCGTTGAGTGGACCATGGCGAGGAGGTATAGAAAGGTTACGTTACCTTCTTGAAATGACTGAGAACTTCGGCATTGATGAGGCCTTTGGTGCCTTCATGGAGCGGGCAATTGACGGTGACAACGTCGCACTGCGATACCATGTCCTTGAGGTCCTGCACACGGCGAGCGTTCACTGCCTTCTCGGCCTCTGAAGGAAAGAAGAGGCCATTCAGGATGACAAAATTCAGCTATAGGAAGAGTCGCAAACGTACCAGCTGACAGCGAGGCGTAATCATGATAGAGGTGCTCCTTCGTGCCGAAAGGCAGGAGACGCTCCAGGACACGGTAGCCGATGCGGCCCGCACCAATCGTACCGATGACCTTACCCTCGAGGTCGTACGCATTACGTGCGATCTCGGAGACCTGCCAATCGCCGCGCTCGATCATCTCGTGTGCCGGGACAAAGTTGCGCACGAGAAGCAAGATGCTCATGACGACGTGCTCGGCGACTGAGGTCACATTGGAGCCGGTCACCTCGAGCACTTGGATCTTGCGCTCGACGGCGGCGTTCAAGTCGACATGGTCGGAGCCGACACCGGCGGTGACGCACACTTTCAGGTTCTTGGCCTGCGACGGAAGCGGTGAGCACGAGTCCACGGTAGATCGGCGATATACAACAAACCTTTTTAATTAGGTCACGGGTGATATACCCGGGATGGAAAGGAGTCGTAATGACTATTTCTGCCTGCATTTTGTGAGCTAATGAAGGAGATGGCCCTAAGATAAAATGCTCACATCCTCAATATGCTTGTCAAGGTCACTGTTAGGCCCATCCTTGCTATCTGTGACCTATGCTTTGTAAATTAGCATACTGCTCAACATGCATTCGGGGAGCCACTGACGATGAACTCGTGGCCCTCGGACTCAAGCCACTTGCGCAGGCCGAGCTGTAAGCTATGGTGAGTATGGTGCAGTATGACGACTTTCCAATACACACTTCATTCTCGACAGTGCCGAGCAGACGAGGCTCTTGCTTCGCAGCATCACCGCCGCGGTAGAGGATAGCCAACACCTAAACGATCAATCGTCAAATTCTACATGCATCATCATGGACAAACGTTGCCAACCTTCATTCCCCGACTCCATGAGGCACTGGAAGATGGGATGCTATGAGACAGGGACCGAGAGGATGCAAGCGGGCCAGGGATGCGAGCAAGTCGTGCGAACATGGTGGCGAATCACAAGTGGTCGTTTGAAGGTAGGATCGGAGGAGTTTTTGCGAGGAGAGCTGTGGACAGGACTCTCCATCCTGTCTCGTCTTTTATACCGTCCATGGTCACAAGTCGGATGGACTTGTGCGGCTAAGTTCGAGGTGGTCGTGTCAACACGGCGCGAAGCAAGTAGTTGCCTTCCTTAGCGCGAACAGACGCGCATCGAGCGGCTCGCGATCACGTGGCCGTTCCGCCTCTTTCCTCCGAGTCCTCACGATTCGCCTCCTCGCCCGGATCCTACCTGCTCCGCTCGGAAAGGCTGCGCTCATTGGACCCTGCGACTTTGTGGCCACCAATGCGCGGCCCATTATCTGCCGTTAGAGAATTGGTGTAGCATTTTCGGGTTACTTTTGCCAGTGTTACTTTCGAAGGCCTTCCCAAACTGCCCTTGCTGGCACATCAGTACCCTCGGCTAGAACTACCCCTTGGTTCAATCGCAAACCAGAAGCTAAACGTAACACGTTTGTCCCTTGGTATACTCATAGCGCGTGTACCCGATTTGATGCAGCGAGTCGGCGAAACATGGGTTGCGCGGATATCTTCAACTCGGGTCCACATCGATTCGCGTGAGAGAAAAAAGTCACCTGGTATCCCGATCTATTTTGAGCACCTTATGCGGGCAGTCCGGGCTCAGGCCTCGGAAACCTTTTTCCAGGAGCACTGTGAAGTGCTGAGCGGGAACCAGCTCGACACGGGCAGGGCCGGGATCCGTGTCCGCGCCAGACGCTTCAATCGAAATCAATATGATCCGCCGGACGACCCGCGTGACTATATTCATCGTGCCCGAGGTCGAACTGCCCATGCGGACAAGGTGGGGAGAAGCTTGATGTTCCTGCTGCCGAGTGAGCTTGGGTTCCTACGGTATTTGAGCGGAAGTTCCGCTAATTGAATTCAGCTTCCTGGCAGAAAAGATTGCGAATGTGCAGTCACAGGTCTGTCAAGCCACTCATGGAACGTGCGATTCTCCTCTTACTCGATGACAGCTTGAGAAGCTACTACAAAAGAACTACTTCGTAAGAATGGCATACTCGATTAGTAGCTCACTGCCGGCGCGTGGCGGTTCAGCTGACTCCTGTGAACTCTGATAGCGGTGGGCATGTACTGAGGACCCGCATCTCCATGCGAGTGATTTATTCCATCGCTGAGTCTCGCAACGAGACAAAGAAATCACGGTCAACATTGAGACCTAATACTCAGAGATTATGATTTCCTGCTATGTAAAACACTGTTTGCAGCGGATGAATGTGGGTTCAAGAGATCTCACATAGTAGGTCATGGCTGTCGTGGTCGATTGGCGTACGTATCTTTTCAAGTGAGGATCCATCAGGAAACCAAGCAAAAAGAGCAGGGAAAAAAATAGCAGTGTGTAGAGGAGCACATCCGAAACCAAGACAGTGTGAAGCAGACAAGGAAAACAGGTAACTTGCAAAATATTCGTTGCGGAGAACCGTTATCCATCGTTCAACTCCCGCGCCTTCTGCTGCTCGTACGTCTGCCGCTGACGTTCGATAATGTCATCGAGGATCTTCTGGAACTTAGTGGCTGTCCATGGCCCTTCTATGGCCCTCCGAGCATACACCTTAATTTCCCTGCCGTCAATAACGACCGCCTGCAGATGAGCAGGCGAAAGCAGGGAGAGAAATTTGCCATTTTCGCTGGAATCGACTTCTCGCTTGTCGGAAAACCACTTTAAAACCTTCTCTGCAGGACTGTCGACGATACACGATGAGGAACTCTGTGCGGAGCTGCAGCTTGCGAAAGCGACTTACTACCGCGTTGCATTGGCGATCAATTTTGCCCACACTTGGTCCGGGTGCGGAGTGACTTCCTTATAGACCCTCATCATAATGTGTACCTGTGACGGGCTAGCTTGCATCCTACGCGGGACCTTGCCATAATCCATCTTCGCCTTAGCTTGAGAACCAGTACGAGCCTTGACGGGCTTTGGGGAAGCCGAAATCTCGAGACGTTTCCGAGGACGTAGTCTATGTAGGATGTTGCTACTTAGCGGAGCTAGCGTAGGTTTCGGACCACTGGTCTCGGCGTCGATGCTATGGGCCAATATCAAAGGGGCTGGGGCATTCTCTTCCTTGTTTTCATCTGAGCACCCATTGTTGTCGGCAGCGGTGGACGGAGCAGGGGTCTCCGAAGACGCTTTGGAGCGACTGACTTTGGTCTTGTTATCCTGTGCCTCGATGAGACTGGCCACGCCACCGTCGTTGATGGCGTCTCCGTCGGTGGCCCGAGTGACCGCGATGGGCTCATCTATCTTGTTGACTTCGAAGTTGGGGCTGGCTGGCAAGGAGTCCGGAGTTGAGAGCATTGCAGGCAGGGCGGCTAGGAAGCACGCGATCTCGAATTCGAGAGGAGAGATGACCCGTGGGGGAGCGGAAGTGTCGTCGATGGCGGACATCTCACTAGAGATCATAGTAGACAGATAGCTTTAGACACCTATCGGGAAGCTGTGGCCTCACTGACTGAGGAGAACGGGGAAGAAGGCCACTTTTATATTGTGTCTCTCGTTCGCACGGTTTAGCGGAGGCGGCGAGTGGCCGATGTTCGCGGGGTTCAGTGGCCACTGATCGTTACCTATCGCGGACATGAATGTGGCTGATTGTTGTGTCGTGGAACGTGTTCATGTTGAACACGAGTTGTCTAGATTGCACAAATATCGTATTTGTGAAATAACTGTCGGCTTGGCGTTGAAGTGACAATATCTTTAGATTGCGATGAATATGTGGCTAGCGAGTAGGAAGATCAAAGGTCAGAAATTTCGATTGTGGAAATCTTGACTGTTCAGCGCACCGCGAAATTGACGGAGCAGCGGAGCTGCATACGCATGGAACGGGATGCGGATGGAGTGAACGAGATTCAACGCCGAGGAGAGGCACAAGCAGTTCTATGTGTGATACAATTAAACATGAGTGATGGACGCAATGCGTCACCATGATCGTGAGAACAGTTGGAGTTCAGTTTGGGCCGTAGAGTGAGGTACATCTTAAGGCTTTGTGTAATTCACCAGAAGCAAATGCCTACGGGTTCCCATTGCCCGAACTGTACATCAAGAGCAAACGAGAGGTTGATGAGCTCCATTCCATGCAACTTAACCGAGCACTCACATTATATTACATAGTGTGTTCTCAAGGTTCGCCGTAACGACCAACGATGCTGCAAGTGCTGTAGGAGCATAAATCTTATTCACCTGCGAGGTTGGACCCGCCCGATTGCACGGTTCGATATATATGGACGGAGCAACAACCTGAGGTAATTTACATTCATGCTTTGAGCGCTTGCCAGTGGTGCTGTAATAAACCGAAGGTGCTCTAATAAATCATGATATATGACAAAGTGCCAGCCTCGACTGCTCCGACTTGGACTAGTGGTTAGGGCGCCTATGCTTACGGCAGTTATACCTATAGGGAAGCATGTGGTCCATATGGACTACCACTGTCGGATCGCTGGGCTAGGGTGTGGATAGTTAGGGTGTAGGAAATGGGAAACGGTGTTCGAACATCAGGTAGGCTTATATTTTTCACTCCATTTTTCTTGTCCCGCGCGATTTTCTTCTTCCCTGCTCTTGACTCCCAGAACGCCAGGAATGGTTCATTCCCTCAGTCATCTTATGATTGATACCACTGGGCCATTGGTCGGAAGCAAGGAAAGTGGCGTGGAATTACGCACGTGGTGTACGAGTGCAGCGTGGAAGTATTGAATGCAGCGAGCTCTGCTTTCCTCCTCCAGCCGCGACAGTCCAAAGCCGCGAGGCTCGCACCGCACAGGACGCGTCTTTCCGTCCACGCTCGCGAGCGGGCTAAGGTCTGAGTACTCTATTTCCACCCGGCTTCCATTCCTTCATCATCCCCCACAGGCTCTAGCTGTGCCTGGCCGTAATTGGCTGAGCGACGCACCAGAAACACGGCCCCACGAGTCGGATACTGTCTGTGTCCCGCTCGTGTGCGGTTCGTTCTGCTTAGCCGAACGAAAAAGGTTGGCAGACGATCGGTGGTCTCAGACCCAGCGTGGTCGAAGATGAGACCATTGCTGGCCATGGAATATGTCCCTCTTATCGGGCGGGCACGTCTACCTCCTCACGTTGGCGTCTCCTCTCTATTGTATCTCTCGGTGGTCTCGCTCAGAGAATGCCACCAAGCAAGCATTAAGATCATGATCATGACATGTATCCTGTTTGTTGTACCTGGGAGATGGACGAGGAGAGTAGTTGCGACGACAACGCAAGTGCCCGTCCTTCAGTGCACTTCGCGGCCCGCATATTAGGTTGCTGACTCGTTCGGCCCTTCTGCGGAACTCGATTCAGACTACTCTGGGCTGTCGCGCTGAAATTTTTTGCCTTTCGTGCTCTTTGCGAGTACTTGTTTTGCTCACAGCAGCTGATCAGGAGGAATGGGTAAGTCTCTCCCACAATATTATGGAGCTGATCTCGCTGTCTACGTCTTAAAGATCCATTAGCATTATGCATGTTAACCTTGTCTAGCTGATTCGTCAAGGAGACTTTATCGCTGTGGGAGGTGGTTCGTTGCAACCTCGATGTCTGCTTTCGCATACGTATTGATGATGATTGCTAGTATGCGCCACGTTGCTCCAGTCGGTGAGCGAGTTTCGCCTCAAACCATCGCTACTACTGTGATTAGAAGCATAAGCACAATGTAATAACTCTTGCCATTACTATTCTTCTCATGTTGAATCTGTATAATTAAAAAAGCAGTAGCTAGAGCTATGCCGGAATACGACGTTTTATGGATAAAATTGTCAGGTTGGCGAAACGTTGAACATGCACACCTGCCATAAGCGGTCGGTCAGTTGATCAACTGGGATGCTTGTGGCGCGCAACGCGACTCACAAGAGTCCGTACATCTCCCAGAATTCAATCATAAATAATGTGCTGCTGAGCTTTCTCGTGCCATGACTAGTTTCGTCTCTCATATCACTCACGACCTGTCCCAGAGGATTGTCCAGCCGGCCAATGCACCGAGCTCTCCAGTGGACGCGTCGGAGAGTCCGACCAAGGACTCCTTGCGCGCCGCGTTTCTGAGCATCAACCAGTCGGCCTCTCTGCAGGAGACAAGGCGCTGCCTGGAGTCTCTGCGCGGTCTTGAGACCCAGTCCCTGACGCAGCCGGATGAAGAGGAGATTGTTCTGCGCAGAGTTGTCCTCGGCAAAGTTGCGGTCGAGCTGTATGGAAGGGCATTGAGCATCACGCTTGAGGAAGCGATGCATGTGGAGGATGAGCTTGAATGGTGGGCTGATGTGGAGCGTTCCTCAAGTAGCGTTGGCTTATATCTGTTACAGAGTACGTGTTCTGTCTCATTCTCATACAAGGACACGCTCTGCTCCTTTACTGCGCGTTCTCTGCACCATGATGACTCTTGGCCACTCAAACTCTCGAGCAGTGTCCTCCCAGTTTGATTTCCCAGAACTAAAGCTGAGCTGAAGTATTTTCCCACAGCATTTCCGTCGCGAATAGTCAACTTCTCTAACACCATACTGGCCGCACTCCAAAAGCGTCATCTTCCTCTGCGTCCCTCCACGCTGAAGCCCTCCTCTCTGCGACAGCTGTTTCCATCAAATGGAGTCCTCCGCCCAAATGCGCTGGCGATCTCTCTCTTCCCTCATCTCCATTACCAGCCCTACAGCATCGCTTTGACCATCGGCCGGTTTCCATCCGCATCCGCCTTCGCGCACTCACCACGTCGCAGCTTCGAGTCAGCATTCTCAGTCTTTGCTCAGACATTCGTCAATCTTGCTCGCGGGTTCACATCGGTCGCGCTACTCCCTCTGGAGCTTACCAGGGGCGAGTGTAGGTTCAAGCATCACGAACTGAGGCGGCTCAGAGATCAAAAAGCAGAAACACTGGGGACACTATCCCAATTGCGAGATCTGCTCGCGTCGGGCATCGAGGAGCAGTCGCCAGAGCAAGGCCTCGCCAGGATAGCAGAGTTTGCCGCAGCTTTCCAACTGGTCGTGAAGGGGGAAAGTGTAAATGATGGCACGAAGGCCGCCGATCTCAACCTTATGGACTCTTTAGAGGCCGTGGCGGTGGAGCTTGAGGCCACCGATGCGCTCAGGCACGTCTCCGAGATGAAGGCGCGTAACCTGACTCGACCTTCGCGTTTAACGCTCCTGTGGCCCCGCTTGGTGTTGCTGCCTCCGCTTGTGCTGTACCTCATCCAACGCACGTATGCGTCGCGATACTCGCTGCACCAGATGGCTGTCGAGGCCTTCGAGACTGCACGTGGGTTCTGGGAAGACTGGCTGCTTAACCCCTTGAAGGGCGTCGTGAACACCGTCCGTGCTCGTGCGGATGGCGGGATGATCGTCAACAGGGAAAGCGTCAAAGCGGACTTGGATGTATGAATTTGTATTCACAACCCCGATTTTGCTCGCTGATGAAATGATGCAGTCACTGGAGCGCATGGCGCTCGCCCTGGCTAAGGAGAAGCTCAACTACGATGCAGTACAGATGGCAGCGCTCTCGCAACAGATCCAGCTCGGGGACCTCACCACCGTCATGCAGATCTACGAAGATGACATCAAGAACCCCTTGAAGTCAGCTGTGGGCGGAACGCTTCTGCGAACGCTCTTCATTCAGGTTCAGAAGGCCAAGGTCAGCATTGACTTCGACTCGCGTCTGCACTAAGCACACTCAATCTCAGACTCTCTCGTAATTCATACTAGGTCGACATCGACCAAGCACTATCGGGCATCGATAAGCTGCTCAAATCGCAAGAGTTGACGTTCGCCTTTGTCGGCGTGGCTCCGGCGCTCGCGATCGTGTATGCGTTCGCCGGGTACCTCCGGAGCATCTGGGTGGGAGGCCGTGGCAGGGGGCGCTACGGTGGGCAAAAGTGGAGGGCACGCGTCTGGCTCAAAGTCCGGTAAGCTCGTTGTAATTGCGACATACAGCTATACTCATGTAGTTATCTGTCTTCATTACAAAGCCGAATCGAGCGTCTTCTCATCGCGCAGCCGCAGTCGACGCAAGGCCACATACCTGGGCTGCGTGAGACTCCGCAGCCCTCGATCCCACCATTGACATCGGGGCTCCTCCTGCTCTCGGTCAGCCACCTACGCACGTACGCCGAGCAGTGCCTCCCTGCGAACTCGCGTCTGCGCGAAGGGTTCCTGGAGGACGTTACCGACTTGGAAGACTCTGCTTTGGGGCGCGCGGAGAAGCTTCGTGTGCTCGACCGCATGTGGCGGTGTTGGGGTGGGATGCTGGGGTGGCGAAAGATGGTTGGAGGAGCGGCCGGTGGTTGAAGAAATATAAATATATTAGAAGCAAAATGGAGGCCATACAAAATTCCCCGGTCAATATGTAGGATAGCGGACGAATGTGAGAGTATGACGCTCCTGCACTTATATCCTACTGTCCTATTACTGTCTTAAAATATGACCTTTCGACCTTCTTCGCGTGGGTGTGCCGCACCACTGGACCGTCGTTTGTAACCGGCGCGGCTGCACCAACTTCACCCAAGTCATCTGTCAATGGCTCCAGAATTGCTCCAGCGTACTCAACGTATTTGCAAGCACGCGATCATCACGTTCCTTCGTGATCAGCAAGTCGTTCGGGTCTTCGCCATCCGTCAATTCTTCGTTGAGGAGTGTAGTTGGATAATGAACCTGTCCTGCATTGAGATCTCCGGCCCAGCCGAAGTCGATGAGTTGCACCTGCTCCGGTTTGGTTTTGCGGACAATCAGGTTCGCCGCCCGGAGATCACCGTGCACCCACCCATGCGCATGGAAGTCGTTCGCCAGCTTCTTGAGATCCTTCGACCAGGTCGACAAGTGCGCGGGAGCGTGATCGAGTAGGGTACGTGCGTCGTGGTCGATCCACTCCATTACTACAACTTTCTAACCCCCTGGAACAACGCCGTAGCCCAGCAACTTTGGTGCGTGACCCCGTGCGGCGCAAAAGTCATGCAGCTGCACAAAGTAGGAGTGGGTAAACTTGACCAGAACTTTCCCCGGGACCCCTTTCGCAGTGCCAACATAGATGAATCGATTCGGATACTGCATGGTCGCTCCTTGGTGGGCAGACTCTCGTAGAGTGATAGATAGGACTTTCCCTGTAGTATCGGCTGGCCACGCAGCGACCTCTCTGACGTATGGCAGATACCTCTGCAGAGGTAGCGGATTGCTTATCGTCATGAACTGCTGATTGTCGTTGTGAATATGAAAACGAAGGATGCAAGCACTCCGGAATGCTTTTAACAGAGCAGGCCTCGTCCAGTAGTCTTCGAGGTCGGTGGACAAGCAATACAGCGGCGTCAGCGCCACCAATTTTGTCCTATCCACCAACGCTAGCGCATAAAAGCCGACGCTTGATCCTGTAATAGCAATCAGTTCGGGAGGATAATGAGCCAGAAGCGCGTTGCTTGCCTAACAGTGTTATACCTAACGCGGGGAACACAGAATATGGGGTATGTTTCCGAGCTTCTTTCATTAGCGACTGAGTATAGTGCGCAGCGAGTAGTATCTCCGGGTCAGAATCCGAAGCGCACAACTCATTCTTGACTTCCACGATCATCTCGATCGCACCGAGTGGTCCGAATGCATGCCCATCAGAGCGGCGCTCCTGATAGACCATTGCGGCAGCAAGCGGAGTGAGCTTATGTGATTCGGAATGAGAATTGAAAATATCATCTAAAAGAGGCAGGGCTACGTCCCTGCGGTCAAATTCGTCATGATAATATTTGCACATTGCGGCGCTGAACGTGTCGACGGCCTTTTCGAGTCTGTGGGTATCAACGCCATCAGTGGGATCTGTTGAATCACTGGACATGCAGTCAAAAAAGCGTCCGAATCCATGGTACAAGAGTGCGATGGGGGGTGCTCCGACATCCATTGCCGGACGGTCATTGGCGATACGGTAACCCCGGTTCGCTTGCAATTCTTTGACTAACTCGTATGACGCGACGGTAGAAGGCGACGAGGTGATCATTGGTCCTTCGAAGAATTTTTTTGAAACTCCTGCGTCGTCCAAGTCCTCATCCTCTCTCGGTCGTTTCCGTTGCGAGGTGGCTATCGACGACGAATCTGATGTTAATGGACCATCTGGCTGTCTGCGAAATGACTCACCTATAGGATACGCCACGAGCACAAGATGAACCAACATGTCATCCGGGTTCAGTTGATGAAATTTAGTGCCGACTTTACACAATGGAAACATGGGTTTCAAGCCTGCGATACTCGTCTTGACGAGCATGGTGTCAGGTGTAATAGCGCTCATTTCTGAAGGCTGATGCTTGGGAGTCAGAGTGGCGCCATCGCGATGATGAGAGGACAACTCACAACATACATAAAGATCTCAGAAGGAGCAATCTTATGATACTCCAAAGGGAACTTCTCCTCCTCGCAGATTTTGTCACAGACTTGCGCGAAATCCCAGGAGCCGTCAACGCCAATCGTGCTGATGCCGATGATAGCGTCTTCGAACAGGATCACGTAGGACAGCTTGATATCAGACACGGTTGAGGACTGAGGTGATTGGTGGTGTGTGGATGTTTCAGTAGAAGGCATGACGGGCTTAGCGATGTTGTAAGATAGGTGATGACGAGGTGGTAGTGATTAGTGGTTGAGAGCAAAATGTTTGTATCTGTACGCGTATTGAGCGAATTCGGAGTTTAAAATGTAAGTCTTTTGCTATTCTCCGATCTTGTACTTCCACCAGTCATGCATTCATCTAGGTGTTCATCTTCGCGATCAGTTCACAACTGAATAAGCTCTGCGATGACGATGGACCATAGATCTACGGATATGCGTACACGATTGACAATGTCATTTTGCTCATCACAAGCACGTAGGACTACATCCCCACTTTCTGAATGCTTGTACTTTCTTTCTATTTCTTTCGCTATATCTTTTAACCTCACTGCTTCACAATCATGGGGCGCGAGAAATATATGCCTCGTCGACAGACCACTCCTTGTGCCGGGTTAAACACCAACATAGCTGGCTTCTGCAAAGATACGGCAGGGTGCGCTTACTAGACTAGACAGTACAAGTAATACTGGCACAAAGGGCTTTCGTTCATTATCGGATATCGGAACACTACGACAGACCTGATGAAGAAAGTTGAGACGCGTGTTCTGTCTCTGCACGCTCTACTTTGCGACAAAGCCACTGCCATCTCAAGGTCTCGTGTCTCCCGATAATATGCACATCTGCCATAGCTCGCTCTGACTCTCTTGCTCAGCGTCCTCGCGAAGCTCTTACCGGTCGACGCTAATCCGCTAGACTTACCTGTTACGTTGACGTTCGTACCTTCGCTTGCCATCGAAGAGTTTCCGCCGCGGAATGAACGTGAATCATCCGTCTCAGGCGTACCAGGTCCGAGCGTGCTCTCTGGCGACGTCTGTGGCGACACCGCCGTCTTTTTTCGTGTTGCCCTGTGCGTCAACAGCTTCGCTTGATTTGCCGTACGCGGCTGCGAACGAGGTCTCGGATGAAGGGGGACGCGCGGATCGCTCAGATACTGCGTGTAGCTGTCCTGCTGCTGCAGATGCCTCTGGCTGCGACTGCATCTCGTTGGCCGGCAACTACTCTTGCTGTAGCTCTGCTTGGACTTCCTGTACAGAAAGCGGTATCGGTGCACCTCTCTGAGTAAAACTCTCCAGTATTGTGCTTCGATCCCCGCCGGTCCTGCTCCTCTGCCGATTCGTTCGGTTCCTCCGCAGGCTGTTACTCCTCGGGACGCACCTCATTGTCCTCATCCTGAGTTCTTCTACCCCTGCAGCAATGCGGGTGGCTCGTCTCCTGCAGTGGTGTGCCAGCCAGATCGTTTGTCTCCGCTGGTACGCGATATTCCGATCGCGCTCTTCTGAACCGACTCGCATCGCCACTGCATCGAGTCGAACATTGAGTAAGGCGATATCGGTCATCCGCGATCCGCGCATCAGTCTCGTCATTGGCCAGCTTGCAATGAAACCCCGAGGAATCGGGCATTGCAGCAGTCTGACGTGGCCACCGTGCCGCGTCGGCATTTGACGGGCGTCCCGCCGCTAACAGGACATGAGACTGTGAAGTGACAAGTTATCAAAATAAACCGCCTTATGAGATTATTCATGCCATTAGAAATGAGGAGCTGCATGGCTGCTGAGGACAGATGAGCAGCAAGGGAGCCACCGGCCGCCACGCGCCACATTTTTGTGGCCAGAAGAGGGCGTCAACCTACCCGTTATGGACGTGGGAAAGGTGGCCGCATGGAGGCATCACCGTGACGGCAGTTTCGCGAGAGAGTCGATGATCAGCGGACCCGCAGTGCTGACCAAAGCCAATCTGTACAGCTCCCAGCTGTGTCCAAACGCATACGTATCGCTCTGCCCGTGTGCTTCCTGCACCGCCTGCGCGGAGACTATAACTTTGAGCGTCTTGCGCACTGGCGAGCAGCGTGCCCTGACGCGAACTCTCTGGATTGCAGTGAGCGGCACTAAGAAGACAGCTCGGAGCCTCTGTGAGGCGCGGCGCTGCACTGTACCGCGCCCTTCTTTCGTGATTCGAGGCAAATAGACCCGACTCCTTGATAGAACGCCGTCTCGGGAACTGCGTCTGGCTAGGATTATAAAGAGATTCCCAGAGAGTTATCTTGCCCCCCTTCACCTCATCCGCTATCTGTGACGACGCATCAACACTCACCGCACTGCTGCTCACCTTCCGACCTGATAGAAAGCTGCCTCGCCACCAAGTTCTTGGATCGATTGTACCAAGCATGTCTCCGGACGACTCTACTCCTTCTTCCTCAACGTCGCGCCCGATCACCATTCTTCAGCATCCGGCGCTCGACGGCTCTTCTTCATCAAGCTTTTTGAACTGGCGCAACGACGCGGAGAACAACTCCTTCCTGCCTTCGCTCGTCTCCCCGTCGTCCTCATTCGACTCTGATTCGCCGCTATCTCCGCTCGAGCCCGCCTCTCCCTCCCTCACGCCCACCCTCACATGGGAGACGGCCGCCGCCGATGCCGCTGCAGGTGTCCACTACGTCATGGAGACGTTCCCAGTACCCGGCTCGATGGTAGGCCCTCCATTCAGGAACGAGCCAATACAAGTGAATACAGGCGCGCGTGTGGTGGTGTTGGACGAGGTGGGAGACCATGCACTCAGAGTGCGCGCACTCGACACGGACAACGTGGGGCTGCTGCCGAGGTGGAACGTGGAGGGCGCGCTAGAAAGACTTGCGAGGTTGAACATGGAGTTCAACGAAGCGGTACGTGGTGTTGACTGCAATCTGGAGATGGCCGGACGTCCGGCTAATACGTCTTCACACCCTGCACAGGCGACTTGCCCCGCTGAAAGGAGCCTCTACAGAAGATCCTCTGGAAAAGACTCCAACATATCTGCTCGCGACGAGCAGGCTCTTGCACATAGCCACGATCGGTGTATCCCGTTCTCGGAGCGGCTCCCTTTCTACTCGGTTGACGACTATGACTACGACGACGGCGGCGGCGAGGACTTGTACGAGCGGTCCATGTATGCGGCGGAGCCTAAAGTACAACGGCCACGGAAGTCTGTGGGTTTCGCGCAAGTTGAACGACCAATCGTGTTCAGATATCCCTCGCAGGCACTGGTAGAGGCTTACTATGGCACAGCCGAGGAGCAGGAGGAGTTGGGGTCGGATGAGGAGGGCGAGAAGGAATGGTGGTGGGCGGGTTGGGAGGAGCATCAAGATGCGGTGAACCCAGACGACTGGTCCAAAAACCGACTCCTCGACCAACTGAAATCTGGTTAAGTTAGCGCGTCCATCGCGCGCAGCATCGTTTGGATGCATACGATACGCAAGTATTCATGATTCTGACCGGCACGCAAGATAATTCCCGCCGCATATGCATTGCAGCTCTTTCATGCCATTTTCGTTCCAAGACTACAGACTTTTATCAGCTTACTTATTCAATAATTGAACTTGCATCGCATTCCGGAATATCACCTGTTATTATAGCCTGTGCCTTTGCGATATGCTTGCGTCGCCAGTGGTAGCATGCATGATCCTCTAGGAATTCCTGTTCGATATCCCGCGGGCGTCGATGTCCTCTAGGTGGCGCGTGTGAAATCGGGTGAGAGAAGCGTGGGAGTTTTCGGCGGCGGTCAGACGCGGGATACGCGCGACACGGGACCGCGTCGCAGCGAGTGACGTCAAATAGAGCACCATGCATATCGGCGCCGATATGGCTGGTGGTGCCACAAGTGCGCGTTCGTGGCGCTCAGCGACCTCTCACATAGCTTCGCTGACCGACCGGATCCGTCTCCGAACCCTATAAAACCCTACGTAATCGTCAGTGTGTCAAAAGTATTGTTGCCTGCGACTGCCAGGCCATCTATACCCATAGAAGAGATTGCCTCTAAACGGGGCCTTAGAGAATGACGACCATACCTCAGTTCACGGTGAAGGATTACTCGTCTTTCTTTCTTGCAGGTATGTCGGCACGTCCAAGATTATGTATTGAATTGGCACTGACATCCTCGCAGGAGCACTATGTTGCACGTACGTCGCGACAAGACAGCATATACGACACGACTCACATGTTCTTCACAGTGTCACACATGGCGGCATGACGCGTGCGTCCTTGATGACTGTCGGTCGCAAATGACTGAACTGACTCTCTCCCCAGCGATAGATGTCATTAAGACGCGTATTCAGATAGACCCTGCCCTCCAAGGCTGTTCGCTTCTCTCAGGTGGACGCTTGATCGTCAAGAATGAGGGTGCTGCCGCACTTCTTACAGGTTTCGGACCAACTGCCGTTGGGTACCTTGTTCAGGTATGCCTGCTCTATCGAATACAGTGGGACACCCGTCTTGACTGCGTTGACACATGATGTACCGGTAGGGAGGGGCGAAGTTCTCCGGATACGAGTACTGGAAGAAGCAGTTTGTGCAGATCGCCGGCAGCCAGGAGGCTGCGGTCCGGCATCGCACAGCGATATACCTCGGCGCATCCAGCGTGGCAGAGTACGCACATTGCCGCTTTTAACACCCCTCCTGTGACGTGGACGCGCCCTGTACAGATTTTTTGCAGACATTATGTTGACTCCGCTGGAGGCGACGCGCATACGGCTCGTCTCCGAGCGTCATTATGCATCTGGTTTGACTACGGGCTTCATGCGCCTTGCGCGGGAAGAGGGGTTCCAGGGGCTATATGCGGGCTTCCTTCCTATCCTCTGCAAGTACGTTCCCCATAAGTTCTTGGCGTACTCATTGTTGATCTTACCCTCATATGTCCGCCAGACAGATCCCGTATGCGATTGGCCAGTTCACGGTGAACGAGTACTGCCACGAACTGGTATTCCGTAGTATATCCGACGAGACGCGGAGAAACTTGAGCGGAGGCAACAAATTTGCCATCTCGCTCGGAAGTGGAATCATCGCTGGTTTCGCCGCCGCCATCCTCAGCCAGGTAAGCGCCGTTCGGTGTTGCGCGTGTTGTGTGGATGTGCTCAAGTCATATGTCAACTTTGCAAGCCTGCGGACACCCTTCTCTCGCGGATCAACAAGGGGCACGGTCCCTCGGGGTCGATGGCGTATCGCTTGACTGTGCTCGCGCGGGAGGCTGGCTTCCGCGGTCTGTTCGCAGGACTTGGTCCCAGGATGATCATGACTGCGGGTCTCGTGTCTGGCCAGTTCTTGCTGTATGGTGGCATTAAGGATATGCTGGGTGCACCACCTGGCCTGGAGATCCATAAAGAGGCCAGTGCTAAGATTTCACGGTAGACGCCGTTGATGCCCGTTGCACAAAAGATGCGTGAGTAAGCCTATGGACATGCGAGTGGAAAGACCTAGAAATTCACAGTGTTGTATGACGTCTGTAGTTGGCCACACTGATTTTGTCACACGGTATACCTCTTAGAGTACTGTGGCATATAATCCTTATCTTGCTATACTGTATAATACTGCGTACGCATTGAGGTAACTAGTCGAGAACAGCCGAGTCTGTATTCACGAAAAAGCAGGATCAGAATGGAGAGCATCAGAGGCGTGGAACTTAGCGTCCTAAGATCTCTTTCAATCTACTTCTCACGTTCTCTCTCTCGTCATCCGACGACAGATCCCGCGCAAGCAGCCGTCTGCATACCTCTTCCGCATTCTCCAAATCTTGACACTCCTCATCACGCATTTCTTCATCGAGCAAGCGACCAAGTTCATGACTTGACATAAGTTTGCTATATGTAGAGCACCCGTCTCGTGGTCAACATGCATTCGTCTGTACCTTGTTTACATGCAAATTAACGTACCTGACATATTGTGCCCTTTTTGCGATACGACGAGGAATCCCAAAAACTTCTGCGCATAGCGCTGCATGAGAGTTGAGCGAGAGGCCCTCTGCGACTCTAAATATCTCGGTGAGAACAAATCATTTAGGACTTCGAGGTGCTTCCACAGCACCTGTATAGGTAAGTGAGCCTTTCTCCAGGCGCCATCCGCTTGTTTCCATCCTCGGCACCTTCCATGTCTTCGCCCGAGCTGTAATCATCAGTCGTGTCACTTGCTCCAACAAGCTGGCCCTTGTTCGACGTGAGCAATATTTGCATGTGAAGGAAGGTTATTGGAATAGAGCTTGGATCGAGGAGACCGTCGCAGAATATATTGTGAAAATGCGTCGCTGCGAACACTTTCGGGCATGCGGGCCCACGATCTGCGAGATGCTTGATAATGCCGCAGAGCAGACCAGCCCCGTCTGGACATTGGGAAAGGTACGATCGGACCAATCATCAAATCGAAGACGTCAGCAAAGGGATGACAAGTATAGATGATATACGAGCCTGCAGACGCGGTTCCTTTGCCAAATTCGTCAAGCAGGATCAAAGAGCGTTCTGTTGCGTTCCTCAAAGCCAGCGAGACTTGATTGAGGTCAATCATGAAAGTCGACTGTACCTGAGGAAGAGTTAGAGCGAAAAAAAATCGCATTACGGGTGAAAGAATCTCACCGTTGAGACTGATTCGCGCGTTTGAATGCGAGTGAATACTAGATGAAGGTGGCTTCATTCGACATCTGTCATTGCATGCAACACGGGCTTACTCTTGTCAACAATGCCCAAAGTTGCAGCGTCCGCCGGGACGAAGCTGCAAAGGGATCAGTATACATGCTTGAGACGATGAATGTCCATCCGACCATCCTATCTGCACGATCATTAGCATCAGAAACAGGGCCATATAGCTACAACGTGCGTACTTGTGCCATATATTGGATCAACGCAACCTGAAGAAGGGAAGTCAGCACGAGACTCCGTTCGCACCATTAAGTCAACGCGCTTGCTTCAAATAAACGCTCTGGGATCACAGTCAGACTTCAAATATGTACTGCTAATGACACAGTACCTTTCCGCAAGCATTCGCCCCAGTGCATACAATGATGCCGTTCTGTTCACGTCTGACAGTGTTGTCCACACTACTCTCATCCCGGGTATTTATGTCGTCCGGATTCGAATCACATCCAAACCCACAGCCGCCTACCGCAAAGGCGTCGTTGGGTACGAATGTGTCAACCACCATCTCCTGGAGCGGATGCCTGCCGCATCAATGAGGAGATATCGATACGTGCTGAGGATTTGAAGGACGGTACCTTCCCTGCCTGATATCGATAATGTTGTCATCAACCATGTGCGGGCGGTTGTAGTTGCAAGCTCTCGACGCTTCCGCGAAGGAGAGTAGACAGTCGAGTTCTGCGCAGGCGTCGCAAACGTGGCTTACTACTTCCTTGAAAACGAGTATCTTCTCGAGTAGAGATTGCACAATCTCGATTTCCCGGTCTATACATGATAGCATTGAGCATAGGACACGATTATGTGTGAAAATCGGAGAGGGCGTACCAACTATCATTGGATGAAGATCACCAATGTGTGCATCCATATCTGGACCCAGTCATTAGACGTGTACACCACAGATTCAGCGGCAACATACCGTGCATCTCTTGCGATTTGAAATATACGTGCGACCTTTGCATTGTAGGATAGATTTTGTACGTCTCATATCAGTATGATGAGGATGACTTACTCTGAGGAAAACTGCGAACGTCTGCGAGGAAGTTGTTTTCAGACAGACGATATAGCGACACATACCTGAAAGCTCCATCCTTCAAGTACAGTGATGCCTGCGTCAGTCTTCCATTCCTCGAGCATTGGCACGCATATAAGGAACCCTGCACATGCTCCGTTAGCTGGAGATTGAAATAATTGAGATTGTTCGATGTTTACCCAATTGAGGAAAATAAACTACGTTCAGGGAAGATGCGTAGTCAGGAGGTACTGTAGCCGAGATCTGCTGGGCGACTTTGGACTAGCACGCAACAATTTTAGCAATGAATTGGCGAGCAATGTAGAATCCGCTTACGAGAACAGTGTCAATTCCATGATAAATCCGCTTCAGGTCATCGAGCTCTTCGTCGACATGCGGTTTGACGCAAACTCGGCCAGTATTAGCAGACTCCTCCCAATCGATCTATGGATAGCATATAAGTCATCCTGGCGCATAGAGCATATTGAGCTACGAACGACATCGTTTATCGCGGTGCCTATCGTTTTGAAGCTTCCTGCATCCATAATGTCAACGAGCTTGGGAAGAATGGTTTGAGATGCACCCCGCATGAGGAACGCGAGACAACAAACCCTTTTCACTACATCTGCACTGCCACCACTGTTCAGACCAACAAGGGCGTCGCGTATCATCAGGGCATGATATGTGAACTGAGACACAGCCATCAGTTTCGGCAAAAGTCACAGAATGCCTTACAAACCTTGACAAGACCTTGCCAGTCCGATACTTTAGCCCTCCCAGCCTGCATAACAGCCAGTATACGCGGTATGTTCTTTATACCCTTCAGATGTGTATGTATCAGAGTTGCCGTACCCAAATTGTCGGGACGTAGGAAACATTCCACGGCGTCATGGCGAGCGCTTATGACAGATAGAGACAACGATGGCCGAGTTAGCCATTCACGCATCAGTGCTCTACCTAGAGTTGTCTTGGTGTTATTGAGAATGCCAAACAGCGATAGACCCTCCTTGGTTTTGTCCGAATGAATGGACGCATGGCTTTCATCTTCGAATATTTGCAGAGAGAACAGGGCATCTGCGTTGATTTGCATAGCTTGTGACAGCGCGAGTGCCTGGATTGCGCGTACTTCTATCCCCCCTATGCCTTCATCTTCAAGATCACCTACAGCGCGTATACGTGCTAAATGGTCCAGGAGCGCCCCAGTTGAGCCCAGCTTATATCAATGTCAGTTTGAAGTATAGGAATATGGCTGATCGTTACTTACGCAGAGAGGGGAACTGTCGACGCAAGCGTGGTTCGCCAACCGAATAGACGCATTCCACCTCTGCATGGTTGGGTCTCCTCCAGTCTCTCTCCGACGCCGCATAAAATCGTAGGCATTTCGAGGATCGGCGGAAGACTCGGAACCAGAGTTTGACCGGTCATTCAAGACCTCCGCCGACAATTCCGATAGTAACCGCAAGGAAAGCAGGCGATCGCGACCTTTCCCAGGCGAAAAGTCTTTGTGAGGTCTTATCTGGAATGTACCTCCCGTAGCTTCCACTTGAACCCAATAATGTGATACTTCAATAAAGATAGAAAGGATGACACCTACTATGGTCGCTGAGCATGTCAATGAAGTTGTCGTCGGCTTTGGAACTTGTTAACAGGATGTCAGGGCCGCATTGATCAAGTACTGCGAAAGTAGATTCAATTTTGTAGGCGATGCAAGGCATTAGCTTTAGAACACTCACACAACTTCGTCAAGTCAAAGTGCTGGTTCTCGGGAGCGTCTTCGAACACGTAGATTGTGAACTTCACAGGGTCATAGTAGGCACACCCGATGCGCCCACTAAAGAGCGATATGGACCAGATTTAATGTGCATATATGCACCTGTTTTACTCACAACTGACAAGAAATAGCTAGACAAAGCTGAAGGGAATGAGCGTGGCGGTCTACGCATCAACGCGACCACATGCGAACACACTTTATCAGTCAACGCGGACTGTTGATCCGTATCTTCTTCTGCGTTGTCCTCGTCGGAGACGCTCTCTGCATGCTCCCATCGCACCTTCTTGTGCACACTGCTCGGAGTTGATGTCTCCCGATGTCCCTCTAAACGGGACTCCGTCCCGCTTTCTTCAAGTCGTTTACGCTTTGTTGTCGAAGCACGACCGTTTGGTCCAAATCCACGTCTTCCACGAGACATGGTCTGATGGGGTGACCAATGAGATCTGGGGGATAGCGCTATGAGAGGAAGCGGGAAGAACGCGTCCTCGTATCACATCGCGCGCGCTTGCCGCTCGCGTCCTTGTGCATGTGACCGTTCAGCCCCACCCTCATTGAATCAGCCACCGGTGAGTATGGCTCGACTCCGGGATTGCGAGTCCAGACAATGGGGTCTTATGGACCATCTGAAGCTATAGACAGCATCACGGAGCTACAGAGAGAATCTCGTAGAGTACAGACACCGCTAGCAACCCCCTATTTCTTCTTGTATTGGAGCAGGTCAGTCGCATCGTCCGCGACTACGTCCGAAGTGAGTTTGGATCTCGCGAGATGCATTCTAGAGGTACCAGTGCACTCACCATTCAGCAAAAGGCTGTGAGCATCTAGCATGACCCTGTTGCCGGATGATGCCAATAGATTCGCTATATCACGAGCAGCCTCAAGCCGCCGTAATTCCAGGAAGCCTTTATTCGAGCGCACAGCCTCTCCAATCAGCTCAGCGCTCTTCGCCTCACCTTGGGCACGAACAATAATGGACTATGCAACTGTAAGCGTCAAATGGAAGGATACTGATGCAAGGTACAGACCTGCTTTTCTTGTATAGCTTGATCAACGAGGAACGCTGCACGAAGCGCCGTTTGTTGTGCGACCTGGTCACATTGATTGTTTTATTAATCCATATATCCTCTCAATGAACGGACGCACCTGCTTGGCCTCGACAGCATGTGTGAACTCGGGAGAGAACGCGACATGAGTGATGGAAACGTCGTCAAGCACGAGATTGAAGCGCAACGCGCGGCGCGTCAAGTTTTCTCGAACTAATCGCGATACCTAATCCGCGTTCAAGGTGGCCGTGAGAGTGCGATATAAAGGTAACCGCTGATCACTTACCATCTCACGCTGAGTGATTAACTGACTTGCGTTGAATTGAGCGACCACGCTCTTCAGCACCTCGTTAACAATTGACGGCAGGACGCGCTCGTCATAGTCAGTTCCGAGTTCCCGGTAAATTGTGGGCAATGCAGGCATGTCTGGTCGAGAGAGCACACGACAGGTGATGTTCACCATTTGCAGATCTAGCCAACATGGTGTCAGATATTGTGACGAACATCCCTTGCGTTGAACTCGCCTTTTGTGCCAGTGAGACTGGCAATGTTGCGAGGCTTTGCACGAATATCGAAAATAATTGGTGTTTCAAACCATGGGATCTAGGTTCGGCGTGTAGGGAACGGTCAACAAGCATTGACAGTTGACTGACCATAAGATGGGTTCCTTCCGGATAGACGGTCTTCTTCACACCCTCCAATCTGCACGTGGAATGAGACCTCGCTCATGAAGCTTCTTGCATACTCACCGCGTATACTTAATGGCTCGGTGGCCACCATCAACTAAGCAAATATTCGTCATGCACATCCGCAATGTGACAAATTCATTGAGACATACCATTAAACAAGCTCGCGTTGAGCGCGAGTCCGCCACCGATGAGCGCGAGCAGCAAGCCGCCTCCAGCAGTAAAACCCTTCCCACCCGGGAACCCAGAGCTTCCCTTCCCACCACTAGCACGTTGAAGCTGCTGAGTGAACCGTCTGAAGGCCTCTGGACCGTTAACGTTCATTGCTGAGAAGACCAAAGGGTTGGGTCCCAGGTTTGGACTGACGACACTCGCAGGCAGCTCGGCGGAACGGAAAGTGCCGAAGATTCGCTCGATCTGACCGTTTTGAAGCCCGCCAGCACGTTTCATTCTGCACTTTGAAGATATTACAGGGTATGGATCTTCATGCTTAGTTTTCCTCCGTAAGACTGTACTGACTCTATTGATGGCAGTAGGAACGGATCATTTGCGCGCAAAAATGGACATCAATGGGAACCAGACTCTGAGTAATGTCGTATGCAATTCTATCAGAACTACCAGGAAAATCCTATTTGACACCCGCATGCACAGCTGGGTTGGATATCCATCGCCTGCTGGTGAGAATTTATCGCGCACTGGTCTGGTCGAGCGCTGACTAATGCCGTGTTCAGGCTTGTGGTTTATACTCCTCAGATAATCGAAAACTACCAACTCAAGTCTGGCGAAGGCTTGAGTGTATTATTTATCATCATATGGCTACTAGGAGATCTCTGCAACCTTGTCGGAGCAGCATTAGCTCATCTGCTCCCAACTATTATCGTCCTCGCAGTATATGTGAGTTATGTGTCTTTGCCAACCTCCTCCTTAGGAGCTGATGCGAGGTTCATTTGCTAGTACTTAGTCTGCGATACGATCCTCCTGACGCAAATCTACTACTACCGTTGGCTGAAACAATGGACTTCATCGCAGACCCCCCTCCTCGTGGCAGATGATACCGTCGCCTCGGATCCGCTCGAAGGCGCCCCTCTGCTGGCTCGTGCGGATGATGATGCAGAGGAACGGGCCAAGCCTCCTATTGTCCACGAGTTCGTCAAATACGCAGGCGCGTTGTTCTTCGTATTCGCAGTGGGGGGAGCAGCATGGGCTGTGGACAGCTACATTCACAAGGGCCGGAGTCGGTCTAAGCCTGAAGAGCTTGTTGAGTGGAGAAGCCAGGTTCTAGGATGGATAAGTGCCGTAATGTACCGTAAGTACGTACAAAGTCCAGATACCCGATCACTCATTTCGGGCGGAAGTTGGTGCACGGGTACCGCAGATTGGTGCGTGAGTTGCCTTAAACGTATCAAGAGTTAGCTGATTGCAATCTCGCCACAAAGCAAAAAATTTCAAGACGCGATGTGAAGGGCTCTCTCCCTTCCTGTTTGTGTATTCGATCACAGGCAACACGACCTATGTCTTGGCCATCTTTGCAGCGTCAATGGATATGAAGCATCTCATCGCGAATGCCTCATGGATCGCCGGTAAATAAAATATTCGTTGGCTTGCATGCCTCCGCTCATCTAAGTAATGCTCCGAACATTTAGGAAGTGCTTTGACTATCTTTTTAGACACCTTTGTAAGAATGGTTGATACTTTGCGCCCATTCAGTCCTGACGAGCTCTTGTGCAGGTACTGTGCCAGTTTGTTTACTACACGAGATTCCATGCAGCGGAGTCGTAGAGCATGGTCAATCTAGATAAGAACTATGAGCGTAGTCTTAGCTTTCCATAAAAGCGATTCCGGAGCTTGAGCAGATGGGGTAAGGGCCGAAACCCTTTGCAATCAAGCGGAGAGGGAGTGCGTTCTGATTGTGCAAAACTTGTGTCATAGCCGGGACCGCGTTCGACACGATAAGGGAAAGTCGAAAGGAATTCTAGTCAGCGCCGCCGGTTGTGTGGGACCGAGACGATAAATATTGAGAGCCGAAGCGTGATGGCCTATGAACTTTGTAGCCATCCGCGTTGTATCCGTGCCTCGTTGTCCTCCTCGTGTCGCCTCCTGCTGTTCGACGTCCCACGTTGCAGGTCAGCTCTAAACATTCGTATGGCGTGTACCGTTTCGACGGGCATGCTCCCAGCCTCGTGCTCGCCCATCGCCCAGCTTGTAACAAAAACTCATTATCAATGCCAGATCTCTCATTTGCCTTAAATCCGAGCTTTCATGGCGGGCGTAGGCCCCACTACACCCAGAGGCTCTCCTCTATCGCGCCGCGGTCTTGCATGCGAGTGTGAGAGATAGCTGCAGGTAAGTACGGTCGTTCGCTTGTTCAGACATCCGACGATGGATTGCGGTGCCTTACTCCTGTTTCAGGTTATAGCAAGGCTGGCCTGAGGCACCACAAAAGAGGATTGCTTCATGTGGGACTTGCTCTTGAACGTTCCATTTTGAGCTAGCAAGGCGACGCCGTTTCGCACTGCCTTTTCGGACGAGACGAGTACGCAGTGCGGAACTTGCATACTACATAGAGGCGAGTTGTCCTTGACAGATCCTGTCATGCGCCAGACAACCTTACTTCAAAATGCAAACTCTCAGATACATAGCAGGCGACATCCTAGGACCATGGTACATGCCGCAGTGGGCTCTCCGTCTTTCCGGGCGACATCCCCTTATTCCTCTTCAAGGGCTCCCGATGGGTATCCTCCTTCCCCAATCTATGATACGCTCTCCGTCGCCACGCCATCGATTTCATACGCATTCGATGCCAGAATAGCAGCGTTTCCGCGTTCTCAAGACGCAGTTCAATGGCCGGGAGATCTTTCCCTGAACCAGAATACGCCTCATTCTCGCAGACTGGTGTCGAGTATGTCCATTCCGCATCTTCGGGAAGCCTTACATTGTCTTGAATCGAAGATGGCGTCATTGCTCAGCGAGCGAGATATTCTCGAGTCTAGCCTGGAGCAGGCTGTCCGGATGCAGTCGCCAATTCACCGTCTTCCGGAGGAGCTCCTGTCAGCGATCTTCGAGATCGGCGTTTTCGACGCAGAAGAGGAGGACTCTGCCACATTATTCAGTCTGATGCTCGTCAGCAGGGGATGGAGGGATGTGGCCTTGCACACTCCTGGATTGTGGTCACGGATCGCCGTCGGTACTCGTCACTCGCTTGACAGGGCTCGGCTTCGGCTTGAGCGGTCAAAGTCTGTTCCCTTGCATGTTTGCATAGACTTCAGTCCGCGCATGGAGTACGGGAGCGTCACCACGGAGAGCATCGTTCACGCAATGGACCAATTGCGTTCTTCGATCTGGCGTTGGAAGACCTTTCACCTCATTGTTCCAAACTGTTCCCATGCGCACGCTACCCTCACACGCTGCAGAGAACAAGCCCCTGCGCTGGAGATGCTCTCGGTGCGGATCCGGCATTCTATGCAGGAAGACCGCTACTCGACTCTCCCCTTTCCCTTGTTCAACGGTCGCACGCCACGATTGCGGTCTTGCTCATTCACGTCATTCCACTTCAATTGGGACCTCAAGATTACCAGCAAATTACGTGTCCTTAAGCTCGGTGGGTATTGGAATGGGTTCGCACCCTCGGTCGATCGAATTCTGGACATTCTTCGCGCGTGTCCTCAATTGGAAGAGCTTGCATTGCGCAATATGTCTGACATTGAAGCCGATCCGACATCAATAGCCAGCATCGGTACAACTGATCACGATTGCGTTGGCGATACCAAGATGGTCCATTTGCCTCGTCTCACGAAGGCCTCGTTCTACTACTCCGGCAATAATCGCACCAGGGCAATTCTTAGTTTCCTATCCTTCCCGACACTGGAAAGAATGGAACTGTGCTTCTTGGATAACGTGTCGCCGATGGTGGAGCAGCTAAGGCGACAGTCGCAAACTCGTCTTCCCTTGCGTCATTTGCGCATCGAGGCCAGCTATTTCAATGAGCTAAAGCTCTTGAGAGTGCTGCGAAGGCTGCCAGCGCTGACGACGCTGGAGTTCGTGGATGTCGAGGATGTGTCGTCGAATTTTCTCAAGGTTTGTTGCTACAAATCATATACAATTTGTTTCGACTCTGATTCCATGTGGTCTGCAGAACCTTGCGACACCTGCTTCTACTCATACATGGACTTGTCCGAAACTCACACACTTGTGCTTGGAAGGCTGCACGTCTCTGGACTGGGAATCGTTGCGTTCATTCGTGGAATCACGGCTACCGGCCCAACCACGGGCTTTACCTTGTCAAGCCGGACTTCATACGACGTCATCGTCCTCGAGGTCATGGAAGGCAACGTCATCTGCATCTGCATCTGCATACGCTGCTCATGCCCACACCCTATCTCGGATACCGGCCATGCACCCTGTGCCAGGCACAATGAACACCGTAGGCTGGCCGCACCGGCTAGCTTCCATCAATCTCACACGTTGCCATCAGATCAGCAAGGAGATGGTGCAATGGCTGCGTTTGTACGTAGCGGAGGTGAAGTGCGAGACAACGAAAGGGATATGGGGTGAGGTGATGATGGCATAGTGGCCTGATGAGATTTAATTGCGCGTCGGGTGCATTATCTGCTTCCTTGATATTCTCAAAGATGTCACGGACTATCTCCTTCAGCTGCTAGGATGGACCTGTCTACCGCTGTCTCAATGCTGACCCATCCGTCATGCTCATCTTCCTCGCGCTCAACCCACAATACGTTAATAATGTGTATATACCCAGTAATACAATCGAACATTCAATGTACAGTCAAGCCCAGTAGAACTTTAACGAGCATACACCCATATTAGTCAGCGTGGGAATTATATGTCATCTCCGCCACCGTTCCGCCACCGCACTCATTCTCGTCTCCCTCCATCATGCATCATGGCTACAGTCACTCACTACATTTACTCACACTATGACCCTGCAGAACGGCCTCAACTCGAGCAGGAGGCCGGTCAGATCCCAGAGGAAGAAGAGAAGGACGCATGGCAGACAGAGTCATCTTTCGGCGCACAGCGCCGCCTTGCAGCAGCACCTCGATTCGTTCGCGGAATTGTCTCCTACGATGAGATCAACGACATGATGAGTTTGCCATCTACCCTGCAAGTAGCACCAGAGGAGAAAGCCAACACCGTCGTCAGCAGCTGGTACAGGTCTTTGATGCGGAGCGCGAGCGCGCCTCTGCCTCTTGAGGAGACCGAGACGCTACTGGCGTCCAGCTTTACCACTTCATGCACTACTGCCGCCTCCTCTGTCGGACCATCTTCTCCTGCTCCCACATCCAGAAAGCGCGAAAGCCGAAACAAGGATAACTGGTTCATCACCAGAGCCCTTCGCTCAGAGCCTCCTACTACTTGTCCGACACCCACGCCTACCCTTGCTGATATCCTTGCCCGTGAGCCTCCACCGCTTCCTAACGACCAGCCGTACACTCCTCCTGTCTTCCTCACTCTGGGGCCAAATAATCGAGGCTACACTATGCTTCAGCAGAGCGGGTGGAGCGAGGGCGAACCCCTCGGTCCTGGGGTGGTCCGGCGGCCTCGCGTCGAGGAGCCTATTCCGCAGATTCCTATAAGAGCCAGGCGAGAAGCAGGACGAATGGTCGTCAAGAAGGAAGAGCGCGAGATCAAGTGCGATCCGGACGGGGAGATCAGTGAGCTGCGGGAAGTGGACATCATCGACCTGACCCTCTCCGATTCCGAGGACGGCGAGGAGAACGTCAAGATGGAGGAGGTTGAGGAAGAGGTCAAGATGGAGCTGGGAGCTGTGCCCGCTAGTTTAGCGCTGGGACCCAGCGAAGCTGCCCCGTCGTCGCACAACCCGCGCGCTCTCCTCACACCTCTCCCGACCGTGCTCAAGTCAGATCGCCTCGGTGTCGGTCTCAAGGCCAAGACCGTCGGACCGTACAAGGCGTCAAAGAAGCGTGTTACGCACAATGCTGCCGCTCTCGCTGAACATATAAGGGCGACGGAGGAGATGCGTAGGATGAAGACGTTGGTCGGGAGGGGCTCGAAGAGCTTTGCGAGGCTGGCGAAGGCGGAAGCGGAGAGCAGGAGACGGGTGCTCGCCAGCCTGAAGAAAGGCTAGACCGTTGTTGTCGTGTGTGCATGTCGACAATGCGACCGCAGGTCTGCTACCTGCTATTTCCATCATGCCTGACCTGTCCTGACTGGAAGCGGGGCCCACTGCGGAGGCGGGATGTATGTCCTGTCGTTCCGAGCGCCACTTACGGTCGACATTACAACTATTAAGCAACGAGACGTGACGCTAATGCTTTCTCTCTCGTTGCCCAGTGATGCTCGACCAGATGTGACTACTTCCAGATAATCCAATTGTACTATGTAGAGACGTCCACAGTTATTATAATCAATAACATAATAAGTTGTACTACCAAGCAACGAACGGAGCGATACGACACCAAACAACGAAGGACTATTCAGATTATCGGTTAGCGCGAGCTAACGAGCGAACATGAGTGTTAGTGTAAATGACAGCGAAAAATCCAGAGTGATATGCAGATAGATAGGTTGTAGATGAAGTGTAGATGCGTGGAATCTAGATCAACGAGTGTTTGGGAGAACCGTGAAGCGACTCTAGACGGGGCTGATGGGCATGTTTGTGCCGTCGTATGAGAAACCTATGGGCCATCAGTGTCGGGTGATGATGGGTGCCGGATGACAGACCGCGACTTACCTGCGAACTGCGCCTGAACGGTCTGAGAGAGCTGCGAGCCCTCCACGACGCTGTCCAGGGGCGCCTCTGCCGTAAAGACCGTGTCGAAGTTCGAAACATCCTGAGCAAAACGGTACTCAGCGAACGCAACAGATAACATTCTGAATTTGAAGCAACGAACCACCGGGCTAGAGACACTCGGTTTGAACGGCGGCTGGATCTCCTTCTGGAGCAGGAGCTTGAAGTCGATGTTCTTCTCAAAGAATGGGTGCCTGCGGATCTCGTCTGCACCGTTGACGCCGAGGCGCTGCGTGGGGTCGCGCGTGAGGAGGCCGGTGAGGATGCTGCGTGCCTCTGCGCCGATCTCGTCGCCAAAGACGAGCGGGCTCGTCAGGATCTTCTGATACATCTTGTCGGTGACCTCTGCTGCATGATGAGTACGTGGTCTGTAAGACTAGCATGATTGGAAGACTGACCGTCGTAGAAAGGAGGAAGGCCGGACAGCATCTCGTAGAGGAGAACTCCCAGCGTCCACCAGTCGATGGTCTTATCTGATCCATGGTGTCAATTCCGGGCCAAACACGGCATCTGGTCACATATAGCTCACTGTATCCTTGACCGTTCAGGATTTCCGGTGCAAGGTACTCTGGTGTACCACAGAACGTGTTTGTCGTATCCGAATCCTTCATGTTGAGCTTGCAGAGACCAAAGTCACACAACGCAATGTGGCCAGTGTAGTCCAGGAGGATGTTCTCTGGTTTCAGGTCACGGTATACGACATCGAGTTCGTGCAGATGCTCCAGAGCGAGCAGCAGCTCCGCACTGTAGAACCGACTCCGCTCCTCGTTGAAGCGCTGTTCCCTCTGCAGGTGGTGGAAGAGCTCGCCGCCGTTCACAAAAGCGAGGACGAGGTACAGCTTCTGCTCCGACTGGAAACTGAACTTGAGCGGCACGATGAACGGGTTGTTCACCCGCGCGAGCACCATGCGCTCCGCGAGCGTGTGCGTGATCTCCCCGCGCTCGACGATGTGTTGCTTGCGGATCGTCTTGAGCGCATATATCCGCGAGGTGTCGCGTTTCCGCACCTGCATGACCTTGCCAAAGCTGCCCTTTCCGATGACGGTGATGAGCTCAAAGTCGTCGATTGTGAGCGAATGCCCGCTGCTCGGCTTGAACGCCACACCAATCTGAATCCTGCCAGGGCCGCCGACAAAGTCATACCACTGCTCGGACGGCGACGACTCCTCGAAGTCGGGCGTGAACCGCACGCCGCCCATGAAGATGTCGTTGCCCATGTCGTCTGCGATCCCATCCCCGCCGCGCTTCGGTTCCTCTGTCCGGAGGTAGCATTGGATCGAAATCTCGGAGTAGCGGGACACGTCGCTGGAACAATGGTCACACACAGGGCAAGACCGTGTCATAGTGCTACTCACAATCTCGTCTCGTACATGTACAGCGGCTTGGACATCTCACCCCCGAGCGGCGTGATGAGCACCTGGTTGACTTCAAACTCCATGACGAGGTACGGGAGCCACCAGCACTGCTTCCGCTGCACGCTGTCCCGGTTGCTCTTCCTGTTCTCCAGCCTGTGCTGAGTCACGCTCGAGGGCGAGACGGACGCAGCGGCCTTTGCCTGCTGCGAGGACAGCGCAGCCTGGACGGCGGGCGGGAAGGCGGCACCGCCGGGGAGGTCGAGCCCCTCGGCCCACAGCACTCGGATCGCCAGCAACCCTGCGCGGGAGAGCGAGCCAGAGGGGTTACCTGGCGTCGGCGTGGTCGATCGCTGGGCGTCCTCTGCGACTGGCAGCGCCTTGGACTGCTTCTTGCCTGGTCTCCAAGTCATTGTAGCAAGGTGGGGAGGGTCAGAGAGTGTGGGTCGTCGGGTCGAGGGAGGAACAGAGCACAGCTCTGGCGGGGAGGGTAGGGTCAGGTAGTGATGCAGACGTAGAGATGTGGATCACGGGGAAAATAGGTATTGCCATATTCAGGAATGCGCCTCGTATGGAAGGCGTAGTGTTGATCAAACGCGGAAGCTCCCGCGACGGCTTCGTGCTCGTGGCATCGCCCACATTCGACGTGGCGCTTCCCAGTGCTGGACATGCGCGTCCAACTCACACCAGCATAGCATACCTACCGATTCGCACGCAGCATCTGGACTCCCTCGACGGTCGTTGCGTTGCTTGACAGTCGCTTGTCGTCGTGATACCGATGTCGCGCATGGCAGCATGGTTGATCCGCCTCCATTCTTGTGCTGAACTCGCGTGTGCAATCGTGAGCAAACCTCCAGGCCGTGTTTACAGGTTTTCAAATTCCAGAGATACTCGTCGGCGCTGCGCCAAATATTTGCATAGGAATGCAGAGCTTCTCATCCTTGTATGCTTCCACCTTCAATATCAATGTCTGAGCTCCGCCCTGGAAAGATCTCGCTAGCCTCCTTAGAGATGTCTGCTCCACATCGAGATTTACAGGAAACTGTTGACACGGGGGCAGCGACTGATCATTCGGACGTTAGGCGCGTACTGGCAGCTTGGTACAGATCGAGCGGGAGGCCTCCCGCTCCATCCATAGCACAGCAACCATCGCGGCCCGCATGTTCTTGGAATGACCCTTGCATCCGTTCCCCGCCTCAAGGTCCTTCTCCGAAATGGGCATTTCCGACCCCACCGCGGGACAGCCTCTGCTTGTACAAGCTCCATGTCCTCCACATGGCCATACAGAAAATGTTCCGGAGCGTCCTTAAACTTAACCATGAAGCTCAATAGTCTACGAGATGACGGCCAGAGGCTGTATATTTTGGAGCTCGCTGGCTGATGTAGAAACCGTTTCAATTCCAATTTAACCACATCTCACAACCACGTCGTGCCTTCACCTTAATTGACATACTGGCGCTGTGTTCGATTGCGTTCATGAGTTATTGGTGCGCCGTTGTCATCATTTTTACTTGAATGGCATCGGCCCGGTGCCGTTGATCCACGCCAGTAGAAATGAAGCCCATCCACCACCGCAGGCGCAGCACAGCGACGGTCTCCACATGCATGACATCAGGTGCCTCCAATGGAGTGATCCGAGTCTCTTCCTGCTTAAGAGAGCATTAACCATTGGTCATACCGCGAAAGGCATGCAACAGAACCCTTTCGTGAGCGTGCTGACAAGCCGGATGTGGACTACCGCCCGCAGATCCGTATAGGATGCGAGTGTTGCGTGTCGAGGTGAACCTAGGTGAACTCGGGCTCGCAACCGAAGAACAGGCAGTAACATATACACATATAAGTATATATAGACAGAGCAGGCGAACAGAAACATTGATGAATATATTTACATGAATGAGACGGCTTGCTTGTGTCGGACAATCGCTGAGGACCGACGCAGAGTTACACGAAAGGCTGTCGCGCACACCGGTGTCAACGTGATGTAATTGCAATTGAGCATGGTAGCGTGAGTTGAACGCAAACAAGCGCGACTGAGGGGGGACAGGCCTTCCTAGGGTATCTTTGGTGAACTAAATTTAGCACTACCTCACCTCGATATACCTATGCAGGAAGGTATTGGCTTTTGGGTCAGCTGAGTGACAGCGAGCGCGCCGTTTTCTGTCCAGTAGTAGTGGCGGTCAGAGTGGCCGGTTCTCGCCCGATTCTGACGCCGATTCTGACCCGATTCTTGATGGCTGCAGGTCATGAAATCGACACGGAATCGGGTACTCACTCTGACTACACCCCCGGTTCTCCAGTACAGTTTTGTATCAGACAGGCACATCTGTTCAGCGCTCAGCGCTCAGCAGTAGAGCGCAAGATGTCGAATGTTGCAGGCTGTGCCCAGCGCGACAGCTCTGCCACAAAACACTGATCTGAGAGCATAGGATTTCCAAGGAAGTTTGAATAGTTGAGCCTGGTCTACACAGTGAGTCACACTAGTACGCACCCGCGCGGAACCGCTCGCTCCATTCAATTGAAATCAGAAATTGACTCGAGAATATTCTCCGACAGCGGAACATAGCCATGGACGAACTATCCTCCTCAGGACTACGAATGTTGTCGGCAAGACTGGGCGCCAGGCAACGATTCTCTGGTGTGCCAATGCATACCTTCGATTGATCGATAGCAGAGTCATCCAGACCACACGCTAGCATTGGTTGCGCTGCCGCGCTGCGTACGCACGTCAGTGGGTGAGTCAATTGCCCTACTGATACTAAGTCAGGCCTAGGTGCTGCGGTAGCCCTGAGTCCATCATGCATCTTGACGCGGCGTTGCGGGAAAGGGGGACATGAGGATGCCTGCGCCCGCTGGAGTCGGGAATGAGCTGGGCGCTTAGGGCGCGGTCATCGACCCCACTCTCAATGGCTCGTGCTGTGCTAAGGGATGTCTTGATGCACTTTGTCATGACGATGCCAGCAGCAGTTGCCTGTTAAGGGGGGTAAACGACGTCCGAAACGATATTCGTGCTGTACACGTAACATCGAGATGATATCCTGCAAAATGCTAGTGGCCAGTCACCATGAGTTGTGTATGTTCCACTTGCCGGAATTTGTTTACTGCTAATAATCTTGCATGTAAGATCGCCGTGTATCATATCGACCCCAGTCGCCCCGCCGAGCGGACGCGAAATACCACGGCAGGTTAAATTCCCAATCTCGATCGGGGCTTGGCCGAACTCGATTTAGTGCGGACTTTGACATCAGTTAAGTAGCCGAGCGTTCGCAGCATGCATGAGCGATCTGGCAAATTGCAAGCGCCGCATTTTCATCCCGGACGTAAAGCGGAGGCCTGCAATGTCCGAGACACTGCGTCGCTCAAACTGCAGGGAGGTCAAGTGCAGATTGGAGGACAGAATGGCCAAAATCAACAGGCGACCGTCAGGAACCAAGCCAGATCCACGATCGGGCCGGGATTGGCCAGCGTAAAATGCTTATCGTAAGCGGGTGTGCGTCCCGCCAACGTATGCAGCGCCAGACACCGCCCACCAGCTCGTGTGAGCATGAGAGTATCCTGCAAAACACGCAGTCGAATGGCTGCTTTGAGCCTGTGTGTGGGGAAAGGCTGGCGTGCGAGCGGTCGTGAGCGAAGACGTTGAGACACGGCGCAATGCCGCGAGGAAACGTCCGCCACCTGCGAGCTTGCGTGTTCCCCACGCTTCGCTCAAGCGCCACCTGCCAAGAATAGGCACGTCGTATCACAGAATATAAGGCTGGGCTTCATGTGCCCCGCAAGCGCCGGTACATTATTCGCCTCTCTCCGTCGTACACTTCACTCGACGTGAGCCCTATTCTCCCACCGCACCTGGCTCCCGCAGGCCATGGCCGCCTCCTTCAACGACGGCTCTGTGAGAGAGAAGAGTCCCGATGCCCGTTCCTCGATGGCAATTTCAGAGAAAGGGGGCGATGTTTCGCGGCCGCAGAGCGCCGTTGACCCCAGAGATGAGAAGCAGGCGCACCTCGATGCCCCTGGCTCTGCGGCCATCGTAGAGGATGCGAAGAAAGACGAGACCGAGCCCGCAAAGGCCGTCTCATTTTTCTCGATGTTTCGGTACGTTGTTCGAGCTCCTTGCGAATGCCCGTCTTATCCCCTCGCAGGTTTGCCACGAGGAGAGAAATCAGTATGAACATCGTCGGTCTTGTCGCAGCAGCAGCAGCTGGTGCAGCGCAGGTGAGTGCATGCTCCTTGTACAGCGTTGAGCAGCTCGTTGACAAACCCGGCAATTTAGCCTCTCATGAGTTTGCTCTTCGGTAATTTGACGGAAGCGTTCGTCACGTTTGGTACAACCGCCGCGGAGGCAAAGTCAGGCAACTCTACTGCTACAGACGAGTTGCCTGCAGCTGCCAGTCATTTCCGGCATACCGCCGCGAATGACGCGTCGTATTTGGTCTATATTGGTACGCCTGCGAATTGTTGCACTTCCGTCGAAGGTTCCATGCTTACCCTATGTCAGGTGTCGGCATGTTCGTTTGCACGTATATTTACATGACAGCATGGGTGTACACCGGCGAGGTCAATGCTAAGCGAATTCGCGAACGCTACTTGCAGGCTGTGCTCCGGCAGGACATTGCTTTCTTCGACAACGTTGGCGCCGGTGAGGTGGCGACGCGCATCCAGACGGATACTCGTGAGTTATGAAGCCCTGTCGCCCCTTACTGCTCTTCTGAACGCGTATATTGGCAGACTTGGTTCAGCAAGGTATATCGGAGAAGGTCGCCATCGTGGTCAACTTCTTTGCCGCTTTTGTCACTGGTTTCGTCTTGGCATACATCCGTGAATGGCGGCTGGCCCTCGCGCTGTCCTCGATGCTCCCATGCATTGCCCTTACCGGTGGTATCATGAATAAATTTATCTCGGGTTACATGCAGTACGCACAGCCTTCTTCACTCCAAGTTGGCGCATATACGAACTGACTCCTGGGTAGACTGTCTCTCGCGCACGTGGCAGACGGTGGAACACTCGCCGAGGAGGTCTTCTCGACTGTCCGTACCGCGCAGGCCTTCGGCAACCAGAAGGTTCTCGCTGAGAGGTATGATTCGCACATCTTCAAGGCCCGCACTGCAGACATGAAGGCTGCAGTCTGGCACGGATGTGGTCTTGCCACGTTCTTCTTCGTCATCTATGGAGGTTACGCATTGGGTGAGTTCGTGGCAGTTGGGCTTCTTTGATGTGGTGATGTCTGATAGACTTGCGCGCCTGTAGCATTCGACTTTGGTACCACGCTCATTGATGAGGGTCGCGGTACGTATTCCGTGCGAGTACTTCTGATGGCTGCATATTGACAGTTGTTCGTAGCGGACGCGGGAAAGGTTGTCAATGTCATCCTGGCTATCCTCATCGGTTCCTTCTCTCTCGCATTGTTAGCGCCGGAGATGCAAGGTATAGTTCCTGTCTGCGTTCCATTATGTCTTCAGCTGAATGTTCGCTTGCAGCTATCACACATGGACTGGGTGCCGCGGCGAAGCTGTATGCTACTATCGACCGTGTGCCGGATATCGACTCCCAGAACGAGGATGGTCTCAAGCCCGAGAATTGCGTGGGCGAGATCACCTTGGAGCATGTCAAATTCAACTACCCTTCCCGCCCGGACGTTCGCATCGTGAAGGATCTCTCGGTCACGTTCCCTGCAGGGAAGACCACGGCGCTTGTCGGTGCATCTGGTTCCGGAAAGTCGACCGTCATCTCTCTTGTGGAGCGGTTCTACGACCCATTGGAAGGCGCTGTCAAGCTCGATGGCATCAATCTCAAGGACCTTAACCTCAGATGGTTGCGAAGCCAAATCGGTCTTGTGTCTCAGGAGCCCACGCTTTTCGCTACCACCATCAAGGGCAATGTCGCTCATGGTCTCATCGGCACGAAATGGGAACACGCTTCTGACGATGAAAAGATGGCACTGATCAAGGAAGCATGCATCAAAGCAAATGCGGACGGTTTCATCACCAAGCTGCCGCTCAGCTATGACACGATGGTCGGCGAGCGTGGGTTCTTGCTTTCAGGTGGCCAGAAACAGCGTATTGCAATCGCGCGTGCTATTGTCTCCGACCCGAAGGTCCTCCTCCTCGACGAGGCCACGAGTGCCCTGGACACGCAGAGTGAGGGTATCGTGCAGAATGCGCTGGACAAGGCCGCAGCTGGGCGTACAACGATCACGATTGCGCACCGACTCTCGACGATCAAGGATGCGGACTGCATTTACGTGATGGGAGACGGGCTCGTGCTCGAGTCTGGCACGCATCAGCAGCTGCTGCAAGATGAGAACGGGCCGTATTCGCGACTTGTCGCCGCGCAGAGGCTGCGTGATGCACGCGAGAAGCGGGGGAACGAAGAGACCGACAGCCAGACGGCTGCGAGCGATGACGAAGAGATCGAGGACTATGAGAAGGCGGCGGAGGCGGAGGTGCCGCTTTCGCGCTCCAAGTCCGGCCGGTCGCTTGCTTCACAAATATTGGAGCAGCGAAATAAGGAGAAGGCTGAGCACCGCGAGTATGGGATGTGGTACCTCTTGCGCAGGTTCTTTGGCATCAACCGCGAAAATTGGAAATTGTATATGTTTGGGGCTATTGCGGCTATTGGTGAGTGTCCTTCAGCCCTTGGCGTTAATTCCCTGCTTGACGATTGTTCGGTAGGCAACGGCGCCACGTATCCTGCATTCGGTATCGTATATGGTACGTTTTCATCGGCAGTCAACTGTTGCGAGGTACTCAAACGTCGTTTCTCGTGTAGCTAAGGGTATCAGCGGTTTCTCGGATACCGATGAGCACACCCGTCGGCATAACGGTGATCGTGTTGCGCTATGGTCAGATAATTTATTCGACGGTAGTGGGATGATTCGTTGATTTCTGTTTTTAAAGGTTCTTCATCATTGCGATCCTCTCGGCCATGGCCATTGGATTCCAGAACTTCTACTTTGCGTCTTCCGCTGGCTTGCTCACGAATAAAATCCGTTCACTGAGCTTCCGTGCGGTCGTGAGGCAAGACATCGAATTTTTCGACAAGGACGAGAACAACGTAAGTGTAGAAGCGCTTGTTCTCAGAATTTTGCTGATAGAGCCCAATGCAGACTGGTCAACTTACGTCTAACCTCAGTGATAACCCCCAGAAGGTGAATGGTTTGGCCGGTGTCACTTTGGGAGCGTACGTATGCATTCATTTCGCATAGCATTAGCTGCTCACTGAGTCCGCGCAAACAGCATCGTCCAGTCATGTGCCACGCTTGTCACAGGAACTATCATTGGCCTGATCTTTGCTTGGAAGCTCGGTCTCGTTGGTCTTGGTAAGAATTTTCCCGCTGTGTTGGTGGAGTGCATGTGGCTAACGCATGTCTTCAGCTTGCACGCCTGTGCTTTTTTCAGCAGGTTACATCCGTTTGGTGGGTGTTACTGAGGTCCTTCCTGGCATCTTCACTGACAATACTGCTGTAGCGTGTCGTCGTCTTGAAGGATCAACAGAACAAACACGCCCACGAGCAGTCCGCGCAGCTTGCCTGCGAAGCCGCGGGTGCTATCCGCACCGTCGCTTCTCTGATCCGCGAGGATGATTGCCTTCGTCTCTACAGCGAGAGCTTGGAAGAACCGCTTCGCAACTCTAACAGAAAAGCCATCTATAGTAACGCCATCTATGCTCTCTCCCAATCCATGTCGTTCTATGTCATCGCGCTCATATTCTGGTACGGCTCGCGTCTCGTCTCTTCTGGAGAATTATCTACCTTCCAATTCTTCGTCGGCCTCATGGTAAGCACCGGAATATCTGATTCGCGCAGTCCGTCTGAAATCGTGCCGTATAGAGCACTACGTTCAGCGCTATCCAGGCTGGAAACGTGTTCTCGTTCGTCCCTGATATTTCTTCTGCCAAGGGTGCTGCTGCGGACGTCATTACACTTCTGGACTCGATGCCTGAGATCGACGCTGAGTCGACGGAAGGCGAGATTCCGGGAGACGTCGTGGGTAGGATCCGGTTCGAAAACGTGCACTTCCGCTACCCGACCCGACCTGGTGTGCGCGTGTTGCGCGACCTGAACCTGACAGTTGAGCCTGGCACATACGTTGCGCTTGTTGGCGCTAGTGGATGCGGGAAGAGTACCACGTGAGTTTTATGGTAACGTGAATAGTCGCATCGAGTTTGACATTCCTGCAGGATTCAACTGATCGAACGATTCTATGACCCTCTCATGGGAACCATCTATGTTAGTATATCTGTTCGTCGCACGACATTGTGATACTGATTATGCTCTTCTCGATAGCTTGATGAACAGCCTGTTACCAAATACAATGTCTCTGAATACCGAAAGCACATCGCGTTGGTCTCTCAAGAGCCGGTAAGTGACATTACTGTCAGGTTATCTTCTTATGACTCAAAACTTCGCAGACTCTCTACTCTGGCACAATCCGCTTCAATATCCTGCTCGGTGCTGTTAAACCTCAGTCTGAGATCACACAAGAGGAGATTGAGGCAGCATGCCGCAACGCCAACATCTTGGACTTCATCCAAAGCTTGCCTCAGTGAGTTTGTTTCATGAGGCTGGTGCGCTGAGCGACGCTTACCGTTCCTAACAGGGGCTTCGACACGGAAGTTGGTGGCAAGGGCTCGCAGCTGTCTGGCGGTCAGAAGCGTATGTATCATGCGTGTTTTCCCTCATGTTTTGTGACTCATAATATCTCCGCCAGAGCGTATTGCGATTGCACGTGCCCTGCTCCGGAACCCCAAGGTGTTGCTGCTCGACGAGGTAGGATTACGCCCATGGTTTCATTGACACGAGGCATTGACTACTGCTTATCTAGGCCACGTCCGCACTTGATTCGAATTCAGAGAAGGTTGTGCAAGAAGCGCTAGACAGGGCAGCCAAGGGCAGAACGACGATCGCCATCGCGCATCGGCTGTCGACCATCCAGAATGCTAACCGGATGTAAGTTTTACCCCATAGGCGATGTTTGGAAGCACGTTTTGATTGTTTTTGCAGATATTTCATCAAGGACGGTGCAGTCAGCGAGGCGGGAACCCACGATGAGCTTCTTGCGCTCAAGGGTGGGTACTATGAGTATGTGCAGCTGCAAGCCCTCAGCAAGAAGTAAAGTGTGACGAGACATTTTGGGGATTGGACATTATGATACCATGGTTATATAGCAGTAACGGATTTTTAGTCTCCTTATAATCGGCATTAGCTTTCGTAGGCTCTTGATATCCGTCCGTTGGTTGTTACCCACGCTTTGTACATTTAGATTACGACTATCCACGCATACAGCACGAGGCATTTGTACGCAGCTCATTGTGATACCCAATGTTTCAGAGTGGCAGTTTCCCCGAAATGCGCAAAAGAGAAGACAGCAGGCGTGAGTGAGGCTCGGTAGTCTCCGCACAAAACAGGACCGACGCGTTCTGCCACCGTCATCACTATCATACCTCAACTCTGCTTATCCCCAATCCCTCGCGCCAAAATGTCTGTCCAGCTCAGCCCGAGCGTTACCCTCGGCTTCCACAGTGCGTCGGGGCGGTGCATTGCGTGCTGAACAACGCTCATACACCCCTATAGGACCCCTCACACAACACGTCAAGCAGTCGCTTGCGATTACCAATCCCAATGCGCAACCGGTTGCGTTCAAAGTCAAAACGACTGCACCAAAGGTGCCTCCACCTCATGGCGAGCATGTTCGTTCTTCTGACTGGGCTGGAGCTAGGTGTACTGCGTACGCCCAAATTCCGGGAGAGTGGAACCCGGAGAGACCGTTGAAGTGCAAGGTAGTGTGATGCCGTAACTAATATTGGGCGTCGCTGAGCGTCGTGCTGCCCCTAGTCATGTTGCAGGCGATGAAGGAGGAGCCACCCCTGAACATCAAGTGCAAGGACAAGTTTCTGATTCAGAGCACAACCATCACTCATGACAAGGAGACAATGCCGGTGCAGGATATCGTACGATCCATATATTCCCTTCAGCAATTTGCAATCAACCCTTAGACGTATCATATAGTGGAACGAGAACTCGGAGGAGGTACACTCGCAGAAGATCAGGGTGGCGTACTTGCCGCCAGAAGGTCAGACGGTACCGGAAGAGGATGAGGGGCCAGCCTCCCATGGCATTGAAAATGTGGGCGACATTTTCGTTTGTAGGAGGCTTTCCTGCTGAATTTCATGTGGTAGAACTACGGCACAGTTCGGACGCATCCTTCGAGCAACGGAGATGCACAGCGTGAACACAGTGGAGACAGCGGCGTGCAGCCACATGAAGAAGAGCAACACCACGATGCATCGTCTACTCCGCCTCAGCCTACCATTCATGTCCAGGATGAGCAATCTGCGCCGGAGGCGCCTGAATCGGACGTTGGGATCGTCAATGTCAACGTCCTCACACCACAACCCCCTGCTCTATCATCTTCCGCACCTGCACCTGCACCGAATAAGAATGCAGACCTCCAGGCGCGGCTGCGCGAGGCACAGGCGGAGATTGAGCGTCTACGTAACCTCATTTCCTCCATGCCCGAGCCCAGCACAGCCCCGACAACCCTCTCCACGACGTCAACGGAACTAAGACGGCGACGGCCGCTATCCACTACTGATGCAGGAAGCACGCTAGATGGCGAAACGGAGGTGGGAACGTACATCGAGGAAGCCGTCGCACCTCCCGAGGGAGTCCCACTGCAAGTGGTCATCGTCATCGCGCTCGGCGTGTTCATCACAACATATTTATTCTTCTGACGAGCCTTCTTCGTGTTCGGATGTTTTCGTATCTTTCCCTTAACAGTTGGACACAACGCCGTGTTGTGTAGCACATCGAATGGTGTGTCGGTTTACATTCCGTTGTGTATCTCATTTGTCCTGTTGTCTTTCCGATATCTCGCTCCGGCTATCATTTCCTTGCTTCATGGCCTGGATCTCATCTCTTGTCATACCTAAATTAATTGCTTTGGCATTCATTCCCGCTGCCCTGATATTATTCCCTGTATGTCTATATGTAAGCAGAGGTGTGCACTCTTCATATTCGATTCGACCATCTGCATAATAGATTCAGATGGATGTGTTTATCGGTATCTACGCTGTATCAAAGCTTGACTTTGGATCGATTGAGTTGAGCGTGGAGTGAGATGGCTAATATGCCGTGTCCGCGCGGTCGACACTCTTTCATAACCATGACGCTCGTCTTGCCCGGAGAACAAATTCTTGCAGAACAGGTCAACGTCAAAAGGCTCGGTCCTGGCCTCGAGCAGCTCTTCAGCTCCGATGGAGAGTCGTACATCATGTCGACTCGCGCTGGCGAGCTCAAGCATATCACGAAGCGAAAGGAGTGGTTCGTAGATAGTAACTCTCGACGGGTGAGCGCATGCATTGCTTTCAGTGTTTGAGTATGTCAGTTCTGATAGAGGGGAAGGCAGTACATCCCGAGCGCGAATGAGGCGGTCGTTGGGATGGTCATCTCCCGCAGTGGAGAGAACTGGAGGGTGGACATCGATTCTGCGCATATGGCGGCTCTGGACGGGCTCGCATTCGAGGGGGCCACAAAACGGAATAGACCCAACTTGAAGGTGTGTGCTTCATTCATCTCATTGCGTGCAGTGTATGCTCACACTGTATCTCGCAGGTCGGGTCGCTGCTTTACGCCCGAGTGTCGCTCGCACACAAAGATATGGAACCAGAATTGGAATGCTTCGACGCACAGACTCACAAAGCGGAAGGCTTTGGAGAGCTCAAAGGCGGTTTTCTCGTCCAATGCAGTCTCAAGATGTGTCGACTGTGCGTATCGTCGCAGCTGCTTGTCCCGTTGCACGCATGCTCATCTCCCTGACAGACTGTTGGACCCAAAGCATTTCCTACTCCCTCTCCTAGGCTCGAAATTCCCGCTTGAAACTGCCGTCGGGTTGAATGGACGCGTGTGGGTGAATGCACAGGATGCAAAACACATCATTGCCGTCTCTCGGTGCATCGAAGCTGTAGACCCCGATGGGGGCGGGATGGACGAGGCCGGGGTGAAGAAATTCTTGGGTACACTGGATATCTGATACGTGTATTATAGTTATATCATATCGTCAGTATATGTGCAGTACACTTGGCGCGACGATACTACTGTACATACTATACGATAACAACGAATCCTCTCTGGAACGGGTATATAGCCATGTGATGGAGCAGGCAAGCTCGAGATTCGTCCGGACTGGTCAGTCTTCGTCACCCAAACGTGCCCTCTTCGAAGGTCTCCTCCCAGAGCCTGAAACACTCTCGTCCTCGCTCATCGGTGTCCCAGCGTTCCGCGCACTAGCCCGCTTTTTCCGTTGGTACTCTCTGTCTCTGTTCTTCTTGTGCTGTGCCGGGGTGAGATCTGGTGGTCTGGTTGATGGCGGGAGGATGACAGTGGTGATGCCAGGTGTGGACATACGAGAATGGTCGTCCGCCGTGGCGGCGGACTCTTCGCCTTCTCCGGCAAGATCGAGCGACTAAACACATGAAATATCCACCGTTATGACCGGAAGGAACATTCAAGAGGCTCGCACCTTCCTGTATGTCACGCTGCTCTGAGAGAACATACGATCGGCGTCGGTGACTTCATACTTCTTCCTGCCTCCCGTGGGGTTTTTGAGATAACCCTCAAAGCCATGTATGATATTTCCTCCGCTATGCGCGGCAGTCTCTGTCAGATATGACGCCTCGAGGTTGTATATCTGCACCTCCAGTGCTGCCTGTACATCGGAATGAGTGTCTCATGTTCAGGAGAAATGGGGCAATGCGCACCAGCTGCTTGTCGATGTTGCGCCGCTTTGTCAATGCCTGCATGAGCTCTTTTCGCGCTGCATCATATCTAGCCTTGTCCTCCGGAGTGGGCGCATCGCCCGACATGACTAGCGGAGGGGGAAGGCGGATGCTAACGCGCTCACTGAGAGGGTGGCGTTGGTCGAAACACGTGGCTAAGGCGTTTCCCGCCTGGTGCCACTCCTCCGTGCTTATGAAGGTTATTGAACGGAGAGAAACGGCTTTCCGGACCATGTCCATTAACTAATACTAGTACAGTATGGTACGTATCGCGTGAGTAGAGTACAGCGCAGCTACGACGGGTGGCGCCACACATCGGAACGTCCACAATTGTTCGTCCACCCTAAAGAAATGGTGTACAATCCATCTTTCGACGGCAGTCCATAGTCCGATTCAGAATAACAATGATACATCCGAATTACTGTTCGCGCATCAGAAATGCCTTCAATACGACGTGGCATTATAGATAATCGGGTTGGACGCCATGCCAATCATTCTGCCCACCGTGCCCTAGACATCATACATTCGTTCATTTACATCATAAATCCGAAACAACTTGGTCTATCACGTACCTCGCACGTGTCCCATTCTTCTAACACCGTCATATAGAATGTGGCGTTGGAGGCAGTCTTGCCGCCACCGAACCCGCCTTGAGCGCGGGAGAAGTCTGGCATAGTTAAATTGGGGGGAGCCGGGTTTGTCGGATATGGGACAGCTTGATCAGAGCAGGTCAGCAAAACCGACAGGCCGAGGGAGAGACAAGGAGCTCACCAGGGTAGTTCTCTGCGTCATACCTCCCATAGTAGTAGCCACTCATAAACAAATCCGCGGGAGCAAGAGATGAAGGCTGCTCTGTGACCAGGTAAACTGAGTATGCATAACTTGACTTGCAATAGTCGGCGCGGATGTTGTACGAGAAGTTGAACGTGGCACCCGGGGCGATCTTCGTCCAAGACGCTGGCTCGCTGATCGTACCAGGAGTGCCTGCCAGCACAGAGGCAATTATGGCGAAGAGAAGTAGCAGTAGTCCTGTGAAGGCCGTCCGCATTGTGTAAAGGTGCGGATTGCAGGATAATAAATGTGTTGTGATGATCCGGCTGACGGGGCACAACTCGCCTTTATACATCATCGGATTTCGGGACCAAACGGTCAAGAATTACCAAAGAAGATGCAAGGCTCATCGTGGAGGTGGGGCGCCAAACCCGAGACTGGCTCCGTGAGGTGCGATGGGCCCGCGGTCCCGGCGGCGACTGATGCACGATCTTGGGACCAGTCTCTCTACCCGTGAAACTGGTTTCGTCATAGGAGCGGCATACAGTCTAACAGGCTAGGCGCACCGATGTGGCATGAGCGGAAAGCAAAACATAGCAGCGGAGGTTCAAACGGTGCTGCTTCACAGGCTGCAGGTGGATTCGAAGCTAAATATTGGCTCCCCAAGCTTCTCCTTCTCAAGAACCACTGATATGCCTGTGACATACAACTGGGCGAATGGTTGCCAGATGCTCAATCACTCGAACTGTCCTTGCGGCGCTGGCGATAGAACTCTTACAATCCCAACCCAATGGACGATCAGCAGTAGAAAACATATAGGAGACGTCACTCATCCTCCGCAGAAGATGTTTAACTGTCGAGGGACTGAGTCTCACACAAAGGGCTCTTCTCCCCTGAACTTTATTCGGATGTGCTCAGCGAAGATGCGTGCAACGTGGGTGTGAGACTCACCTAGGGCCAAACCCAGTCCGATGAAGGGTGGAGAATATTCCAGACGATGAAAGGAAACGATAGGCAGAAACGGCATATCTCCCGACAGGTCAGAGATCAACGTCTTGTGAGAGAAGGTATCATGCATACACGCCAAAGGAATACGACACAACGTGCACAGACTATATAAAGTAGACAAGATCGTTCTTCTTCTTGCTCTGGACTGTTCAGGGCAAAGGGTGATGAGACGGGAGTCACAACCAGATACGCACTTAGTGAGAGCTCACCTTCAGCTATGCCGCTCAAGAAGTGCTCATGGGTCAACTTGGTCGCTCCTTCCCGCAGAGCAATCATGCCGGCCTCCACACACACCGCCTTCAACTGTGCACCGTTAAACTCATCCGTACTCCGTGCAAGCTCTTCGTAATTGACGTCCGGTGAGCAGGCCATCTTTCTTGAATGGATTTCGAGAATGCGTGCCCGAGCGGTCTCATTCGGAAGCGGGAATTCAATCTTCCTGTCCAGACGTCCTGACCGGAGCAGAGCAGGGTCAAGGATATCGATACGATTTGTCGCAGCAATGACCTGCGGAGTTGGCATTAGAATGAGAAGATGTGCCACGCGGAATGCGCACATACCTTGATCCGCTCATCGCTGCTGAAACCGTCGAGCTGGTTCAATAGCTCCAACATCGTTCTCTGCACCTCACGGTCTCCGCTCTTCTCCGAGTCGAAACGCTTGGTACCAATAGCGTCAAGCTCGTCGATGAAGATGATTGCTGGCGCCTTCTCCTTCGCTAACTCGAAAGCATCTCGCACAAGCTTGGCACCGTCGCCGATGAACATTTGCACCAGTGATGGCCCAGCAAGCTTAAGATAGCACGCTTTCGTCTGGGCAGCGCAGGCGCGAGCCATGAGCGTCTTGCCCGTACCTACACCGACGCATGAGTAAGCAACGATCGCATGTCGGGAGAGCAGCTGGACTTACCTGGTGCCCCGTACATGAGGCAACCCTTTGGAGGCGTGATGCCCAGTGTCTTGAACTTGTCCGCCTGCTCCATCGGAAGGACAATTGCCTCGACCAGTTCCTCAATCTGCTTCTCCAGCCCACCAATGTCGGTGTATGTCTCTGTTGGTCGCTCATCCACCTCCATCGCTTTGACACGGGAGTCGAACTCGGCAGGCAGTGTATCGAGGATGAGATATGAGTCCTTGTTGACACCAACCAGGTCCTGTGGCTTGAGATTCTCCGGCGGGACGAGACCGATGAGTGGCAGGAAGACTGTCTGTCGCGTTGAGGTCTTGATAACTGCGCATTTGCCTTTGCGCATGGAATCTAGATCACGATTCGCACCGTCCTCCTCGCCTTCTGGGTCAACGTCCAGGATCTGCATCCGTCAGCAGAAGTGGGTGAACTAAGCACAATCATAACTCACTTCCACGACGTTCGCGACAAGATATGGTAGTACTTTATTCTGCTTGATCTTCTCACCATTGTCCCTGATCTTCTCCTTCATGACATTCTGTTCGTGTTGTAGCCGCAACGTCTCTGAACGCATCACCTGAAGGACGTTAGTGCGCCATTAACTGCAGCAGCATGATGGATCACCTTCAGGTCGTTGTCTATTAATCTCGCCCGCGTCAATATTTCGTCTGTACCCAATGACACGATTTCTTCTGGGATGTCCGCCCATGTCTCCTCAGCAGGTTGGTCCGGGGTAGTGTCCATGGCGTCCCCGGCAGCGGGGGGCTCTGAGGGTGACGCCTCAGGCTTCTTCTCATTGTTGTTCTCCGGAGGAGGATTGGGGGGTTGTGTTGAAGACATGGCGTGCGCGGTAAGAAAACAGGAACGGTGAGGTGAGGATCAAGAGGCAGTAGAGTTGAGGGCGTACGCGTCGCAGAACGCATGACGCATTACCAGGGAATATATGTCCATTTATGGATATCAATAAATTACTCATTACTTAGGCTAAGAAATTGTGTCCGATAATTCCCGTCAGAATCGTTGAGTTCGATCTCACCGTTACTGGAACCTCTATCTCACGTCGCCCGCTTTGATGACATTGCGAGCATAAGGTGCTCAATAGACTGGAGTACACGATACGAACGTATTCAAATCACTCTCTTATCGAGTCCCGTCTAATTCGAGTGCGAGGGAACCATGTGGTACCCTCCGGGCTTCCCGATTTCTCTCTTGGGTCTTGCTGCACAGGTTCCCCTGGAAGCACCCTCTAAGATCTCCCAGACCACCATGGCCGCCGTCCCCGACTTTGCATTCAAGGGTAACGCGAGCACTTTTACCCCTGAAGACTTAGTGGCGTTGGCGAGACCTGGCACCGGACTTGCCAATCCGTCCGGGGACTTGGTCTTGGTACCAGTCAGCAAATACTCACTGGAAGAGAAGAAGTTAGTAAAATTGCTAGTCGTTCTCCCTTGATGCTTTACGAAAACCTACAGGGATCACAAGTCAATCTTCATCGCTTCGGTCGAGTCGAGCATGCAGCCGTATGAAATCCCTCTAACGAATGGTGGCGAAGCCTTCTGGCTCGATGCGCGCACTGTCGCGCATGCTGTCGAAGAAGGCGAAGATAAGGATAAAGTGACGACCCTCTACGCGCTCTCTGTGAAATACGAGATAGAGTCCCGTGGTGTCCTGAGTGTGTCTGGCCCTCCTGTTTTCATTGGTAAATTCCCTACATCAACACCGTCGAACTTCAAGTACACCAGTAGTGCTGGTATTCTAGTTTTCTCCGATTATGTGCATGCAGACGGGGACCTCAAAGCAGTGAAGAAGAACGACGAAGCTTGGGAGAACCGAGGTGATTCCGCATACGGGTATGATGATACCTATGAACGTCACTGGGACACCTGGGTGGGCCCCAAGAGGCCATCGCTATTCTCGGTCAATCTGTCACCAGCATCTGATAATAAGTGGATCCTTGGTCAAGAGTTCACCAATTTGCTCAACGGAACTGGCCACGTAAGCTGTGTTCTGTTTGGGGGAACTGCGGCGGTTGACTTGCACGTAGAACTGTCCTGTTGAACCTTTCGGCGGAACAGACGACTTCGAAGTGTCTGACACGCATGTCATCTATACTGCGAAGGATCCCGTGCTTCCCGCCGCATGGCACACCAAGCAAAATGTACCGTGGTGCTTATACTTAAAGATGGCTGCGTGCTGAACACCCAACCACTGTGCAGGTCTATATTGTTGATATCATCGGTCAAGAGAAACCGAAAGAGTTGACTTCTGGGAAACATGGTGCCACGCATAGCCCCGTTCTCAATGCGAAAGGCGACAAGGCTGCTTGGTTGCAGCTTGATAAAGATGGCGCCGAAGCGGATAGGCATGTGCTCGCGTAGCATACAATAGCATACACTGACGTTTATACGTCACAGGGCCAAGATTGTCATTTACGATTTGGTGAAGGACATTGAATACACGTTGACTCAATGTTGGGATCGATCGCCTGACGCACTTGCTGTAAGAAAAAGCATGCAGACTGGGATCTTGCCACTTGACATACTCTTCCTAGTTCTCTACAGACGGAGAGGCCATCTATTTCACCGCCGGCGATCTCGCGAGAATTAAGGTGTTCGTTCTGCCACTGCCTGAGACCCCATCTCACTCTACCCCTGATCCATCACTACCGCCTGAGTATCTGAATCCGGTAGCACTGACATTTACCGGCGCGGCAAGTGGACTTCAAGTCATTCCTAACGGACGTCTGATCTTCACCCGCTCCTCGCTCACTTCGCCCAACGACGTGTATGTAATGCGCGGGTTAGACAACCTCAATCTGCACGACATGGCATCGCGCTTGTCGGTCGAAGTCGAGGTAGAACAGATCACCCAGTTCTCTACGGATGCCCTCAAATCCAAGAACTTGGACTCGGGCGAGGACTTCTGGTTTGAAGGCGCAGAGAGCAAGAAGGTGCAAGGCTGGCTCCTGAAACCGCCCGGATTCAAGAAGGGTGACAGGAAAAAGTGGCCGGTCGTTGTGTTGATCCATGGCGGTTCGTATATATCTGTCGATTTTGTTGCGTAATCGTTGATTCCCCAGACAATAGGTCCTCAGGGTGCTTGGGAAGATCAGTGGTCTACGAGATGGAACCCGAATGGTAGGGTTCGTTATCTGCAGATTACAGAGGCACATTACTGATGCTGCTCCAGTCTTCGCACAGCAGGGCTACGTGACAATCGCTATGAACCCGACTGGTTCTACAACGTTCGGTCAAGGTGGTTGTTAGAATGGGCCTATATGCATCTCCATGCTTACCTTTTTCCTAGAGTTTACGGATGCCATCTCGGAGGACTGGGGAGGAAAGCCGTTCGTCGATATGCAAAAAGGATGGAAGTATATCCTCGACAACTACCCGGAGGTGCGCATATATCCGCCTATGTTGACAATAGGGTAGACAGCGCTTCACTGGTTAATTCCGTTCTTCAGATTGATCCTGAACGAGCCGTCGCTGCCGGCGCGAGTTGGGGTGGATATGCTATAAAGTACGTCATAAATGAATCATACAACGTGAATGCACTGATCATCCCAAATCACAGCTGGATTCAAGGTCACCCGGAATACGGATTTGGATTCAAGGCTTTGGTCTGTCATGATGGAGTATGTGATGTTGCGCGTATGGGAAGGATTGTTAACTCATATCCTGTCAGGTGTTCTCTGCGACTTACAACGGATATTCTACTGACGAATTGTTCTTCGTAAGTAATGGGTGATATGTAGCTTTAATGATGATTTGCCAACCGAGCTACAGTTCAACAATGAATGGGGAGGACGTCCTTGGGAAGCGAAAGCGAAGGAGATATTGGCTAGGTGTGCTGTTTACTCGATGTCTGTCGTTCCACATGGTCGATGAATGCTCTCTTCAGATACGATCCGGTGAATTTCGTTGACAAGTGGTCCACCCCGATGCTTGTGATCCACGGTAGTAAGGACTATCGCCTGCCAGAGACCGACGGCATTGGAGCATTCCATACGTTGCAAGAGTTCGCATACATCACTTGCGCTCGTGATGGAAGACTGATCTACCGTGTATAGGCAAGGCATTCCCAGCCGACTGCTGATCTTCCCAGACGAGAATCATTGGGTGTTGAAGCATCAGAATAGGTCAGCCGAATTCCTGCTTCGATTACATCCTTGTGACCGACCAGAAATGTTGCCGACAGCTTGAAGTGGCACTACGAGGTGTTCCGTTGGTTCGACAAGTACTTGAAGGAAGATGATTGAAGGAAGTGAAGCGTTGCTCAGCGTCCTTAAGACGCTTGTGTATACTCATGCCAATGTATAGCCGTGGACAAATCGATTCTGCATGATAATGCGGATTCATCTCTACGGCATCATGGAGACCATGCAGTAGCCGTCCGCATGTTCCGCGACCCGGTCACGAGCTCTTTTGCTTGATATACCGGGAAACTCATGCATACTCCGCACCTTCAGCAGTCTACAGGAATTGTATCCGCAGGTTGGCAGATAGCATCACAGGCAGGGATGGCTCCGGCAGACGAAGATCCCACATCATCCAAACACGACGTTTCCAGTGCGGTAGAACAACCTGATTCACCTCAGATGGAGATAGTCGACGAGGGATATCTCGTGCGAAGGGTTGGCATCAATCCTGAGACTGGCGAAGCATGGAACACATCCTGGGTAAGGCGCAACAATTGCAGTGCAGAGGCTATCGCCAAATGGGAGGCCAACAAGCCCGGAATTGAACCAGGTCTGTACATATTAACGCTCGTTCTCCTCATCAGTCGTGATTTATCATATAGTTGTCAGCAGCAGACGAATCTTTGATTGATGGTTCCTCCAACATTCGCAAGCGTTCGATCTCCTCGATCGTCAGTATTGCGAATGCGACCACCAAGAGGAGAGAGCTCAACAACGAGTCAATGCCAGTCACGAAGCCTGGATCTAGTTCAGAGGGACAAAACTTGCACAGCTCTAAGGGTCCCGGCCAACAGCTGCCGGACTTTATAGATCTTAGAAAGTCCCGACGGGCTTCTTCTCTGTTCATCCCGTCTCCACGAAAGGGTTCAAAATATCAGTTCAAAACAGTACGCCCGTCATACTGCTTCGATATCATAAGGAGGCTAAGATTGGATTGTGTACAGTCGGTGCATCAGGTCGAGATATCTCAGATATCGCAAAGCAATACGGACACCTTCGGTAAGCATTACATGTCATGCGGCTCCTTGACGCCTTCAAGAAGCTGATGACCGAAGAGCAGAGGTCACCACCGAATGGTTACTAGATCGAGTCGTATCCACTCAGAAGGGTATGCTGGTGGAGCTTCGAGGAACGAACAGTGGCAAAACAGGTGATGGTTGGTACCACGGCCAGTATGAGGGAGCGCAGGGCATGATCCTCTCCGTGCTCAATACTGGACACACGTCGTTCGCCTCCACCGCCCGAGTCAAGTTACTAGATCTTAGCGACTCACCACAGGAAGTTTTCACCGTTCCTGTGTCATACCTCTGGCCGGTCGAACCGACAGAACCCGGCCAGAGAGCATTGATGCTACATGGGGACCAGAAGGGTTCCGTGGCAATCGTCCGGGAGGAAGAATCAGATGGCTGGTTCGTGTCGGTGGGCAACTTGCACTTCGGGATCAGCGCAAATAAGTTGGTGCGAGTCATAAATGCATAACTTTGGATGACTTCGAGCATGCAACGACTTTCTGATGTGTATATGGGTGACTGTAATCTAGCTGAGAAGTACTGTTGTATCCCTGTACCTCGAGCGCATGAATGCACCCTTGATCTGATTAGTTATAGGCAACCGAAAGGAGGGCAAATCCGATTTATGGAATGGTTGTTAACTTCTCGTAGACGGTCTGTGAAAACAAGCACAGCGATGTCATTTACATTGCGTCCGGTCTCTCACATTGACCCTAACGGGTGCTGCAGAGACTCAGAACGTTACTAATGTTGCGGTTGCATGATATGAAGGTGGGCAATACTTGAGTCCTTTCTCCGTTGTGACTGGTGGACAACATAACGACATTGCATTAATCTCCATCGACACATAGATAAGGCCATCATTCCTGTATCACTTCGTACTCGTCCGTTATCCGCCCCATCGCGGTCCGCAGTCCCGCCCAGAGGGTGTCCAGCAGCACGGCACCGTTCGCCAATCCGAACACAAGGGTGGATGCATAAAAGAAGTTTGCATTACCGGTGCCCTGTACCAGCCAAAGGTGGTGGAACAGAGGCAGTAGGAGGGCAGAGTGGATATGTAGCAGCCCAGCAATCATAGGATGGCGGAGGTCTATGGATACAAAGAGTCTCAGTCAACGATTATCACCGAGAATGCCGCCCGATAAACATACGTGGGTATGTCTCAGGAAATATGGACCATAAGCTCAGGAAAAGACCTGGATCTGACAACGTCGGGTATGCTTTGAAAGTAGCTAGCACGCCCACGGTGAGGAAACATGCATAGAGCAGGTCATGTCTACGGGGAACAAACTATAAGAAGAGACTCGGTTCTAAGGAGAACAGGGACGTACTGAAACTTGATGCAGATTGGCACTATATAGATGAGCAGATGGACCTAACAAGGCCGTCAGAACGCATCAATCCTGCAGCCCCAGATACCTACCGAGAAAACCATCAGGAAGAACGCTCTGAAGTGGTCAAACATCTCAGTAAAGAAGTACCACCATAGGCCAGGATTTGGCGTGAGGTCTGGTAACATCAACCTATTGCTCGTTCATCAGACTTTGCGATGTAAAATAGGCAGAGTGCTTACGGTGCTATCCAGCTTTGCTCAACCCACAGCCAGTTTCCGCATACTAGTGTTGACGCAAAGGTCAGCATCATGGAGTAGACAGCAAATTTGGCGAATAGTGGAAGCATTTGCCGCTTGTCTGCGTTGAACGGTCGAGGTAATGCTAAACGCGACTCAGGTCCTGACACAATAAGTGCTGTGAGGGGAAGGAGCATGACAGCCCATGGTAGTGAGAGTTGAACGAGAAGCGCAAATGTTAGAAGGGACATCGACGAACGACCTGCGTCGCATGGTTTTAGGACAACGCATACTGTCAAGCAGGAAAGGAGCAACCTCGGCATGCAAACCGCAGTGAGAGCAGAATTAGCATGTTCTCAAATGTCGACGTGGACCATGCAAGAGACGGGAGGAAGGTATATGGATTGAGCAGGTATCTGGATTCATGCTTCATGAGTAGAAGCGCATTGGCTGCAGACGCTCCGAACGTACAAAGCAGCTATCAATCCTTCTCTTGAGCCTTTCAGCACGTTGATACGTGCTCTCCATACGTCTATCAAGGCCCACGCAGCAGCGCCATCGACAGCTGTCCAGACGATCGGTGATGTGATTCGCGTGAGGGGAAGGATGGTAGAGAACAGCGATAGCAGGAGAGGAGACTGCCCTTCGTTAATACAACATAATTGGAATATAAAGGGAACTCACATGTCGGAAGAGACCTCCTGAATACGGGTCAAACCCTTGTTGAAACAGGTAGATACCCTCCTGCACTAGACATGGTGGCTGTCAGTACCACCGACGCGGTCGTTGAAAGCGAAGGGTCCGTACACCGTGGATATGCGGTCAGAGGGGTGGATAGCAGGTGGTCATTCCTAAGGTCGACATCCTGGAAGAATAGCGCAAGTAGATATCGTCCCGCGAGTAGGACGGGAAACGTGGTATTGAAGTCCATCCAGGTTGAGACGCGGTGGCTGCTGTGGCCCCAGCTCCGCGCAACCCAGCGTCCGAACTCCGCTCAACCATGATGGATCCAAATTACTCGCAGGAAGTGCCTCAGTTTTCCGTTTCTCACATCAAATACCACCTACCCTACTTCACGCCGGCAGAGGTTGACCAATTAGCGGACAAGCAACGGGGAAGGCTATCCGTGACGCAGGAAGAGAAGATTCGGCAACAGGCATGCGGGTTCATCGAAGCGGTTGGTGCAAAGATTGGCTTGTATGTCCTTACTCAACGTCTCAACTAAGATGAATTGCTCAACGACCATGTAGTCCAAGAAAAACGATAGCAACCGCTCAGAACCTATATCACCGCTTCCACCTCTATTTTCAGAGGAAGGACTTCAGCTATTATGTACGCATTTCATACTGTTAGCAACGGTTCGCTTACAATTTGCTTCATGCCAGGACGTGGCCTTAGCAGCACTGTATGTCTCTTCAAAGATGCATGACACTCTCAAGAAACCCAGGGAGATCCTGATGGTTGCCTATGCTGTGCGCTTTCCAGAGCTCGCGGCCAAGTCGAAGTCTGTCGCGGGTGAAATTGACATGGACCCAGCAGTGAGTTACAGTTGCTTCTTCCAATTTTCTTATAACCTGATGATGTTGAAGACGGTCGAACATGACCGACAGCGACTGTTAGCCGTTGAGAGGTTAATTCTGGAAACCGTCTCTTTCAACTTCACGTCACGCCTCCCTTTTCCATACGTGATCAAGGCGGGGAAGGCTCTTCGAGGTCTGTTTTCCATTATTAGTTACGTTCTTCACCTACTGAACTAGCCCGTAGCTAGTAAGAAGCTGACCAAACTAGCGTGGCGCTTGGCCATTGATAGGTAGCTGCCTGCATCCGTGCGATGATTGTGAAAGCTCATCGGCTGGACCATTCAGTTATCGCAGCTTGGTAAATCTCGAGTATCCTCCCCATGTGGTCGCATTAGGATGCCTATACCTGGCCGCTTCATTGTCTTCCTTCGAGCAGGCTCCCTCTCCCGCACGGCCAGGCTACGCCAGCAGCGCCGAGATCGCAGCTACGCTTGGTCAGTACGGACAGTGGGAGAAGCAGTTCCAAGCGCACGTACAGGACTTGGAAGGTGAGCTCAATGTCTGTGTACAATACAATACATCTCAGCCTATCGCTCGCTCTCACAGAGATCGCGTTTGTCGTCATCGACCTGCTCGTGACGGCGTCACAAAATGCGTTGGCGAACACCTCTCCAGTCACGCCGTCCTCTCCGTCTCCGCATACTAGTCGGAGCCAGCACCGTCAAGCCTTGGCGCAAGCGCAGCCTCCGCCGGTCCCGTACAAGACAGACCAGCTGATCCGTTTGAAGATTCTGATGCGGGAACATGAGCATCCTCCGAGACAGTGGGAGATCGCGGTCCCTCGATATGAAGAGAACGAAGCGTCGTTACTGGGACGCAACGAAGGCACGGTCCGATTCCTGTTCGGTCCCCCTGATGTTGCGGATGGTGGGTTCTGATACGATCAGGGGGCTGGAATCCCAGAGAGCTTTCTGGCCTCTGTAGATGCACCGTCGTATCTGCTGTCTTCTGATGTTGTACCTCTGCTGTCGTTGATTATTGCACCTTTGCACGATGCTTATCGGCGATCAGACCCAACTAAATTTGCGCGCCCGCCTCTCTTTGAGCCCCTAATTTTCATAGTGCGAGTTACTCGTTTGCAGCTATTGACAAGACGACGACATCATTGGGATTAGCATGTCGAGAAGCAGGGCATCACAATGAGAATGGGAGCAAATCTCAATGTTTGTGTATCCTTGGCTCTCTCGGCAACTCTGGCTCAAAGGGAGGACAGACTCCAGCAATGAGTCGGGGAATAATTAACAACTTGCACGTAAACGCCCGCACTTGGCTCATATTAGGGTAGTAGTTAAAGTTAATTTGCCTGTGCAAATGCATTTTACTTACACCTCAAGCTCATATGTGAGCAGGTTCAGCCGCTATGGCTTCCACCTCCGTCAGCGATGCTCCCTCCAAGTCGCAGCAGGATTTCCTGCTTTCAAAGGCATTAGCGTCTGCATCGTCTCTCGTCTTCCTTCAACTGTTTTCGCGCGTATTTACGTTCGCTCTGAATCAAGCATTGGTACGACTAGTCTCTCCGGAGGTTTTCGGCACTGCCGCTATCCAATTCGAGCTTCTGCTATCCACCATCCTGTTCTTGTCTCGAGAGGGCGTACGGAGTGCGCTTCTTCGCGCATCGGACAAGTCTGCATTGGACAAGACGAAGAATAATGTTTTGGTCACAAATATATCCGTGCTGCCTGTGACTGTCGGCGTCCCTGCAGCCGTCCTCATCGCGCTGCTCTACATCGGCACCACGTCCGCTTCAACAGCTTCCCAGCCCCACTTTCGCAGCAGCGTGGCTATATATACTTTAGCAGCATCCCTCGAACTGCTGTCGGAGCCTCTCTACATCCGCGCCCAGAATGACCTTCGATTCGATTTGCGCGTGAAGGCGGAGGGTACTGCTGTTGTCATGAGGACGCTGGTCGTCTTCACCCTGTTGATGACACTTCCGGTCGAATGGGCCCTTGTCGCCTTTGCAGTGGGCCAAGCTGCTTATGGCCTTACCGTGCTGGTGACTTATTTGCGAGCCTATAAGCAAGGCATCAGCTTCTGGCCTCGGAAGACGATAGCATTGGTACATGGCAAGTGTGTCTTCCCAGGCTTGCAATGCTTCGGGTGTCTGACCATGGAGTAGAGTGGGTTCCCAGTACTTCGATCCTTCGTTGCTACATTTATCTGCTGCTATGACGGGCCAATCCTTGGTCAAGCATTTTCTTACCGAAGGCGATAAGTTTTTGATCTCTCGTCTGAGTCCTCTAGCAGACCAGGGCGGTTACGCTATTGCATCCAATTATGGTATGATCATTGTCGTGCGGCGATAACGGCTGGCTTAGTCTTCTGTTTAGGCTCGTTAGTGGCGCGGATTGTTTTCCAGCCAGTGGAAGAGACGTCGCGGGTTTTCTTTGCGAAGACGCTCTCCGCAACGGACTCGCGTGAATCGCTCAAGGCAGCCGCCAGGATGCTCATGAATGTTCTTCTGGTCTTCACACATTTGCTTTTGCTGCTCGTGACCTTTGGTCCTCCGTATATGGCACTGGCAGTATCAATCCTCCTCCCGCCCAGATACCACTCCACTTCTGCGCCGACAATCCTGTGCACGTACGTGTACTACATTCCTATGATGGCTTTCAACGGCATCCTTGAGGCTTTCTTCGCTTCCGCTTCTGCGCCTTCGGATCTCCATGCGCAAAGTCGATGGATGTTCGTGTTCTCCATTGGATTCATAGCTGCGGCCGTAGGTCTGGCTAAAGGAGCCGGCCTTGGTGACGCTGGGTTAGTGTGGGCGAATGTCGCGAATCTGCTGTGCAGAGCACTCTACGCGTGGCTGTTTGTTCGCCGCTACTTCCGAACCAGGGGCGGTCCCGAGCTGGCTAATTGGAAGAAGGCGGTGCCTCCCGGGTTCGTTCTGGCGACGTTTGCTGCATCCGCGGCTGTAACGCGCTACAGCGAGTGGAAGTATCGGGACGTCCCTTTGCAGCTATTGCTTCAGAGCGGTCATGTCGCGATGGGGTTGTGTTGTCTCGCTGGATGCATGTCAGCTTGGTGAGTTCTTGACAGTGCAGTTATATTTGGGATGCTGACGTTTCGCAGTCTCATTTCCGAGCGCGCTGCGCTGTTGCAGATAAACTCGTTCATGAGAAGACGATAATCTGGTCCTGTTGACTGGCGGGCTTGCCCTTTCTTCTTTGTCGGGCAATATATGACAGTCAACAACTTTGATACCATAATGCGCTGCGGATGGTATCGAACGAAACGTCCTGATTCAATTGAGCTACAGGAACCCGTGTCCGCAGTATCTCAGCATCGAGAACGGCCGGGTCCGCATGAGTTGATGAGAGGCACATTAAGTAGATTCTGCAGGTACCCAGCCAATGGCCAATTTGAAGTAGAACAAACATGTCATAGCGGAACAGAGATCTGTCCGGCCATCGTGAAAATAGTGTTTCCCTTCAAAAGCAAAGGGCCGCCTTGAGCAGTTCCGCGAATAGAAGCTAAGGGACGCAAGGACATCTATGATGTTACGTTAATTTCTCTAGTTCTTTCCAGGAGAGGCGAATGCCGGCCTTAGGCTTCAATGAACTCTTCAGCGGATGACGGTGAATACGCAATGTGGATGAATTTCCGCTCTCAGGGCCGTGGGCGTCAAAAGTTGAATAACAGTTCTAAAGCATATACACTGTTGAAGTGGTGCCAGGAGGGAATTGGAGTTCACTGAACGCCAGCTCATTCCAACATTGCCTCCGAACTAATTGGTTTCGCCGACCCCAGTCGCCGCTCAAGGACTCACTGTTCGGAGAAGATACGAAATATAACGGCTTCGCAATCGCCGATGACGAGTGCTTCTTCTTCCCTTCCTCTGTCGCAAAATCTATGTCGAAGCCGCAAGAACCGAGTTTTACCGGATACCGAGGGCAAAATAGTGTGAAGTGCATCATGACTGCACATGTATGCGGTCGGCGCCACTTCAAGGTTACCTCCCAGGGTCCTAGCAGCGTACTCGGGCCCAGCTGAATTTGAATCGGGTGCAGTTGGTCATGAAATTGGATTGATTAGAGTTGGTTCCGACGGAATTTCGACGCGATCGAATGCGATCAACATACATTCACGCGAGTCCATTGCACTGGGCGCCTGCGCGTATGTCACGGAAGTCACGGCGTGATCTCGGTTCATTTCAGCAAGCTATGTTGTTCGCTGCTTTTCCGCCAGCACCCACCCTCCTGCTCATCCCAATAGTTCCCCATGCGGTTGGCCGGCCTGCACACAGCATTCTTGGTCTTACATTGACGCGACACCTCAGAATCCCCCGTACGCGTCTTGCATCAGTCTCTTTAACCAGTAAGGAATTCAGGAAACCAATTTTAGCTGATCAGTAGATGCAACATGCCATCGCATCTCCGGATTGACACCTCGAACAACGTGCTAGGTGGTCCCTCATCCGGCTGCAGTCTGTCTTCCAATTTCACTCCAGTCTCTGCTCGCAGCTTTCGGAGCATCTCGTCTGCGTCTGCGTTGTCCTCCGCATCTGCTGCATCTCGCAAGTTGACTGAACGGTCAGCTTCCAGCAAGGGGGGCGTCACAGTGTCGTACGCGTCATGCTCGCCTGCTCAGTCAGACGACGAAGACGATGATGGGGCTTACGAGTATGTTCTTGCCATGCACGACTTTGTACCGCAGGCGCAGAACGTAACATGTCTCGCCTTTCGAGCCGGCCAAGTTATCCGCGTGCTCAACCGGGACCCGAGTGGTTGGTGGGATGGCGAGCTAGACGGGCGAAGGGGCTGGTTCCCTAGCAACTACGTGAGTTCCGACGTTGGACTGCTGACGGATGAAGAACTTCCGAAGACGAAAGTGCGTGCGCGTGAATGTTTATGTGCGGTATACGACTCACATGTACGGCAGCGCCCCCAATCTAGGCACGCGGCATCAGTATCAGTCGCATCCGCCGCGTCGTGGGCGACCGGCGTAAGTTCCGCACCAGCGCATTCGCAGTCATTCGCGAGGACAGACCATCGCCCAATACCAGGAGGAAGGGACGGAGGGGATCCTTATTGCCCGCCGCTCATGGTCCCACTTCTTCACGGGCTCTCTCTTCTGCAAAACGCTGCCAAGACGCTCCGGGCGGCTCATTTCCAGCCATCCACAGCGTACATCATTTCATGCGTGCGCGCGATTCTCTCTGATGTAGGTTGCCTCCCACGTGATGCTCCCGTCCTACGGCACCACGGAATTCTTGCCCAAGAGCGGAAACGCATTCTGTCCGACCTCGCATCGCTCGTGTCTCAAGCGAAGAGAGCATCGGACGATACTACGAATGAGGACTTGCGCGAGTTGGAGGTGCAGGCAATGGTGCGGCTGGGTGGCCAGTTATTTGCACACGTGCGAGGATTTCTCGCGCTCCTCGTGCAGTGCGATGCCAGTCTGCCAGTGCAAGGAGTGCGCATGCCGGGATCGCCACTCGGAATCCCCCGAGAAGGTCAATGGCTCAGCTCGGATGACACAGCGGTCCATTCCAATGATACGGGCGCGAAGAACAATGGTCATCAGGCGAAGGGCGCGCTCAGTAAGCCACGCAGTGGAAGCGAACATCGTCCAGCCGCACGAAAAGCTGCATTGCCGACGAAGTCTAAGCCCTTCCGCGCGAAGAGCTTAGGGGATCTCAAGGCGCATAAGCAGACAGCTATTGACGCAGATGTGACACAGATGCCTCTGGGTCCTCATCACGAGTCGCTTCCTGCCAAGGGAGCCAATCGTTTCTCCGTTGCGTACCCGTCAAAGCAGTTGGCAGAAGATGCCGCCGCTCGCCGCAAGGCAGGGCATCGGTCCATCAGCAGTGGATCGTCCTCGTCCTCGCTTTCCTCCGAATATTCCGTCGCGCTCGCCACACCGTCCACGCCGGCTTTCCCAGCAGGCCCTGCCACCATCGCGGAGGTAATGGAGGTGCTAAAGTACACGCACGACCACTATCTGTCCACGATTGCTGCATTCATTGGACACGTGCACTCGTACTCGCGCTCATCGCATGCCTCGAGCACAGGCCACATGTATGACCTCGTGCGCGAGGTGGTCGATATGGTGTGCAAGTTGCTCACTATCGTTGATGCGGTCCTGAAACATCCTGGTATTCCGTCGCAAAAAGCGGAGCTCTTGAAGGTCGCGAAGGAGACTTTGTTCTCGATTACGAGCAGACTCGCTGACTCCGTGCGCCTGCTAACGATGCCAGCGGCTCCCGATCTGAACGAGGAACGAGAAAGGGACGCGCTTCTGAAAGCGGCAACTGGAACGTTGAAGGCTGGATCGGATTGCGTCGCTGCCGTCAAGAAGTGTCTACAGCGGTCTACAGGACAGAAACCCTTCATCATTCGTCTGCCCTTGATTGGTGACTCGACCTTGTCATGCTCACCGCGCAAGTTCTCGAGCCAAGAGGTTTCGCACGGTCGGAGACCGAGCAAGGCGTCAAGTATGTACGATCTGCGCGAACGATATGTGGCGAAGGATGTCAAGGGAGATGAAGAGGATGTAGTCCTGGAGGTCAAGGAGAAGTCTGTGGCAGATGCTACTGTCAAAGTGGACGGGCAGTCCACGGACTTGCAGAGCCAACCGGATTTGCCCAACCCCTGGCAGACGTCTGAAATGGATGAGCTGACCAGTCCGAGGTTCCGATCCTCGGTGGAAGATAAGCCACTGCCTCCTCTGGAAATCTGCACTCAGCACGTCCCGCCTGATCTTTTATCCCCTGCATCGCTGGCACAGACGGACGATGACAGGACGACATGGGAGGGAAGCCAGCAGTGGTCCCATTCTCCGATGTCATTCGAGGAGAAGTTGGTGAATGGTAGTCTGCCTGCAGTTCCCGATCAGAACGTCCCTGAGGTTGCACGGAGCACCACAGTGGCATGGACGCTGTCGCACGACCACGCCGCCGATGATGTGGCGTACAACAGCGAGGGTCAGCTGGTGGGCGCGACGCTGGCAGCGTTGGTCGAGAGGATGACACCACATGACACCCTAGTAGAGCCTTCCTTTGCCGCCGTGTTCTTCATGACATTCCGGCTGTTCACGACACCCGCGGAGCTCCTCGAGGTGATCATCGTGCGGTACAACACGGCGCCTCCGCCAGGGCTGCCGGAGGCGAATGTCCGCTTCTGGCAGCAGCGTAAGGGCCTACCTGTGCGGCTACGCGTGCACAACTTCATCAAGGCCTGGCTGGAGATTCACTGGCGTCCGGAGACGGATAATGTCGTGTTGCCTACGCTATTGAACTTTACGCACGAGGGGCTATCGTTCATGTTTCCCCATCCGGCGCAGCGAATCTTCGAACTCATCGGACAGTGGCAGATGAAGGGTGGTGAGACAGCGGCAAGCACAAAGGTTGAGCGGGTATCGAATGTCGGCATCCCCACGATCCCCCATACTGTGCCGCCTTCGGAGGCTCCTCGGCCTGTCATAACGAAGGCGCTGCTGAATGCATTGAAGAACGGAAATTTTGGATCGGTTTTCATTACCGACTTCGATGCGCTTGAGTTGGCGAGACAGCTGACAACAGTGGAGTCTGCGCTCTACTGTGCGATAAGGCCCGAGGAGATACTGGAGATGGGACAGGAGAACGCGACGTATCCTGTGAATGTCAAGGCGGTCACTTCGCTCAGCACGGCGATCACCGGGTTTGTTGCCGAGAGCATCCTGAATGAGTCTGACACGAAGAAGAGAACCGCCTTGGTCAAGTATTTCATAAAGGTGGCAGATGTAAGTTGTATCTGGAATATATCAGAACCACTCTCATGAACTTGATTGTCAGCGATGCGTGTCTCTAAACAATTTCAGCACTCCGCGGTCGATATTGGCTGCTCTGGATTCGTCGACCATCTCGCGACTCCAGCAGACGTGGATGGTATGCTGCCATTGTGGTCTGACCCTGCATGTGCTAACGGACCAATCAACAGGGCTTGCCACAGAAGAACAGAATGCAGCTCGAGGCGCTCCGGAAGCTCGCTGATCATGCGCGCAACTATTTCCACTACCGATCGCGGCTTCGTAACACAGCGCCTCCTGCAGTGCCCTTCCTTGGTGAGTTCTTTTGCTAGTTCCATTCATACGATGCTCATGCAAGCTACGGTAGGTCTATACCTGACGGATGTGACTTTCTGCCGGGAAGGGAACCCATCCTTTAGAACTTCGCCCAAGTCAGCTGATAAGAAACTGTTGAACTTCAACAAGTACCACAAGCTGGCGCGTATCGTGCAAGGTTTGGAAACTTATATTTTCTGAAACGTTCTGATCTGATACGTTGATAGACATGCAACGCTTCCAATCCCCGTATAATCTCAAGCCGATTTTAGAAGTGCAGGAATACTTGCGAGACGCGTTTGAGAAATCCTCACGTCGAGGCGACCTGCAAGATCTGTACCGTCGCAGCCTGCTGATAGAACCGAAGCAGCCGGCAGATACCCCTCCCACTAGCGACGTGCGACAACTATTCAATTGGGCAAGTCGCTCACAGTCCAACCATCCTACTCCCACTCCGATGTCATGACCAGTTGTTTCTGTCTTTGGATGTTCATTGCACATAGCTGCATGTATATTCTGTCTGCTTTCGCGGTTCTCTTCGTCGATTTGTACAATCCTGGAGTCATTTCTCTCACGCCATATCGTGTAGATACCCTCGCTCATAGACTGCATGTTCTTCTATTTCACATTCTATCGCCATACACTGCTGTCCACTTGTTGTACCCACAATACCCGCATTTCTGGAGGTCCGTAATGTACAGCTATCTCTTATCGTTATTTTTTTCTTACACTCTTCGTGGACGTTGGGTTGCCACCAACGCAGGATTGACTAGCGGCAATGGCTGTATTTCGTGACGTAGAATCCGATGTCATCCCTATGCGTTTTCTTCAAACCGTCTGCACGGAAATTGTTGTGCTTGAGACGTGGATAAGTTTCTTCGTGGACATTGGGTCCGAAGTCTAGCACGAAGGACCGTGACTGCGTCGCTCCGAAAAGGCGAGAGCTTTCCAGAATAACGGAGTATACAGGGGACGAGTCGTTGCCCGGTGCATGCACACTCCAGCCGCCCGCCGGATTACGGACATCCCAGAAGGCGACGACGCTGTGGCGTGCAGTGCCCGCGGCAATGTAACTAGACGATCCGCCACCACATGACACGGAGTAATTGGGTTCGAATAGCCACGGGTCATAGACCGAGAGAACGGGGGTAAGAGGCGCGGGCCCCAACGTCGAATCGCCCATCCGTGCACGGACGGAGGATCGGAGATCGTGCACGCGGACTGGTCCATCATACCATCCGGACACTATTATCTGATCCGAAGAACCCCATGGGAATGATGGGGGAGCGCCGCAGATGCCGTACACAGCGGACTGTTTCTGCTCTTCGGCCCCGCCGCCAGACGTGAGGATGGCTGTTGGCGTGTGGGACAGTCCTGAGGACGAGATGCTATGTACTGTGAGCGAGAGGACGGACGATGCTCCGAATGCCGCATAAGAATAGGAACCACGGGTGGATAAGTAGGCCGACCAACTACGGACGTTTAGGTGTAGGATTTGTGGCCCGGATGTGGGAGTGGCCACGTTGAGAAATACGGCGGTCCCGTTGGAAGACAGAGAAAGCAAGTAACCTCCTGAAGACGAGAGGCTTTCTATCAGGTCATCTCCGTGAAAATACCATCTATTGCGAACCGGCGGCTCCCAGAGCACGCCGTCCAAGCTCGTCTTCTCAGATGGTAGCGTGATGCGTTCCAGCTCTCCGTCAGCGTAGCCAACGAACACTGTGCTGTCTGGGCCTCCTGCGTCTACGGAGGCCAGGCTTGTGATGTCGTGGCGCGCCTCGAAGCGGTCCGCGATAAGATATACACCCTCGGCCTGGATGCCAGGAGATTCACAAGGTTTTGAGCTGGTGAAGGTGTATGTGTAGATGGCATGGCCAGCACCAACGAAGAGCCTTGAGTCATTGATTGTCAGTGCTGGCTGCAATTTTCCGGCCCACTTGGAGTTAAGGGGTCTAGCAATGAAGTGCTGCTTCGACCAATTGTGGTCAGTAATGGCCTGATATCTGGTCGTTGCATGTGGCAAGATAAGTCGATCCTATGGCAAGATACTTTCGTGTTGCACTCACTTGACCTGCGAATATGGGTCCCATATAGACAACGCTTTGCGTAGGCTGTGGGATGGCCGAACGTTGTATCGCGCATGCGCTCTCCAACCGTGACCGTTCACCTGAGCTCGGGTTTGAAATGTGCATTACATGTATCCCAATCAAAAAAACTCACCAGGTCATGTAGGAATCTGCATGTCTGCGTGATGGCAGCCAGGTCGCGTGCAGACAGATATTGCATGATCAATATGACTACATCGCCCGGGAGTGTCCTGAAGTCCATGATGGGAAGAAGAGAGTATCTTTGCAATATTTATCGCCGTATAGCAGTCGCCGGGACAGCACTGAAAGCAATCGCATTCCCGAGTTGCGACGGAAAAAGAGATCTTTAACCTTGCAGTTAGCCATGGCTCTCTTCGAAGCCCGAGCTTTATGAGGGCTCGTAAATGCAATTTATTACGTAATATCGTAAGTGAGGCCACGACTGTGCCGAGACGGAACGCCAACCGTGTACGCGGTCGGGCGCGTTCAACGGTTTTATTCAAGTGCTACAGACTCTCTCCGTGAAACATCGCGTCCAAGCCATCTCCGACATCCGTCTCCGAGTCTGGTCATGAGAAGGGATGTGCGGATCCTACTCGTAGGCGACGGTGAGTCTCTCTCGCATGACCTTCTGCCGACCACTCTCACTCGGCTCATCAGAGGGCGTCGGAAAGAGCACGATCGTCACTTCTCTCATCAAGGAGTCCTTTGTTGCTCATGTATGCGCTGCTGTCTTCCAAGCTTCGTTGTGGTGGCGTTAATTGACAGCATGGCAGGTCCAACATGTCGTCCCAGAAGTCACTATACCTCCGGAGGTCACTCCAGAAAATGTCACCACCTACATTGTCGATTCCGGCAGTAAGCTTGCTTGATGTCTATACGGGACCTGATTCGAACAATCATTCATCCAGGCGGGTCTCAGGATCGACCGCACCTCGAATCGGAAATCCGGAAAGCACACGTTATATGTGTAGTCTACTCGATCGACAACCCAAACTCCTTCGATCGCATACCTACGTACTGGCTACCATACTTCCGTCAACTAGGAGTCAATGTGAGTTCCATTCCCGTGCTAACGCCTCTGTCTCCCTGAACTGTTGTTAGGTCCCGGTTATTCTTGTTGGTAACAAGATTGATCTCCGAGGCGGGGAGGTCACGAACGAGGCGCTTGAGGAGGAGATAGTCCCTATCATGAATGAGTTCAAGGTGTGGAGATATCCTACTGATGCATGTCGAAGGTCTCCATTGCTTATTGGATCGACTCAGGAAGTCGAGACATGTGTAGAATGCTCCGCGAAGCTTCCTTTGAACGTGTCAGAAGTGTTCTATTTTGCCCAAAAGGCTGTGTTGCATCCGACCGCACCTCTATACGACTCAAGAGATCATGTTGGTGCGCTGTCTCAGATCGTCCGGTTCATGCTGAACATTGCTTGTCAAGTAGGTGCTCAAGAAAGAATGCGTTGCTGCCCTTCGGCGAATATTCAAGCTTTGCGACACAAATAAAGACGGCATCCTTGATGCTGCTGAGTTGAACGAGTTTCAGGTAGGCGACTTATATCCGCATCGCATGATGGGTGACGACTTACTGTTGTTTTAGCGCAAATGCTTCGATGCACCTCTTCAGGCCCAGGAACTGGAGGGCATTAAAGCGATGGTACAAGAACACGCCGAAGGAGGCGTCAGAGATGGTGGTCTGACCGAAGCTGGCTTCCTCTATCTGCACACTATCTTCATTCAGCGCGGTCGTCTTGAAACCACTTGGACAGTCTTACGGAAGTTCGGCTACGCAGAAGACCTTCGGCTGACAGAGAGCTTCCTATACCCGAAGTGAGCATTTGCAACAATCTGTAGTGCATTAGAAGCTATCTGCTGACATGCATCAGATTTGACATGCCATCTGAGTGCTCTGTCGAGTTGAGCCCCAAGGGTTATCAGTTTTTCACTGACATATTTGAATCGTTCGATAAGGTTAGTGTACTTCGCCTTGTTAGACCCACATCTCATGATTCCCAGGATCAAGACGGAGCTCTGAAGACGGAAGAACTGGAAGAGCTGTTCAGCACGTCGCCCGGCAACCCATGGGCAAGCCTTAAATTTCCGGATACGACCATCGCAGACGATACTGGTGCCGTCACTTTGCAAGGCTGGCTAGCGCAATGGAGGTATGGATTTCACTCTTCATGAGCGTCCCCTATATTCACCAGGTTTGGTGCAGCATGACAACTTTACTTGATTACAAAACCACGTTGGCATATCTCGCATATCTGGGATATCCAGAAGAGCCTCGGACGAGCGCTTTACAAATCACGCGGCCACGGAAGGTGGACCGGAGGAAGGGTAAGGTGACGCGAAACGTGTTTTTGTGCTACGTATGCGGCGCGGCAGGCTCAGGGAAGACATCGCTACTGCGTGCGTTTGTGGGCAAGCCCTTCAGCAAGGTGTACCAGCCAACGAAGAAAATGAATTGCGTGGTCAATTCTGTCGACATTGATGGATCCGAGAAGTACCTGGTTGTATGTCCCCATTACAGCGCCTACGATAGCTTGGGCCTCAATTGCTGATGGACTTTCTCAGCTCCAAGAGTTTGGGTCAAAATACGAAGCAGAGACCCTCAAGAACCCGAAGAAGACGGATTTGGCGGACGTTATTGTCTACGTGCATGATTCGAGCGACACGAACTCCTTTTCATACATCAGCAATCTGAGGGTGAGTCTTTGGTGTACGTAACAGTCTATGGTTCTTACCAGCGTGCAGCAACAATATAGCCTAGATCATATACCAACCTTGTTTGTAGCCACAAAGTCCGATCTGGACCTTGCACAGCAGGTGAGATTGCTTCTTATTTGCTTTCGATAACGTACATTGAGCGCAGAGCTCCGCTTCTCAGCGGCATGAGGTGCAGCCTGATGTGTACTGTCGACGGCTTGGCCTACAGGTCCCTGTCGCTGTGAGCGTGAAAACAGGTCAGATTGCAGACGTGTTCCATGCAATCTGCAGCGTTGCCATGCATCCGTACGTACAAAAGCCGACTTGCATGTCGCCTCATGCTGAGATTTACGACTGATAGGAACTCTGCGATACCGGGTGGCTCTGATCGAGCAGGGTCGGCCGCGGCGCGTATCCGGACGTACGTGACGGTGTGCACGGTGGTCGGAGGCTTAGCGGCGGGCCTTTTTCTAGTATATCGAGCACTTGCGCGGCCAGGGAGCACCTTCAGCAGCCGGAGCTGGTCGCTGTGGAGTTGGATTCTGGGCAGCGCGAAGAGGGAACTTTAGTTAATACAATTGGTCTATACTGCGGCTATCACTACTTCATTACATTTAGATCATGCTTATTAAGGTGGTTCTGCCTGGGCTGCTCGCAATGAGAGGATAGTGATTAGAGAGGGAATGTTGTAAATCAAACTTCGGGACGAGACGAGAGCATATATGACCTTGAAGATCCGGACATCTGGCGCCGCGCGACAGAGGCGTGGCGTCAGCGCGCGCGTGTAATGCGAGTACGGGAGAATACAACACAGCCAGAATGGTCTTTCAATTGCATTCTTTGAACACAACCGCCACCATCGATTCCACTGCTTGAGCATACGTGCCACTGAGTGTCTCGACCAATATCTCAACCCATTGCGCAAGGCCACGTACCACCAACTTTGCGCTACTCACTTCACAAGCTTGTATAGCTCACATCATGGACGACGACATGGACTTCGACCCTGGCACTCCTCAGCCGCCTAGCTTCGAACAGCCACAGCAACCACCACCGCAGATGAATGTGCCGATGCAGGATGATGGAAGAAAGATGCTGTATGTGATCTCATATAACTTGTCCTCTCGCCGTCTAGCTCAATCTTCATCCTTCTGAAACGCAGCGACTTGGTGTTCGTACAGGACTGCACAGGGAGCCAAGGGAGCTACATTGCATCCGCGACACGGAACATCGAGGAAATCTGCAACCACATATACGAATCAGGCAAGCTGCAGTCTCACGAAGACCTTCGCATCGGACTCGTCGCGTTCCGCGACCACCCGCCACAGGACCACACCTACGTGACCAAGAACTTTGGGTTCTCTTCTGACATATCCCAGGTGCATAGGGATCTATCGAGTTTGTATGCATCGGGAGGAGGCGATGGTCCGGAGGCGGTCACTGCGGCGTTAGCGGAGGCTCTGAAGATGGACTGGCGGCCGAACGCGAGCAAGATGATTGTGCTCATAGCGGATGCACCTCCACATGGGATTGGAGAGTACGGTGATGGTGCGTTCGCTGATACACTTGGTGTCTAGGTTTCTCATTGTGCCTTTCAGGGTTCGACGAGGGATCTCCCGACGGCAACGATCCGTTGCAGCTGGCTCGGATAATGGCCAGTCGTGGAATCACATTGGTAAGTTTCAATGTGGAGTTGACTATCCAAAGCGTGTGTCTCATTGCTCCTAGCACTTTGTCGCCTGTGAGCCGGCGCTGAGCGGCTATTCAGTGAGTGGCTTCTATTTCGGCTGTGTCCGCCTTCTAACCAAAACCAATGCTACAGTATGCAACGGATTTCTACCAAGCGATCACCAACATCACCTCCGGACTCATGCTTCCTCTGACAACGGCGGACCTGCTCACGCATGCAATTGTCGGCAGCGTGCTCGAGAACCTAGACATGGAGCGGCTCGTCCGCGAGGTCGGTGCTGCAGTATCCCAGAGGATACTGGGTAACAACGAAAGCGTTGACGACGTTGCTCGGGAGCTCCATGAACGACTATTACTCCGGAACGAGAGCACAAAGCGGGTTGTCATCGAGAGTATATACCGCGACTCGGAGGAGGCCAAGCATAACGTAAATGTCTACATGCAGGCACCAAGCCTTGCGGATGCTCGCCCGCTGCTCAAAAGGGTGCGTTTCATTACTATCTTGTATTCTGGCTATCTCACGGTTTTCTAGGTGGCTGGTACCCGTTTTACGGACAAGTACCTCCACGCACGTATGACGACATCGCGCGGGTCGTACGCATACAGTCCGTATCTTCCCCCGCGACCCGGTACTTCAACTGCTACAACGCCAGCGAAGTCTCCGGCAGCTGCTTCCACCGCGTCTTCGCTGACGCCACGAAAGGTCGTCACGGATTTCGCCGCTTTCGGTGCCCCGGCGAATGCCAGCGTGTTCGGCACGGCGGTGGCGTCGACACCGTTTTCTCTTGCGGGCGGCAAAGCGGCGTTTGGTGGGCTGCGGAGCAACGGGCGGACCTCCATGTTTGACGACGACGAAGAGGAGGAGGACGATGGACGGCAGCGCATCGAACTGCGCGAGGATTCTATCACCCTAGATCAGGTCGGTATCATCTCAGCCCAGATTCATGGATTTTTTTGCTGATGTGTCTGATCCAGGCGAGACGCATTGCTATGCAGAGCGCATGGAGAAGCGCTCGAGTATGAGAGAGATACTCAGGACCCATCTCCTCCACTACCTTGGCTATCGCGTCCGTTACGGACTCATATCTAGCCGTTGGTTGCGTTGCCGATCTTGATGCATTGCTTGTTTGCGCTCGTCTCAGCTAGTTGTCAACCACAGATTCGAAGGATGACCATCATTGACGCACACCGTAGTTGGGTATTGAAGACAAGTTACCAAATGACCATGTATATATATAGTTGTCGGATGGGAAAAGTTTCTAGTAGCAGGATTGTCATGATGTACCAATATTAAGCATGTTCATCTTGCATCGTAAGTGTCAATGTATACACATGGGATCACACGCGATGCCATCCCTTTTCAAGTGAGCGAACGCGTCCGTTTGATATCATGAACTGGCATCCTTCCGTTTCTTCGCCTTTTTCTCGGACTTACCATCATCCCTCGACGCTTCCTTTTTCTTCCGCTTGACTTGTATATCGCCCGTCGCGAGCTTGGGAGGGATTATGACTGCTTCTCGACACGACTGTTCGCTGTCTTCCGCGGTTCCCTCTTCCACCTCATGTGCGGCTTGCCTTTCTTCCTTTGCCTTGCTTTTGACTCTGCGCCGTTCCTCCTTCTTCTCTTCCTTCCGCTTCTTCCTGTCTACGTCATTTGCGTCCGCCTTTTTAGCTTCGCCCTTCAATCTGCGCTGTTCCTCCCTCTTTTCTCGTCCCTCCTCCTTCCGCTTCTTGCTCTCGGCCTTCTCGAGGAGCAGTTTGCCTTCTTGATCCGGGACCACAAGCTCCGCCTCTTCTGCCTCCTCGTCACCGCGCTGCTTCTTCGACTCTCGTTTCCGCCTCTTTCTTGCCTGTTTCTCCTCGTCTCCGTCATCTTCCTCGCATCTCTTCCTGCTCTTCTCCTCCTTCTTGTTAGACCGTGCAGCACTCTCACCCGTTTTCCTCTTCTTTGACTTCTTCTCTACCATCATCGATGTACTGGTGATCTCCACTACCTGCGCAGTTTCTGATGTTTCCAGAACGATATTTTGAAGTTTAGATTCGTCGATGTCGGGCCCAATAGTAGGACCTCGGAAGAAGCTGGCATAAAGCATGCGCCTTGCGGCTTCTTGCTTGGCGAGGGCCATCACGCTCAGACGTGGTGTGCTGCTGCCGCTGCTGCTAGCCTGGGTGGTCGGGGTGTTTGTCCCGGAGAGGGCGGGAGTGCCCGTCTTTGGTCTGCGATGGGATATGATGCCAGTGCTCGTGCGCTGCAGCTCAACAGTGGGTTCAGAGGCAACCTCACTATCCTTGAGATGGTGTTAGCTGCGCAATGCGGAAACACGAAGTACCCACGGAGTCATCGTCGTCTTTGTGCAGCTTGACCTGTATGTTCACAGCAGCTGCTTGGAAGACACTTAGAAGACATACGTGATTAGATCTGTGAAGCGACAAGAGTAAGCGTGAATGCGACTCACTGGTCCCAGAAGGGGAACGCCTCGTCGCGATCCTTGCCAACGCCTGCGAGCGTCCTCTTCTGCGAAACGGTAACGGGGCGAGTGATCGCTCCGTGCCGCAGACCAGTCCCCTTCCCGGACCAGCCTTGCGATACTAGATATGCATGTCCATCGAGGGGCATGGTAGTGGGACGAGGAGGAGGACGGACGGTGGCGGCACTGGATGTCTGCAGAGACGCTGTAAAGTCGGACACACGTGCTCCCTTTCATCAAAGATCGGAGATCCTTGAGTCGATCGCAATTTGTACAGCCACATCTTGACTCAAAGCTTGTCCTCGCTGTCTACCAGCTACACTACCCTGCTTGTATTCGTCTTGAGTTCTGGTTCTGATGCCGTCTGCAATAACAACGCCTGACGTGCTCCCGGTAATGTCGCAGGAGGCCCTGCTCGCCTTCCAGTTCTCGTCTTGGTATCCCCGCTTCTCGAGCCTCAGCATCAAGTCGACTGTCATTCGACCTTTGAGTCAAGAATTTGTTGAATACCTCGAGTCGGACGGCGTGTTCATTCCGGAAGGAGCGGAATATATGTACGTGACTCATGGATTATCGTCCTTTGACTGATACAAGTGGATGCCTGAAGGCCTGGCGAGAGTACACTCTCCGACGACGAGGAAGATGACGAGGAAGAGGAACCTGAAGAGGAGAGACGCAAGTTTGCCTTTCCTGAGCTTGATGAGCAAATCCGGGCGACGGTATCGAAGTACGGCGCTGTCTTTCCGAAGCTGAATTTCTCATCGCCTCGGGTGCGCCCTCTTTCCACTTGTTCCTCATCCGATCAATGAACTGATTCAACAGGATGCTGCGTGGATGTTACCAGCATCGTCTCCGCTCAAATGCATGTCTCCCGCGGATGTATATTTAGTACTCAAGTCTTCCGACTTTGTGCAACACGACCTCAGCCCTGAACATGTGTTTGAGGGCTGTGAAACAGCATCACCTGCGCAAGGCATTACAAGTCCAACCCTGGACTATCAGCTTGAGCTCGCGTTGAGGAAGTGGTATCCGGTGGATCAAAGCCGAGAGCTCCGGTGTTTTGTCCGTCAGGAGGTGCTTTTAGGTACATCGAACTCCTCCTATTCAATCAAGTTGCAATGATAGTAATGGATCCTTAGGCATCTCACAGCGCGATCCGAATTACTACGACTTCTGGAACGAACCAGAGACGCAGCGCAAAGTCACCGACGCTGTCAAGGATTACTGGGAGTCAAATATCAAGGGTCGGTGGGAGCAAACTGGCGGCGATTGTGAGTGCACATCACGTTGGACATCTTTGCAGCTCGGCCTATCTTAACGTCTTGTACATAGACATATTCGACTTTTTGCTCACGCGCGACCTCTCTCGCGGCCACATCGTCGATTTCAACCCCTATGCACCGCGCACGGATCCGTTGCTCTTCACTTACGAGGAACTGCATGAACGGTTATTAGCGCACACGGAAGAGCCTGAATTGAGAGTGGTGAATTCTCCCAGTCATCCTGCAGCAACACGCAATGCTCCTGCACATCAACATAATATGGTTCCGATCGAGGCCTTAGCGATGAGCAGCGGGAGAGATACGCAGGAATTTGCCGGGTTGTGGCAAGATGAGGTACGAAGGGCGACGCAAGAGCAGGAGGATTGAGCGGACGCATTGTTAGCAATGTCACCTGCAAAATAACGAGTAGAAACGGTTGGTCCTGTGCTTCCCCCAAGATTAGATGTGTACCAATAGACGTAGAATCAGCAACGCTGATGACGGGAAGTCAAGAAATGCGACAGATCCGCGGTGCGATCCCGATGTATTCTCTATACAAGACGGACAGAGGAAGACTCCTTTTTGGATAAAGCATGAACATCTTGCTCTAACATGTGCTTTCAGTCAGTATATTGCACTAAGGGCACATGAAGGTCGGACACTCACGAATACCCCATACGTATGACCTAAGATCGAGGAACTCTACAGAAGGAAGGCAAGGCTCAGTATTGGATGGGCTTAAATGATACGCATACTACGCACCAACATGGAGCCCATCATACAACTTTTTCATCTCTGCCCGAACTCGCGAAATGTCCTCCTTGGTCGCCGAGCTGTCGCTCAGCGCCTTCAGCTCCTTCTCCACAGCCTCTATCCGCCGGACATGCGCAGAAACCTGCAGCGCACATGCACATCAAGTGTAACCTCATTTATGACAATGATCAACATACCTTCTGCGTGCTCAGCTGCAGCTCCTCCACGCTAGCCTGCAATGCCGCAGAAGCCAGCTTGTACTCCTCTAGCAGATGATACGCAGCCACGGACGACGCGAGAGAGAAACCAAAGAGGAATCCAACAATCCTGCATCATCGCAGACAATATTTTACACTTGAGAACGCTAATACATATGTGTCAGTCGACGTTAACGCACCCGCCGCGGAAGGCACCGACAGGCTTCTTGGCTGGGACGGTCCCTAAATTCGGCGTGGGCGCGGCAGCATCGCGTACAACTCGTGAAGTAGACAGCAATCGTCCACAGACACGCGACAACACCGGGGGCGTTGAGTAGAGACCTAGTCTGAGGAGGGAGGACATGGTGTGGATTTGAGTCTGGTCGGACAGTGACCCGAACGACGGCGAGACGCGTCGTCCGAATCGGGAAGGTCTCCGTGCCATCGTCTGTGGCTTTGAACATTTGAACATCTTCAGGCTGCTTGTTCCCTCTTGCCCTCGGACTGCGCGTTCTACATCCACATTTGCGTGTCCGTCGCGTCAAATCTCGAACCGAAACCGAAGTAGCTCAGAATGGCTCCAAAACGTAGAGAGGATGATGGATCCAGCTCTGACGAGCTCATTGGACGCAAGTGGAAGAAGCAAAAGACAGCAGCAGCGCGTACCATTGCCGTACAGTCTCAATCCGTCGAAGTAGCCGGGTCTAGCAGCAGGAACGCAGTCGCAGGACCCTCAAAAGCAGTACGATTTGATAGTAGGTCGCAGATCAATCGTCGAGACAGACATGCCGTTACACTTTTCTTCCCCAGGCATGCAAGGGCTGCCTGATGCTATCAACATTGAAAAGTTTGCGGAGGTGTGTTCGAGCCATTTCCATAGATGCCTAACGCTCATATCGTAACCTGTGAAGGCTAGGGCATTTGAGATCAGCGCCATGTCTGAGGCCATGACGAATGCTCAGTAAGTCGCATCTCGCTCTCATCGATTGTAATAGCATTGACATCACTTGATGATCAGTTCTAATACGACAAAGAGGGCCTGGCAGCAGCTCCCAAGGCACTTGCGCCGTAGAGCTGCAAGTCACAATGTTCTTCGCGTACCCAAACGATTGCGAGAAAAGGCGCGCGCTGAGGTGTGTAGTGCGTAGGTCGTCGTTTTGTACGATGTCCATTTACCTTCTTCGCGCAGATGGATCCAATGCGTCATAAAGCATCACGGCGCGCTGCGTCTAAGCATGGCAAGCTTGAGACTGCCAAACGTACCGAAGAACTACTGAAACGACAACGTAATTACATGCCATCTTCTTCACATATTTCGTACGATGATCTGATTTTATACATCTAGGTGATAAGATTTGGCTGGAAACGCATTTGTGGCACGCAAAACGAATGCACATGGATGACATGTGGGATTATCGACTGGTACGTCTTCTTAGCCGTCTTGCAAACGATACGGTGCCCATGCGTTGAATAGGCGATTACACCTACGGAAAAATCCTTCAGGACTTCTCACAGAGCATCCGTGCATGGGTCTATCCTACATGATGCGTCCTATTTTGGTTTCATTGAGCTCAAAGGCCCAGAAGACGTACTACGTGCGGCATTGACCAGTTGTTGCGATTGTCAAGGCCCGAGTCCCGGTGCGCAAAGGTGGGTTGAACTTGTTTGAAAAATCGTGATAAGGATGGAATCTGGTGATTGCAGGTTCTTGACTGGTTCGCGCATCTGCGAAACGCATCTCTATAAGCATGGAGCGTATCCTTATGACTTGATTGCCCCTATTACCGTTATGTGGCATCCTACGTGGGGAGCACAACCGGCCACTCCTCCCGCGAGGGACGAAGCAAACACATCAGAAACTCCAGCATCGGAAGAAGGCAAGCGAAAGCGCAAGCCGAAGGGCAAAGGCAAGCAACGTGAGGAAGTAGCAAACCCCCCTGCCCCATCGACACCCCGCACTGTTTGGATTCGCGTTCACCCGGCTGTCTTCGACGACGTTTATCACGAAGTGAGGACTGCCACGTCCTTTGCCCTAGAGGCCGCCAAAAGGGCATCACCAAACCAGGAGATCGCTGATGTGGAAATCGCGAACTTGAGGGAGCACGTCAATGTTTTCGAGATTATGGGGCCTAAATCGAGTCAAATCATCAAGGGCGCGCTGAAATTGTCGCAGGAAGGCCTTAATGAGGAGAAACGCCAGGTGCCTATGTACCGTCTTCATACGAATTATATGTCTCAAAATGTTTTCTAGTTTTGGAATTGCTTAGAGCATCTGCAGACAAGCGGATCGCTTCCTCGTGGCATGATCATTGGTCTGACAGTGGAGGATCCTCGCCTTAGGTGAGCCTCAGACAGACGTCGGTCCGTGTCCATTGTACTGACTATAGGCCGGACCTGGCACAGTTTTCCGCCTAAGAACCAGAAAGTCAGATATGAATCTGGACCGTCAGCAACGTCTCCTGCTATCTTTCCGTCCGCTGCTCTAGCGACAAGCTCCATATGGGACGAAAGCATACGCGAAAAGCTTTGCAAGCCCAAATTCAAAAAGTCAGACATCGATCAACGCAGATCTGAAGTGAGCATCTCCTCTCATTAACCTGATTGTTCAAGCTCATCCATTGATTATGGCAGTTCTTGGTTCCTGGCCCGAAGCTACAGCCGACTCCGGAGGACGATGTGATCCCGATTCTTCTCATCCAGCGCTCGGTCGAGGGGCCAGCCTCTACTGTGAAGGTGCCTTTCCAACAGCACGGCACCGAGTCCCCTTCGCTACATGGATGGACGCTCATCATCCCTTCGGGCTGGGCAATGCCTTTCTTCTCATCCCTAACCTACACAGGCACACGTGTAGGAGGTCAACGCGAGCGGCAGACACAAGCTTATGAGGGCGGCTGTGCGTATTTCCCTCGAGACTATCCGTTAACGGCAGCGTATGATGAATACGCGGACGATCGGGCGGAAGAAGAGCGAACCAAGTGGGAGAGAAAGCCTCCCGCCAAGCGCGTGAACTATGAGAAGTTGGGGACGAGGAGTCCTTGGAAGCCAGACTGGGGCGTCGTCCTCGGCCTTGAAAGCTCGCCGGAAGAAGACGACCTTGTCCCTACGCAGAGAGAAGAGCCTCCTGCTACCGCTGGCGGAACGAAGACGGACAGGGATATTCGTCCTTGGCTCCTGCGTGGCACAGACGCGCCGTCGTTGGTGGACAAGTTAATGTCGACCATGCTCAACCCGGGTGCGGGCCTCCTGGACTACATGAATCAGGTACGGATGAAGAAGGGTCTAAGCCAGTTGAATGGTGGTTTCAAGGCGGATGAGTTGTGGAAGGGTGCGCTGGTGCTGGTGAGAGTGCTCATGTGTGGCAGGGGAAACCCAGAGGATCTTGCGACCGTCTACCGCGTGGACGATGCGGAGGCTAGGAAATGGATGGAGGCAGAGAGATTGAGAAAGCAGGGTGCTGCCTTGCTGCTGCAGGAAGGAGATGATGAGACGGAGGTGAGTTTGGTATGATGCTCGTGTGTGGCGCCGGTTGACGTTTCTCGCGCCTCAAGCTATCCAAGCTCGTGCCGTCGCAGGATGACATTATTGGCTACGTGACCACAGGACACTATTCGCTCTCGCGCGGAGAAGGGCATGCCGTTGGAGCTATCCCGGTCAGTCAACTTTTCGAACTGAAGCAACAAGCTGAGAGGTACGTGATCTCCGCGGAATACCATAAGCAGTGCATCTTCACTGAGGTACTATTGCAGACTCCGTGCTGGCGACTCCTTGCTGGTGAAAATACGAGATCGAGGGGACAACGTATGCCGAGCTGCCCGGCTGGAGGTGATAGGCTGACTCTGGTCTTCGGGTAGGTCATGGTCCCTTGGGCAAGATGTGTGAGATACCGTCCGTACGATATGGAGATATACTATAATGGAGGGATGTCTATGCTATGTGGTGTGTCGCAGACTGTCAGAACGGCCAGCAGACGCGATGCAAGAACTAGGGTAACAGCAATGGTGCTAAGCAGATCCGAGGACCGGTACAGAAGGATAGCGAGCGGATTAACAGCAGCAGAGCTAGAAAGAGAGATGTGTACATAGGCGCACAGCTGATGCTGTGCATGTTCAGCTGATCTTCCATCTCTCTACAGCAGTTTGTATCATGCGCGCCATGTCCTCCTTTGCCTGCTGCTTTGCGTCGTCGGAGATGCCCGTCAATGCATCGATCTCTTCGGGTGCTGTTCGCAGGGGATCGAATTCGAGGATGTGGCCGTCCTTCGTAGGCACCGAGACGAACGCCGCCAACGAGATTAATGCACTATGCGCGGCACTCTCTTTTCCCGGAAGGTCAGTCTGTCCGCCATTGGTCCGTACCGGCACGAAGCCGTTCGTCTGTGAGTTGGTGCGTGAGCGCGCGCCATTCATCTGCATCTGCACGCTTGTCTGCGAGCTTGCTCTCGAATGCGAGTCGTTCGACGATGACGCAGTCAATGATGAAGAAGAAGAGCGGACAATGATGCTGCTCTTTTTCTTGAGCTTCCCCGCACGCAACCTATGCGGGAGGTCGTTTTCACTCCCACCGCTGTCATCGTCCCCGTCGCCTTGCGCTACGGACCGAAGGTATCCGCTCAGCCCGTGCTGGAACGGATTCGCGAGCGGCGATCCGTTGACGCTGAGCATCTTCTCGCCTTGACGCGGCCAGCGCGGTTGGGGAGGCAGCGAGGGGTTGAACACGGCAGAGGAGGGTGGGCGAACGGGGCGGGATGTGTGGGCTGTGTGTGTTGTACGTAATGGCTTTGATGGGGATGAGGGCTTGGTGGGGGAGTTTGGCCGGGATGGGGGGCGGGTATGGAGGGAGAATTTGAAGGCAGGCGGTTTGTGAGGGCTTGGGGATGCAAGGTGAGAAGAAGGTATCCGCTGCGGTGTACGCGTCTGGAAGCAAGATATGAGATGGGATGCCATCGCAGAGGAAAAGGACATACCGTGCCTGGCGTCCGGGGTAGTGGAAAGCGTGGTCGCTGTGCCGATCCCAGCCCGTTTGGAAGTCCTGGCTTCTTCTTACTGGGCGTGGAGACCAGCATTCGAGCTTATTGAATATCAGATGATGAGTAACTGTGAACCGGCGGGGCAACACACCGCTCTTGATCCCTCTCGACGACTCCGCATCCCTCGAACTGGAGCCAGCAGTCCCACTGCCTTCCGCTTTCTCTGCCCCGTCCTGCGATGCAACCCACTTCCTCTTCCGTGGGCTCTTATCAATTACTGATTCCTCGGCGCTGAGTAGCTCCCGCTTGAGGCCCTTTACGCATTCCTGTATGTCCCCGCCGTGCTTTGCGAACTCCTTCAGCGTGACGCCGCGGACGATGCGTGGGATGCGCGAGATCTGGCTCTCCTGGTGCAGGCAAAAATTCTCGAGTGTGTCCACGAGCCATTCTTCAATCTGGCGTGTGCGGTGCTCAACTACGTAGACGGATGGCGGTCAGAGCAGCATTACAATGGGCAGCGTGGAGAGAGCGCACCTTCGAGGTCGAGGTTGGCGAGAAGCTGTGCTTTCTCTTCGGAAGTGTAGCACCTCGTAGACGGCGAGGCGAGCATAATGGACGACGAGCAGAACTTACGCTGCGTCTTGGTGCTCAATCGCTGATGGCGGGGGAGAGAACGTGATGCGACGCGTCGAACGGTGTGACCTGGTGTGACCGCCACCGTGACACGTCGCGTCGCGTGCGATGGCACCAGTCGCGTCCTTCTTCCAACTTCCAACTTCCAAGTTGAACAACGAAGGACGCGCTTGCACGCTACACTTGTTCATTTCGATCCACTGCGGTTTTCGTGATCACTTTTGTGGTGCGGCCGTAAGTGAGCCAATAATTGGACAACGGAGAAGGTGGGTCTCAGATCTCATGCTTCGTTAGGTCGGACGAGATCGTGCACGGATTTCTGCAATGACATGGAGTCGGCTTTTCTGATCCCGAAAGGTGCTGTTTATTTCGTCGCTCTGTCCTCCCGAGCGCGGCGGTCGTGAATGCGACAAGAATTGGCCAGGCTTCAGATGTAGACTCTGCAGCGGGCGTTATAATTACCCCGACCATTCAGTGTACACAGCGCTAGTCTGACATTCCGACCATTCCAATCTTGTACGTCCTGGGGCAAACCGGTTCCACAACCCGCCTGACGAGAACAGCAAAGGGAATATTCTCACACTATGGTAGGTACAAATTTGCGATCCTGAGCGCACGCCCCAGCTGGCAGTCTCAGGCGACGCCTCTACTCACTCCTCCTCGTGCGCTCTTGCACCGCCACGACAGTGCTCTGGAGTACACGCTCTTTGCACCCTGATGATGATCTATATGCCCTACAGAGCCTTCTCGCACAGATCTGCGCACGGCCCGGAAGCAACGAAGGATCCCAGGGCCTCTGTCTCATTCGGCCTTCGTCGCTCATGGCCTTGAAACGTGGTATTTGTGCCCTGAATGTGCCCGTGTGGGCTTCCTCCTCCCTCGATACGTGCTGCGTCCGTCCCTGTCGACGTTAAAACCCTCTTTCACGTGTGTCCGTCCTGTCTCCCTTACCAAGCCCGCTCTAAATCGGTCGCGATGTGCGTGGATAAGTTTGGAATTACTACTTGATTGTCTACAGCGTAGTATCGCCACGAATCATCGGCGTTGAAAGTACCTCCAACCTTGTGCTACATTCGCAGGCTAGACTTCTCGACAGGTGAGTGGCGTTTCTTCCTCGACATGCCTGCTTGGGCACAGACTCACGCGACGACGCCCGTCTCGGCTTCCGCAGATGATCACGCCGATAACTGGTGCGCTTGCACAAGGCACACGTCTTTGAAGTGACGCACAGTGATTCTAGCTTGCGCTACGGAGCAAATCGCGGGTTCTGATCATGATCATCAGTCGACAAGCTTGGCCCGTGCGAAGGTGATATACCTGTCTTACGTCCTTTTCACGTACTGACAAACGAATGTGCGGGAATGAGTGTATACAGTGGGACACTTGGCACTGCGAGGAATGAAAAGCTGCGCGCTCAATGCGTTAGATATATCGAGATGATCGGACCCCTTTTTGAAGATTGTTCAACGAGCAAGGCAGTTGCCAACACCGCTGTGGGCGGTTTCGGTTGCGATTTTGGGCGCAAGCCACCTCTTGGCCTGTGTCGACGATCAAAGTTAAGTTCATTCGTTTCGTGGGTTCACCTGAGATATCTGTGTAATGGAGACCATCGCAAGATGGCTGTTGGTCACAGACATAGATTTCGCCTTGCGCATCTTTACACATTAATCCTTCTTTCGGGTGCATTTGGAGATAGGCATTGGGCTGAAGAAGAGCATCAATTCCCTCGCTCTCCTCTGTCAACATTCTTGCTCAACTGGTCTGTGGTTCAGCACATTGCTTAAATAAATTATGACTGAATGGCCCACCAATGGTCTTGAATTGGCTTCAGTGGTTTTATGTTTCACTGAGCGGCAGAAATCTGACAGAGAGTGAGTTTGTGTGACGGATGACGCAGTTTGGCTCACAATCGTGCTGGATGCGCTTCCCGATATGGTAAGGGTATTACCTTATGTGGGTTTTATACGCTGGCTTCCTCTGAGTTTAAAAGGGTTTTCTGGGTGCTTCTGGCTTTGAAGATTTGTTGTAGATGCATATATAGGCGAGGACGGCATTTCCGACTCTCATCTGGACCCCCATCATCCCCTTGCACTATGCTCGGCACACGGTCGTGGCGGTGTGGACACATGCTTTACTCGATGAGTGCTCTTATGTGGGACATCAACACAAAGCTATTCCGCGCTAGCAAGGGGCGCTCTTCGGCAGCCTAGCGCATGGAACCTGAGATTGCGATGTTCCATCGGTGCGCTGATCGTCCGGTCAGCGCAGCCTGGACACTGGTCAAGACGCTTGGTGCATTTGTCGAGGAGCTGATCAGCGTCGTCTGTGGATGAAGGCACCCCGCTAGAGTTGACGCATACAGCCACTGACGACGAGAACAAGAAATAGCCTTTTGTGGAGAAACTCCATATGGGACCAAACACGCGACAACACGGGGCTTCACGAGCAAGCTCGCTCAGCGCGGGACGATCTTCCAGTCACCTCCTTTGATAGTATCATACCGCGGGCGGCCTTCTGCTCCAGTCTTCCCTCTATTTCAGCCCTGCTCTCCTGAAGCATGGGCAATACTCCCTCCAATCCCGCATCCCAATCGTACTCCCATCACTCCCCGGTCCGTCGAGGCAGTCCTGCTCGACCCTCCTCTTCTGCATCGCAGCGAGTCCATCGCTCTCTACGAACCAAGAAGAAGTCTCTCGAGCTGCCCGACCTGGCGTTTCTTGCTCTCACTCCCGCCTCCTCCTCTCCCTCCTCGGTCTCGCCACATGGGGCGTACCGCAGGCCACGCGCGTCTTCACCCATTCCTATCCCTACTGCCGCTCACCCACCGCAACCGACATTCCGTCCACAGAACAATCTTCCTTCAGCAGCTCACGTTCCATTGGCCAATAACAATCAGGAATCTTCTGGCGTTGGGCGTGGTGCACGACCCAAGTCCTCATATTTGACAAGCGCATACCCATCGACACGTTCATTCATGGCCAAGGTACAGGAGCAGTCCCCTCCTCGGTCTGATCCTACGAAGCATGTGTTTGTGCCCGAAGTTGTGCACAGCACGCTTCCCCTTGTCCTGGTCAAGCCCGAGGAGGATATCGGTCACCCTGAGCCTGTCTCGGTGAAGATTGTTTGGCGCGGAAGCGGCAAGTCAGTGGTTCTCGCACGTGCTGGAGACGATAACTGGCAGGGGAGGCAGTCGATGGACTATGAGTGGGTTTTCCCCTGTGATTCTCCAGTTCTTTTAATTAAATTCTCGTGCAGGTCTGCCACCGACACATGGTTGACGTTCGTCTCGTTGCTCCCGGGTACCCATCACTTGAAGTTCATTGTCGATGATCAATGGAAGATCTCGGATGAATACCCTACTGCGGTGGATGATAGGGACGGGTCGCTGGCCAACTACGTTGCGGTCCCATTCCCGTCATCCGCCTCATCTCCACAGACTGTGACTGCCCCGACATCGGGCTCCGTTTCTCCGTTGGCGAGTCCTCATCACGGACACCCGCATGCTGCCAACAGCTTTTGGAGTGATTCAAGCAGTGCGGTCGGCGCGAATGGTGTTGTGAGTGGTGCAGATGGGCGCAGTAGGGCGCACTTGGAGTGGACGACAGAGATACCCCCGGAGCTGACAGCGGCGGCACAGGAGGAGGAGCAATATCTTGCTCTCACGGATAACCATGAAATGTCCTCGAATTCCTCTGCCTCTGGGTTTATACCCGCTCCCAATATCCCACCGGCTCCTCAGCTGCCCCGCCATCTGGACAAGCTGATCCTCAATGTGCGTCCGTCGAACGTCAGTGGCTCGCCTGTACCTGCGGAGAGAGAGCGGTCGCGGAAATCGAGCAAGGACAAGATTAGGCGAGACCGAGATAGAGACAGCCGTTCGCGTCCGTCGAACCTCAGCGTGACGTCCAGCACGGCCGTCGATCCCTCGTCTGAGACAGACCATGTTGTGTTATCGCCGCTTGGACTGCCTGTCGTTACAGCGTCTGGGACAGATGTCACCGCAGGATTGGCCCCGCTCGCAACCACTATACCCGACGGCGGGCCGAAGCTCAATGGTGCCGTTGCAAAGCTGGACTTTACGGGGCTGGCGGACGATACAAGCGTCTTGCCCGTGCCTTCGCATGTCGTGCTGCATCATTTGAGCACGAGCGCGATCAAGAATGGAGTACTGGCGGTGGCGAACACCACGAGGTACCGTAAGAAGGTGCGTTCTGTCTTCCGAATCCTCGGAGTCTGAGTGGGTTCTGATTTCTCTGTTCATGATGCCAGTATATTACGACGATCTACTATAAGCCAACATGACGAAGTTTGCTGAAGATGACGACATGCCTGTAATTCACCCACTAGATTCGACGATTCTTCAAAGCTCACACTGTTCGTATATATCGCCCGATCGGCACCTCTGGGAGTATTCGGCAGGTAGATGTATTGTTTCGTGTTACGCTCGTCTCTCCTGCGGCTGCACGCGCTCAAAAGCAGCGAACAAGACCAGATGGGCGAGGCGGGACGGCTCGTTTAGACGGTTGGGCATGTTGGATCGTGTGCGACGGTCAGAACATGGCGGTGGCAGCAAAAAAATCAAGAGCGATCCCTACCAGCTCCACGTCTTCTTTTGAGGAGACATCGCCAACGCCCTACTTCTGGATCAAAAGCACCGATACAGCCACGCATGCTGGCGCCCCTGTTGTTTGCCTCGCATTTCGTTAAGGAGGACTCCTATGCTGTATCCCATCTATCATATTCATCCTCCATCGAACAGTGGTGGTTCGAACGGGCCATTGTTATAACTCATCCCCATCTTGAATAGGCATCTCTCAAGCTTCGTCCATCACTGTCTCCTGCCGCCTACGCGATACGATTCTTTTCGCCTTCTCGCAAAGATCTACATCCCTTCCCTTCACTCGCACTTCCACTCTCGCATCCCATCCATTCATCCACAGCCATTGCTCCTATTGTTGTCTGTCTCCCACGGTGTCCCGTAGTATGGTGTCTGGCAGTGTGTATTCGATACTATGGTCCTCGCACATCGTGATGTACCTTCCAAGTACCTACAGACACTGCGGTGTTTGGAAAGGTAATGTTGTTGCACAAGCTTGTATGTGTGCTCCATGTCCCAAGCGTTGACGAATCCATGCATGTGAATTGGTTCACGAGTGCGGCAAACTACAAGAAAGAAGATAAAAGTAAGACTACCCTACACCCCTACAAGCGATCAATTCTCAATCTGAAGGTCACCATACGGCTTTGCACGGAAATAGCTCTCGTCGAAATGGTGCACTCGCACGAACCCGTCCTCTCCTCCGGAGGCGTAGCAGTCGCCTTTTGGTGACACGGCAATCCTAGATGGGCAGCATTTGTCAGCATCAGTATACGGCGATACATGAGAAATACGAACGTGTTCACTGGTCCGAAGTGGCCTTTTACTCGTCCGACCTCCTCCTCGAAGATCTTGTGCCAGAAACGTGTCTCAAACTTGCCCTGACGCAGTGAGGTGGTTGTGACACTCATCGCATCTTGGCCACCGCCGAGCAACACGTACGGCTTGCCTGGGGCGATCGCTGCGCTGTTGAGGGGCGTCTCAGTTGTGTATGTTTTGAGGACAGTCAGTGTTTTTGTTTCGTGTAACTGTAAAGATAAGGTAAGTCTCATCAAGTGGGGCTGATGTTAAAGGGAAACGTACTCGTGCCGTCTTGTCCTTGCTGCTGGTGATGAAGTACGAGCGGTCGGGGCTGAGCTGAAGGTCGGTCACGACATCCATATGTGCGCGCTCGTTCGAGAGGACTTCCTCGCCGGTCTTGGCGTCGAACAACGCGACCTTCCCGGACTCGTGCCCCGACAGAATTAGATCGGGTGTATGCGCGAACGCGCAGAGCGTCGGTTTTGAGCCGATAGGGTTAAAGAATGATACAGGCTCTTTCGATTCTGCCAATGGACGTGATGAGATTAGTAAGCACTCTCAATCGGTGCGGGAAGAGGATACGTACGGTCAGTGCCATCGTCCTCCCTGTTGATGTTGAATATCCGGAAGGCGCCCTGGTGGCCCATGCGCTGCTCGGTGATGCAGACGATCTGGCTGTCATCCTCGCTGAAGGCTACGCGCTTCACGGCAGTGGGGAACTCCCAGACGTAGAGGCACTTGCCGCTCTCGACATCCCAGAGGCGCATGGTGTTGTCGGCGGAACCGCTGACCAGGAAGCGGGATTGCGCTGCAGGAGGAGGTTGAGGACCATAGCAGCATCAAAAGACAGATGCACGAAGGAATTGAGATGGCTGTCAGCAGATAATGGATCAAGAAGAGGGAAATGACGCACAGTCAACATCTATTGTCCACACCGCTCCGTTGTGCCCGTCATACGTCCCAAGCCGCTCTCCATTGTCGGCGAACCAGACATTGATGACGTGGTCTTTTGAGCAGGTGAAAAGAAGATCGCCCTCGCGGTTAAACTTGATTTGGGTGAGCGATCGCTCGTGCCCTGTAGAAGGATGTGTGAGTAAGCACCAGGATGAACTATGAGATACAAAACCTGCCTTGAAGAAGAAGTGGTCTCTACGGTATGCGTTAGCAATGTGAATTCATGACAGCAAACGAATATGGACTCACCATATTGCGAGTAAATGGAGGTTGAGGGAAGAGTACGATGGGTGGTGCCGTGCACTTACAAGGAACTTTGAACGCGATCGCCTCTCGGCAATCCCCGCGAATATTAGCGCCCGCTGTCAATCAAGCATCGACTTGAGGCTCTAAGGAACGACTGTCTGTACGAAGGCTGATTTATGAGCCTATTGTGGCTCAACGTTGAACGCTTTCCCTGTGTTCTCTTCTGCTTGCTTGCACGGTCTGGTTTGTGCCTCATGGCTGACTGGAAAAGTTGCTTTCGTGGGCTGGCATCTGAGGCATTAGTGCAATCGATGTCGGTCCTTTTGACGACAGGCATTTCGTAAAGATGGCCTTGATGGAAGCGGCGAGTTCGCTTAAATCGAAGCGGACGTGATATTGTTCGAGTTTCCGCTGGGCTTCAGCCTTCCACCTTCTTATCATCTACCATCATCGGGTCCTGCCTCAGAACTTGCCCGCTTAAGTGTCCGCGACTTGCGGTATTGACATTTGCTCGTGCTCGCTCTTGTTCCCCCCAAAAATGCATTCGAAAGATGACATGATCGTGGTTGAGCTCCTCAATGTTCAAGGAGACCCTCTCGAGGAGCGCATTCCTCGCCGATCAGAGGATTTACAGTCAAAAGTCTCGTGTGAATCTTGCCAGGTTGAAGGCGTATACGGACAGGTTTGTAGATGTGATGAAGTTGCGCGTTGGTCTAGCACTGAACACGAATAGGTGTTCGCGTACACGGTAGTAAACAAGTCGTATATGAACTTAATCGTCGAACCGAACTTCGAGGGCACGGCGCTGTCTCCGTTCACAGTCGACGGCAACTCGACATTCTTTGATGTGGGCTACACGATCTCCAGTACACACGTCAAGCCATATGAGTTCGTGAAGGTCTATCACGAAAGTAAGCCGCTAGTACAGTTCTGTCTATCCATTACATTGAATCTCAACTGTCACCTCCCACGTGCACAGAATCTGACGAGAGCGTGAGGTCTCCGGAGCACGGTGTGCTCCAATTCAAGATCTCGTATGCTGATCATGTCACGTACTCTGACGTCGACATGCGCCAGGACCCGTGCAAGATTCAGTTGCGAAGAAGATCTGTGAAGAGGTCCCCTGCAGACGAAATGAAGCGTGAGCCCCAAGTGATGTACGCTACTGCCGTTCCGACTTGTATGTGTTTTCACTTGTGATCCTTCAGTCTCAGCCAGAAGGCTTTGCAAGTCAACGTGTTGGCTCCATACAGGGCCTTGGCTGAGTTTGAAATCGACGATTCGCAGAAAACCACAATCTTCAAATTCTCGGTCGTACCGCCAGGTAAGTAATGCTGCTGGCGGAAGTGCAGCTGGAAGATCTGCCATGACGTTCATCCGGATTCTATCAGGTGAACAGGTTCCCATGGCAAACGGAGTTTCCGACGCTAGCCCTCCCTTGCAAGACGCCGAGTCCCTTGAAGAGGCCAGGGAACGTGAACTTAAGCAACAATTGCAGGCTCGAGTAAGTCGACAACTATCCTCTTCGTTAGCGTTGCTCCCCATGGGTCATGGGTGTGCTTTTCTACAGATTCGACGAACTGGAAACAATGTACAGGCGGGTCCGTCGTCGGCTGCCTCGAATCAGTCGCAGAATGAGCCAGGACCATCACGCACTAATGCGACACAGCACGACCTCGATGACGTGATGTCGGATGGTGAGGAGATGATCGACCTCACGCGAGATACGGCCGAGCCAGAACCCGATGTATGTGTGGTCACATTCTCATGTCGTCTGATCTTACGCATTGAAGCAGGAGAATTTTATCAAGATGATGTATGAAATGTTCAAAATACGACTGGAGAAGGAGGAGAGGGAAAAGAAGAAAGGGAAGGGAAGACAGTACTGATCTCAGCCCTTTCAAACGACTGACAGTGCGGTGGTCGTTGACGTGTTGTCGAATGCCGTAGCTTGCTTGTTTGCCGAATCCCGATTGACGTGCTTCAAGTCTATCAGGGATCTCAAAAAAGTGCTTACTCTCATTTCTTGTTTGGCTAGGTTGTACGCTCAACGATGGAGATTGTTCTTGGTCTTATTCTGTCATTGAACATATCCCGAGTCATTTACAGTGCATCTCTATGTAATCGTTATCTCAAAAATACTAGGATACAAGAGTCGTTGTCCATCCTACACACTTTACTCGAGAATCGGAACATCTTGCTTCTGATCCGACCGCCAAGTGTTCCGTAGCAACAATTATCTCATCCCCACGATGTAACATTCAACTCCGAGCTTGCAAACGCGCGGAACTACTCACAATGTTGATCGCGCGGAGTGCTCTGTTCGGCAATTCCCGACGTTCCGTAGAAACGCCACAAACGGCGTCGGCCACCTGCAGGCTGTCCTCACGGGCTCTCGCTGCTTCCAATCCGATCTCTCCTCAGAGTCGAAATGAGCGGCTTCGACATCCAAGGTCCTGCCTCCTCGCTGGCTGCCGCGATAATGAAGGTGCAGACTTTGTCCTTGCCGTCGTTAAATCCACCACGGAAGCGTCTGCGCACGGATGAACCTGAGTCCTATCCGAGGGAGTCTGGTGAGGAGCACTTAGCGGAAGAAGAACCGAAGGTCACTCGAGACAAGAAATACTACATAGATGGAGCGGATTGCGTCGTAAAGGTGGAGAATACACTCTTCAGGGTGCGCATGTTCATTCCGTCATAACCTGTCGAGCGTAGAGTTCTTCAGTGCAAGAATTCTGTCGTTCGAAATGCAAGAGATTGCTGACGACTGTATGGGTGCAGGTACATCGATTCCTTCTTGCACGCGACTCGTCCGTGTTTCAAGACATGTTCAGTCTTCCTGAAGCCGATAACGTTGATGGCAAGTCAGCACAGGAAGGCTCGGGTGATGGCAGGCCCATTTGCCTCTACGGTGACACTGCAGATGACTTTCGGACATTCCTCTCAATTATGTACGCACTGTAAGCGGCTATTTAGCCTCAAACTCGAGTAGCTACTGATGGAACACGGATCGCATGGGCCGCCATGGACAGGCCATCCGAATTGCAAATGTACAACAGTCCCGATGCAGACATCTCCAAGCTTCTGATCGTTGCATCCATCACAAACAAGTATCATTTCGTCTCGACATCCTCGTGGGCCGTTTCGGCCGTCTACAGCGTCACGTCGGGCGCATATGGCTCGCCGACTGACCCCTTGGCTGATCTCACTCGCGTATCCTCCTCAGCTCTCACGCGCATCCTCGAGGTCGCGATTAGGTGTGGACACTCGCGCTTGGTCGATTATGTTGTGGAATGCTGGTCGAACCGCATATTAAACCGAGGCCTGAAGCCGCGGATTGCGATACATCTGGCCGATCGGTGGGGCATAGACTCCCTCAGAGGTGTGGCATATTATGTGCAGCTCATGCAAATCGGCTCCGTTTTTGAGGCCAGGATGAACGGGACCGCGAACGAGAGCTCTCATTCTCCCAGTGGTGATCACAGCGCGGAAGTAGGCAACACGTCTCCATCTGGTGAAGAGTACGACGACAGTGAAGACGATGAAGAAAGCCGCTTTCCGCTCACGCAAGCCCAGCTCACTCGCCTCCTCTCCGGATTCTACTCTCTTGTGGCGCTCTGGGATAAAGTCCGCGCAGCACCACCCAAATTCGTGCGACCGGAGGGATGCACATTTCACAACCACGGATGTTTAGCGGTCTTCCGGGACGAGTGGACGGCCGCGGCGCGCCACGAGCGCACGCAGCGATACGGATCTGCAGACATTGTGGGGCGGTTGAGGTGCATGGAGGAGCAGATGCGCACGAATACAGAGCTCGCGTGCCAGCTGAGCCCGATGTGTAGGAAGGAGGCCCTAGCAGCAGTCAAGGCGCTGGTCAAGGAAGTACAGGAAGGTCTTGCAGCAAGATTTGTGGATTTGACGTCGCGTTTTCGCTGAAGGGCGGTTATCGATGCTTCAGCGACCGCTTCCTCACCTCATGGGTGAGTGATTGCAATCGCTTAGCAGGTGGTTCTATTTTTGCAGGTTCGTGTGGCGACACCGGAGTGACAGCGTGGTTTCGCCCATCGCAATTTATTGCCACTAGTGGAAATGCAGCTAGTGCAAAAAGACGCAAATTAACTTTGATACTGCGGTATCTACTCGTACTCGTGCGAGGAGGGGCATATGGTTACTGTTTTGAAGTGTACGTGTAATTACATTGTGCTTGATTGTGAGTGATGAATTATATCATAGTTCCGCTGCGGCTGTTCGCATTCCAAATTTATGCCGCAGCAAGGGTGCGCTCTCTGGCCATGACGTCGTCCGCCCCGACTCTGCTTGAAATCCGAAGACCCGAAAGCTTGCGAGGATTCAGGTACTCACTCAATCCTTCCAGAAGCCATTTGTGGCCACTCCTTTGGCTGGTATCAACGTCACCGGACGAATAGAGTCGGAGTTTGCTGAACTCTCTTCGCCCTTCCCGAACAGCCGACGCCTCATCGCGAGCTTAGCTTGTCTAGTTCTATCGCGGTCATTGTGAGGCATGCATGCTATCGCCTGCATGTACCAATCCTGAGCTAGGTTATCTCGGATTGGCTAGCATCCCAAAATTACAGTTGTCATGAATTTTGAATTTGAAACAGATTTGTCAGCGGGCCACACAGGGAAGGTCTATTGACAAATAGAGCACCCACGGATCTCCAAAGACGGGCCGTTGGGAGCTATTCGTTTCCGTTCTCGTCACGTTTGATGCAGCTGATTTCGATCTTGGTCAGCGTTTGTGTTGGTGGCAACCCCAAATGATTAGCGGTGACTGGCCCCATTGCGAGACGTTCGACGTGTCGTTCAGTCATGCCAGACGGAATTTGATTTGGTTGCTCCCGCGGTGGCGTCTTACCGAGTCAGTCCATGCACTTTTTCTCATTGAACAAGTTCGCTCGACATGTAGTCAAATGACTCTTAGAGAAAAAAAAAATCCCCGGCCGGAGCTTCCAGCTTCGAGAGCCGGTGCTCTACTCTGTTGAAATCTTCGTGCCTCGCATGCTTCAGCCAAATTTACGTGTTTCACCAGGGGCATTACACGTCAAACAATTTTAGAACATTTTTTTTCATCCCCGTTCTGCAGGTCGCGCCGCTCAAGTCGGACCCAGGCCGATTGGTGGGCGGGATACGGGAAGCTGTCTCGACCACTCAGAATTGCCGTTGGTCAATTTCGGGTTGTTCGCGTCGAGGCTGTGCCGTTCGGTGCGCATATCTTAAGAGTCGATCTCAAGGTGATATCACGGCCTCGCCTTGGCTCACCGCTCTTTGCATGTGGAATAGAATCTCATTATGTCTGCATCAGCGCAAGGCAGGCACGCTGTAGATGAGGTGAATACATGTGCTGTGCCTGTACTTGTGATGTGCGCTGACATGGGTCGTCGGTCGAATGGATTCTCCGCCCGTTGCTTGTAGGACGCTTGCTGAAAATTGTGCGCAGCGAGGCGATGGGTCACTGGCGTGGTGCGTCATACGACCTGTTTCTCGTCAGGAAATGAAATGGAAAGGGGCAGGCCCAGTCAATGCAATTACAGAGCGTAGCGGAAGGCACGTTTGCACGCTTGCGAGATGACAACAGCTGATTGACGACCGGGTGCGATAGGCGGCATGACGGACGATACGATGTGCTAGCACATGGAGGAGTCTAGGTGTGTCGCGTTTGAACGGAGAAGCTTTGTTTGCGCAGGGGTCTCGCGGGTCCGTCTTTGCAAGGTCGGGGTTAGAGACGATTACGGATGTGCTCCGCTCAAATTGTCGTCGATTTGGAACGGCGCGGCGAGAGCAGATCTCCGCGTGGGCTGTCATGGTCTAGACTCTGGCCTGTGGTCTGTTCCGTTCTTCCATGGTTGTCTGCCAGGCAACTAGAGGACGGCTAATGTCAATGGTCTATAATTGTTCATGCAACAGCTGTAAAGAGTTAATATTTGCAGAGGATGGCGTCAGCGTAAGAGTACACGATTTATTACACTCAAGGAGAGATGCGTACAATGCTCTGAGACATTTCTAGGCGCCGTCTCGTCGCCTTGTAGGTGGCTAGATCGTAGGTCTAGATCGGAACCTGGGTCTCAGCGCCGTCAGTGTCACCGGCGATCTTCAACAGCATCGGCCCACGAATACTCACGCCTGCTTCGTGATCGCGATACGAACATACTGGCAATCCTTTCGGACGAGCGAACGGTCGCTTCCAAAGCGATGCATCCGGCGGCCGGAGGCGAAGAGGTGCGGGTTCGCGCTCTTGTTAGGACCATCGCGGTCTGGCTATGGACGAGCTGGGCCCTGGATGTTGACTTCTAGTCTTTGGTGTTCCGCGCCTCGTGCTGCTCGCGGGTCTTCGATGGCGGGCGTGCTCGTTTGCAATGCTTGTCACTCTGTTGGCGAGATGCGATCTGGTTCTTGACGGCTGGTTCTTGACGGGCCTGCAATAGTGCCGTCGGGCTGTGCGCGAGCTGTGCTCTATGGCTTCCTTTCTCTGCGTGGATAGTTTGGCACTGGCTTCTCGTATGAAGCGTGGATTGCTTTGCAAAAGGCAGGATCGTGCGCCGCAAGCAATAGTGCGGCTGGGCTGTGCGCGAGCTGTGCTCTATGGCCTCCTTTCGGCTCTGTGCGTGGATAGTTTAGCTTTGGCTTCTCGTACGAGGCGTGGATTGCTCTGCAAAGGGAGGACCGCGCGCTGCAGCGAAGCTCCATCTCCGCCCTCGGAAATTGCTACCCCATCTGACCGTTTGTCTGATCGTCGAAGTGGCGTTGCTGTCCGTTAGGATTCTGTTGTGTCACAACGAACGGATCTTGAGGCTGTATGCGCATGCATATATGCTGGCTTCCTTGCTGATGTCATCGGTCGCTTACAAGTGGCGATCATCTGTGCACTGCCGGCCTGCCTTTTGAGTCATGTTGGTTCTCTGTGATCGTCCCGTGTGTCTGGCGATAATGGTGCGAGCGGAGATTTACGTATTGGGGGTCGCTCGAGTTTGGCAATAGCCCGGTGTTGTGGGTATGGTTGCCGGGGTAGGAAGTTTGTGTGTGTGCGTACGTGATTCGAAGAATGTTTGATCGTGCCGTTAATCCTCCGATGTATGGGCGATATCGCGTCGTTCGTTCCTACCACGATATATTGCCGTCATGTGAGAACATTTGTGCGCCGGTTGCACGGTCACCCGAAGAGATGAAATCGGTGGCTGGTACGCTAAAGAAAAATACAAATTCGCAGAAGTTCGCGACCTTTTCTGACAAATAAACGGTCCATTCAGTGCGGCTATCACCATGGGCCCGGAGAAGGGCGTCATGGCTGCCCGCCAAATCAGCGGACCTGGCGGTGTGTATTTCAGTGGGGGAGGAGAAGTTTTCCGCGTCTGCGCTTCTCTTTCACGATTGTGCCTGTGCTCGTGTGCACGGATCCTGGTGGACGGCTCCTTGCGCAGCAAGCTAGACGAACGTATACAGGTCGAATGGCGATGTCAACGCACCACAAGTCTGAGAATGAAGGGGGAGTGGGCGATGGGATCTGTGGAGCATTGTGTGTGTTGTGGGGCCACAAGCGCAGTGGAGCGACCGCTAATAGGGAGCGTCACGGATCTGGGGGGTGTATGGAGTGTAAGGCGGGGTAAGTATTGTTGTTCATGAGGTGGCTGATGGTTGAAAGGGTGATATGATCCACTGGGGGATCTACCTGGACGCCATCCTGCTCCAGCACGTCGAGTGCAGTGCCCCCGCGGGCGCCGCCTTCGGTCCACTCAACCTCCCTCGTCCACTCAACCTCCCTCCCTGCAAAGCACATGACGTCATGCTGCGCACGCACAGCCACTGACGCGGTTGCCTCAGAATTTGACGAGGTCGCGCCTAAATATCCAGTGAGCACTCGGCCTCCCGTGACATAGCCCTGTGCGTATGGTCATCATCGTTGCCTCAAAGGTCCGCGCGAGTGATAAACTCACTTGCATAAAGACTCCATCTCTCTCCTCCCATCGACGCCCATCCCAACCCTACCTTATCATCTGCCACATACGATGCGGGCCATACACAATCGCGACTTGTCTCTCGACAGGAGCAAGACACCTCGGCCGAAGTCGCCGCAGAGGAGCGAGGGCGGAACCGCAGCGCCAGCGGGTGGCCACGCAGGAGGACCCTCGAGCACGCCCACAGCGCCGTCGCCCCCGCGAGTTGCCGCATTGGCTTCAGGTGAGCCTGATCTTACTTCGCCACGTGCATATTCCAAAAAAGGGGACTGGACCGGAGTTTGAAAAGCGCCCACGCGCGCGGCCAGTTGTGATTTCGCGTACGTTCGCTGGTCGTGCGGACCACAGAGTCCGCGTCCTCCGCTTTCATATTCCTCACGCGTCCCCGGCTACCTACTTTTTTTTGTCTCGCCATGCCTCCGTCTGACCGAAACTGCTAGTCTCCTTGTTCCATTTTTCCGGCCCTCCTCTGGTCCCTGTAAATATCCGTCTCGTTTCTCTTCTCCCTGCTCTAACATGATCCTCAATTCCCATTGTCGATCACACAGAATTGCATGACCTGCGCCAGCCTCTGCCCGCTCGCTCACCCGGCACCTTCCAGAACCCTCCAGAAGAGCTCCTCGAGCTGTACACCCCTCCCATTTATATATCGAGTAATGCAGGCAGGTCGAGCATGTCTGATCCACCATGGTCCCAAGCCTCGCCCGAACAGAAACGCCCTTCTTCCCGCGGTCGCTCTCATTCGACCTCCACCAACCCCTCTCACCGGCAGCCACCGCGGCACCTGTTCCAGGCTCCGCCCGCCCAGCCTGCCCCTCTATATTCCCCCTCTCTCCCCCCTTTAGAGAGCGTCTCCGCGACCGCGTCTTCTCCATTTGGGGGCATCCCTGCGTACACGCCTGCCTCTCTCTCGTACGGCCAGCGTGCCGGTTTTGTCGGGCAATACACGATGTCCCCGCAGCCTGCCAGCATGCCGCAGTACGCCTACCCCCACCACCCCGGCCTGCATGCACAAGACACGAGCATGCACATTCCGCAAAATCAGCACCTGCGCTACAATGCAAACGCGCTCGTGCACATGATGCAACCGCCCACGCCCGTGTACCAAGGGTATCCCGGACACCCTCAAGAAGACAGCCCTTCGTCCAGCCACAGTCACTCCTTTCCCAACAACTCTGGTCGCTCTGCCATGTTCTCGCAACCGCAAGCCCATTCCCCTCCCTCCCAGTCTTCAGCACACGCCTCGCCGCCTCCGCACTCTCCTTTGGTTGCACAGGGCTCTGGTCCGCCTCTGCAGATGCATTCCTCCCCACACTCCCCAGCATACGTTGGTCAGGCGACTTATGGCCCCCTTCGCTACCCTACATCCCCTTTTCCGTATCCACAGCAATCGTACACGTCCTCCCCCTCCATATATGCGCCGCACTTCGCGCCATCGCCATACCGGCCTCATTCGTACGCGGCCGAGCCTGGGCAGGAGGCGAGCCAGGGCACCTGGTGGTTTCTTCCGCCGGCGCACTCGTCCGCTCAGTATGACTCGTTCCAAACTGCATATCCGATGTCGTTCAGAATGATTCCGCCCGAGATGGAGGCGTATCCACAGCCAGGCCCGTCCTCGGTCCCTTCGCCTCTCTACGCGATGTCGCCGCGTCAGCAGCCCCTGTCGTACTCACCTTCACAACCACCGCCGCTTGCGGCACGAGACCCTCCACCGCCAATACAATCCCCAGGGCGACTCCCATCTTTCAGCTCGGCTGTATCGAGGCAGAATCTCTCAGAAGCAGACTCTCCAGCAGCGGACGGTTCAGCAGCGGATTGTTCAGAAACGGACGGTTCAGCAACGGACTATCCAGCAGTGGACCCGCTAGCAGCGTTGAGCAGTCGACCGGCGACAGATCGCTCTCGCCGGCAACAAAATGCCAATCCGCCTGCGCAGCGCTCGGAGTGGGTCATGTGGGTGGGAAACGTACCTTCTGATGCGACGCACGACGAGCTCTGGCGCTTTCTCAACCAGGAGCCGTCCCCAGGCTCGACGTCCTCGGCGGCCGCAGAGGACGCGTGGGCCGGCGTGCTGTCGATCTTCTTGATCTCGCGTTCCAACTGCGCGTTCGTCAATTTTCAAAGCGAGGCGAAACTGTTGGCGGCAATCCAGCACTTCAACGGCCAGCCAGTGCGGCCGAACGATCCGCGCTGCCCCCGCCTCGTGTGCCGCGTCCGCGGGCGCGACGATGATCTCAAGGCGGGCGTTGGAGGCCAACGCAGCGCGGGCTTGCATGTGCGGTGGATCAGGGGCCAGAAACGCAAGGCGCGCGCACAGGCTCTCGCGCTTGGCGATCAATCGCGATCTGCGTCGACGTCGTCGGAGCGCGCCATCACACCCGGGAGCTCGCCGAGCGACCCTCCACAGATCCATGCCAATTTGAGTCTGTCGAGCGACGAGGAAGGTCATCGCTCCCATCGGCCGCGACCGCAGCCGCACTCGAGCAGCTCGCACTCGGGATCAGGATCGGGATCGTATGCGAGCACCAGCTCGAGCATCTTCACGCAGTACTTTCCCAAACGCTATTTTATCCTCAAGTCGCTAACGCAGGTGAGTCCGGCGCCATGGCCTCGGAGCACGGCGACGTTGCGCGTGATGGTTTGCAAATCATTGACGGAACCTATTTCTGTGCTTCTAGAAGGACCTGGACATAAGTGTAGAGAAGGGCCTATGGGCAACGCAGCGCCACAACGAGGCCACCCTCGATCAGGCGTACCGCACGAGTAAGGAGGTCTACCTGATCTTCGGGGTAAACAAGAGCGGCGAGTTCTATGGATGCGCAAGGTGAGTGCGAGGATAGCGGAGAGGTTACCAGGCAACGTCTTCCGCTAATGCTGTCTGCGTCGATCTTTAGGATGGCCGGCCCAATCAGTCGTGGCGAGCACCGCGTCTCGTGGGCGTCGCGCACCGACTCGCCGCCGCAGCGCCGCATGTCGCGCTCGTCGGCAAGCTCAAGTCCACCCGTGTTAAGAAGGAACACACACATGATCCTCTCGCCGCAGGAGATGCGCTATGAGTCCCCGCTGCCTGTTTCGCCTGATAAATCGCTGCCGTTGTCCCAGCCGAAGTCGCAGTCCACGTCCGCCGCGCCAGAGTCGTCGCAACGACGTGATGCCGAGGATGCTATGCCGGAGGAAACTAAGGCTCTTGCGCGGCTGCACCTGTCGGCGCCACCGGAATTGCAGGACGCCCATCGTCAACTTACGATATTGACGCCGGTGGGTCGTGGACGGTCAGTTGACAATGTAGGTCCGGTGCCGCAACCAGCGATCGAATTGGATCCTACTGCCCCAAGTCGACATATGCGCCATAAGTCGGCTCCGACAGACCTCTCAGTGCGAGAAGATCAGCATGCGCGACGGCTCGACTTGGGTTCATTGTCAGACACGCCGCTGGACACGGTGGCGGAGGAGGAGGAGAAGCCGGCTGAAGAGAAGGCGGGGGAGGCAACCCGTGGAGCAGGAGCAGGAGGCGAGACGAAGGACGGTCAGTCATGGGGCGAGCCGTTCAAGGTGCAATGGGTCCGCACCGAGAGGCTGCCGTTCTATCGGACGCGACATCTGCGAAACCCATGGAATCACGATCGGGAGGTGAAGGTATCGCGCGATGGGACGGAGCTAGAGCCGTCGGTGGGTCAGGCGCTGCTGGACGAGTGGGATCGACCGGCACCGCCGCCTCCACCGCAAATGGCGGCATCGCCTGCGACGGAGAGGTGGCAGGGAGGAAGAGCCGCAGTTGCGGAGGGCGGCGCAGGCGAAGAGCCTCCGGAGAAGGGCGGATGAATTTCGGTATGTCATCAATGTTGGATGGCAGGCGGCTGTTCGCTGCGTCGATCTCACACCCTGCTCCATCTTGATTATCTTTCAACGACACTATGCAACCGCAAAATGATGCACGCACGCATATACACGATCGCACGCACGCACGCCAGTCTCTTCCACACGCACACACATCTATATCAGCATGCACTATATTCATACTTATTTAACGTTCTAGCTTACAGAGACCGCGCCGTCCGTCATTCACGACACGGAGGTATGTCAAATTTTCGCGCATGTTGGCGCTGTTGCCGCTGCTACAGGGTACTTACTACTATCGGGATTACACGGGGTCAACGGCTGATTCGCTCGTTTTCTGTGTTACTTACTTGTCGCGCTCTCGATCGTGCAACTGCTAGCTCGCTTGATACGCTTAATTGTAGCAATAGGTAGACGTTCTCATCCTCACTCACTGTATCGATACCTCGCATATGGCTACTATACACGATGCGCCTTGTGCGCTGGGATCGGGCATAACGCGCTTGGGGGCTGTGCGATGAGCGGCCGAAGTCCATAAAAAGTCCGCGTGGTTGCGATGTCAGATGCGCATTGGCAGGGAGTGGCGGCGGCGGCGGTGCTCGTCTGTGTATTGTCCTTGCGTTGCCATACCATCGGGACAAGGCGAGACTGCCACAAAGCTTTACGACAGCATTTGGGGCTTGGTCTGAACCCATGCAGAGAATTGCGCTACGGCTTCCAAAAAAAGCTGACGATGGTCAAGGAGTAGCTGTGCGTTGAATTTCTGTGTCGAATGCGAGAAATTCAGCAGTGGCTTTTATGCGTCTGCTGCTCCGATTTATTTGTCGGAACATGCACCGCAGAACAAAGGGACTGCGGAAGACGCACAAACCGAGGTACGCCCGGGCCGGACACGACGATGAAAATAAATATTAGGGAGACACACCGGTCCGAGGGTAATACGGAACAACGGTCTCAAAGACTGGACCACATGTATGACTTCCGTAAAGCTGAGCTAACTACGATAGAGAGTGTTGGGCGTGGAAACGCACCAGAGGACTGCCTCGAGAATATATGGGTTGTCGGCATTCACCATATCGACCTGATATCAGCAAGTAAATGTCGAACGTAGTAGTTGCCAAAAACAGATAACACGAGAATGTTCTTCCGGTACCGTCAAAACGTCGCCCCTCAGATGAAGTTAGGCAGGAGGTATCGTCTAGAACCTTCGAAACGGCGGCGGCGTACTGCATAACGCCAAGATAAGTCGCGGGTCAAACGCACGGTGCTGCCTTGGACCTTTGGAATGCAGGCAGCCCTAGACTCGTCCCAACACGTGGTGAACATCGACAAATGTACAAAAGAAAGAGGGGAGAATGGTATTATTACATACGAGAATGTCGGGCCCACTGCACTGAGACTCGAGTTATAAGCGACAACTGTGCACGTGGGGATCCTGAGGCCGCAGGTTGAAACTTGAACGTGCATTAGAAGCGCAAAAACCGTCCCAAAGGTCCTTTGTTATATAATTAATTTCCTTGATGGTACAGATTTGATGGTGCAACGGGACCAAAATGGGTAATTAATGTGGCACGAAGTGTACCACGAAATATGATTGGGCCGCCGCTCTCGCTACGAACCACCTCGAGCGCCACACTACCTCTAGACCGTCTTGTTTGCTTCGGCAACGCACAAAGGCCTTTCGCACAGTGCGCAGCGCTCATTATCTTTTCGATGATCCGCGTATCGGTTTATGGGATTACTGAAAACGTATAAAATGCGCCCCCGTAAACGCGCCGGTACTTAGTGTCTCCCAGTGATCAGTCCTTCAGTAAAATTTTCCCTTCGTCAGTCCGCCCTTGCCGCGTCTCTGCGTATCCACAATGCAGATTCAGGTGCTGAGCGACTTGCACTTGGAGGTTGAACGCGTCGGTGCACCGCGTGCCAGGGAAGCAACAGGAAAACTCAAATCCGGCTTATGATACTTTTATCCGCTTGCCATCACCAAAAAAGACAGTAAACCCGAAAAAGTCTCAGGACCTCCTTGTTTTGGACTTTTATCCGAGTTGGGAGCTTCTTATCGTGTGCTTATTTGCTTGTACAAGCCAGATCCAGTGAGAACAAGTCAAAAAGGAGGTTCTCGAGCCACAAGCCAATTTGAGTTTCCCTGGTGAAGAGTTCTACACCTACGATATCCCCGTGTGCACCGAGCACCTGACGTTGCTTGGGGACATCGGATGGACAATACAGCACGAACTGTTTAACTGGCTGAGGATACAGCTCACGCTGTTCAAGACAGTGTTCTTCCTGTCAGGCAACCACGGTGCGTGTCTCGTGCGAATCATTAGGCTGCTGTCATTGACTCTTCAAACAGAGCCGTACTGGTCCATTATTGTGAGTAATTTCGTGTGGCGTCAAGTTTATGGCCTTCTTAGACCGCCACACAGGCAGAATCGGAGGCTCGTTTGAAGGCCTTCGCAGCAGAAGTAGAGGCAGACATTTCCATACCCGGCCGCCACGTTGGCACATGATATATGGAGACGCGTACGACTGGCAAGATAGCACTGCCCTAAATCGCGTTCAAAATGTTGCTCCAAATGAAGTGAGACACGGAGGCACTGGCATTGTCTGGGACTTTCGAATCGGCGGCGGTATACCCCATAGGCCATTGAAGGTAGGTCACGAGTCAGACGCACGGTGCTGCGTTTCACCTTTGGAATGCGCGCAGCCCTCGACTCGTCCCAACACGCGATGAACATCGACGTATGTGCAAAATAAAGAGAAGAGAAAGGTATGAGATACATACCGTTGGATACGAGAACATCGAGTAAGACGATCTGCAAGAGAGTAAAAGCGACAATTGCGTGGGGATCCTGAAGCTGCAGTACTTCGTGCTAAGCCAGGTTGCAACGTGCGTTGGAAAAACGTCCCAAATATATCCTTTGTTACGTCTTCGGTGATCCTATCAACCGAAAGGCGGATCGTGCACTGTGCGCTGTGCGAAATGCCTTTATGCGTTGCCAGAGCATACAAGACAGTCCCCAGATTGCGTTGATACACTTCATGCCGCAATTACCTCTCCGTTTTGGTCCCATTCTAGGTACCATCAAAGAAATCTATTTAGTACGTATATCTAAAGTGCCCTAGTCTCCCAGGATCAGCCCTTCAGTAATCCTTCCCTCTAGTCTTGGGATGCAGCTTCGACGGTTCGACCTACGAAGATCATCCTCCCCTTAGTAATTGGTTAGCGATTGGGTACGAGTCTTGCGCTCGAGCGTAAGCCGCTACCTCGCGCGCATTAATTGACTAGCATATCTCAAAGCACACATTCCGTCTCCAGGAAGAATTAGCTCTGATTTGGGTGAACGAGTCAAGATTACTTTTTCCTACTATATGACAGACACTATTCCGACCCGTTGGCTATGTCTAGAATTTACAAAACATACGCAAAACTGCTAATAACCTTGGGGCAGACAACCCTTCCTAATAGGTACGAATGATCTGGGAAAGAATATCTGCGAACTCAATTGGTGTCCTGGAGACGCGAATGACCTACTAAGCCGAGGTCGCCACATTGACGAACTCCTCAGACAGCCGGCTGACCACCACCACCACCAACTGTCTCCAGTTGACTATCCAACTGGTGGCTTGCAAATCCATTCCACTGGGTGCCAGGACGTCTCGCCTGAGGCGGCCAAATTCCTTGATCGTGGCGAGGCACAGCTGCGGGGTGTTACCGAGGTGGGAGAGATGATATCCGACGAATGATGCACTGCGCCACGGTGAAGTCTAGGTCAGACACGTCATTGGCTTGCTTCATCCTGCGTTCTCTGACGTCCGCCTGGTTGCGCTCTAGGGCGCACTTGAGCTTTCCAACGAGGAGCGTAGGGAGGTTGAGCGATGGCAGAGGCAAGCTACGATCGACCATCTGCTCGACATCGAACGGTGCCCAGAACAGATGCGCATCGACGAAGTCGACTTGAACGTACATGCCGGATGGCTGATGCTTCCAGTAGATCTTCGGACCGACCACCAACCGAGCGTCCTGCCCAGCAATGTCTTTGAGCGCGTTCGTATCGACGATACGCCCTGTACCTGCGCGACGAGCCCTACGCAAGTCCATACATAATCCGCGTCCTGCGTGTGATGTCAGATGCGCATTGGCGGGGAGTGGCGGTGGTGGTTCTCACCAGCGTAGTCCTTGCATTGCCGTACTGGGACAAAGCGAGACCGCCACAAAGCATCACGACAGCACCTGGGGCTTGGGTCTGAACCCACGCAGAGAATTGCGCTGCGGCTTCCAATAGGAGCTGACGATGGTCAATGAGTGATTGACCGTTGCGCGGAATAGTCGACATCTTGCAGGTGTGCGTTGGCTTGCTGTGTCGAGTGCGAGAAATTCAGCAGTGGCTTTTATGCATCTGCTGCTCCGTGCACATCAAATGTATCATGAGATTAATATGGAGATATACTAGTTCGAGGATGATACCGAACAGCAGTCGCACAGACTGGACCACATGTACGACTTCCACAAAGCTGAACAACCCACAACAGGGAGTGTTGTGCCTGGAAGGGTATCGTCGACACTCCACAGGACTGCCTCGAGGATATGTGGATTGCGGGCATTCATCATGTCGACCTGATATTAGCAAGTGGATGTCGTTTCGATGGAACGTAGTAATTTCCAAAAGCAGACAAGAGGAGAATGTTCTTCCTGTACCGTATTCACCTGCGGGCCATAATGAGACAAAATGATTCAACCTTGACAGCTCGACAATGAACTACGCCATAGTGTGAGCACCTGAGTCACGGCGCGAGTGTTAGTCATAACAGATTCTGTGATAGATGGTACCAATAGTGTGGCGAGCCGGAGTGTATTGACATACCCTTTCGGCCTGAGTGACTCGTCGAAGGAGAATGTATGTTTGCGATGACCGAGAGCCTTCTGGCGCCTCCAGATACACGGATGGACGAGCGCGAGATGACAGCGCGCTAGCGAGGACATAGGATCAAATGATTCTGCATACTATGAAGGCCCGAATGGGATTACAGTCTTAGCTTCTCACGCCATTCGGCCTCCACTTGCTGTACAGCCAAAACCCTATCCGTAAGAATCCCGTCCATCACGTTACACATGAACACCCAGTAGCCCTCAAGGCTATGTGATTTGGGGTTCTCCAACGTCTTCCCGTCCTGGTGGAGCATCCATAAAGTATACTCAAACGTAAAAATGAAGCCGCGGCGGTTGTCTGGAGAGAGCGCGGCAAGGAGGAGAAGTAGAGCCTTGAGACTTGGCCCTGTCAGCACATTCAAAACATGCATATCGTCCTCTTCGCCCTCTAGGCGAAAGTCCGGGTTGCGGAAATTGACCTTGGCTTGGATGCATTCCAGTCCCGCTGGGTTGGGATGGCGAGGCGTGAGCGGTATGAGGTCGATAAATAGGTCGTGGGTGCAGAGGTACACGAGGTCGACTCCGCAGAATGTGGGGACTGAGAAGTGCACCGGGAGCGATAGTACGTTATCAGGTTGTGCATGGTGCAGTGACTCCTCGCACGAACAACGGGGTAGACCTGCTTTCTCAATGGCAGATATTGCAGTTTCCAGCGCGTCGCGCGGAACTATGTATCCTAAAGACTGTGTTGAATCAGTAAAGGGACCACATATATGGAGCGGCGTACAACTGGCAAGATAGCACTGCCCCAAATCGCGTTCAAAACGTCGCCCCAGATGAAATTAGGCACGGAGGCATCGTCTAGGACTTTGGAAATGGCGGCTGTATAGCCCATAGGCCAGGGTAAGTTGCGGGTCAAACGCACGGTGCTGCATTGGACCTTTGGAATGCAGGCAGCCCTCGACTCGTCCCAACACGTGGTGAACATCGACGAATGTACAAAAGAAAGAGAGGAGATTCGTATTATTGGATACGAGAATATCGGTTCTGCAAGAGAGTTATAGGCGACAAAGTACTGCGTGGGATCCCGGCGAGGCCGCAGGTTGCAACTTGAACGTGCGTTAGACGCGCAAAAGCCGTCCACAAAGGTCCTTTGTTATGTAATTCATTTCCTTGATGGCGCAGAGTTGATGGTACAATGGGACCAAAATGGAGAGGTACTAATTGTGGCACGAAGTGTACCACGAAATATCGCTACGAACCACCTCGAGCGCCACACCGTCTTGTGTGCTCCAGCAACGCATAAAGGCCTTTCGCACAGTGCGCAGTGCTCATTATCCTTTCGATGATCCGCGTCTCGGTTGATGGGATCACCGAGGACGTATAAAATGCCCCCGTAAACGCGCCGGTTTCTGGTGATCTCCCAGGGATCAGTCCCCCAAGTACTACTTTCCCTTCGGCAGTCCGTCCCTATCGCGTCGCTGCGCATCCATAATGCAGATTCAAGTGCTGAGCGACTTGCACTTGGAGGTTGAACGCGTCGGTGCACCTCGCGGTGAAGAGTTCTACACCTACGATATCCCCGTGTGCGCCGAGCACTTGGCGTTGCTTGGGGACATCGGATGGACAATACAGGACGAACTATTTGACTGGCTGAAGATACAGCTCAAGCTGTTCAAGACAGTGTTCTTCCTGTCAGGCAACCACGGTGCGTGCCTCGTGCGAATCATTAGGTTGTCACTGATTCTTCAAACAGAGCCGTACCGGTCCACTATCGTGAGTAACTTCATGTGGCGTCGAGTTTATCGCGTTCAACTTAATCGCCACACAGGCAGAATCAGAGGCTCGTTTGAAGGCCTTCGCAGCAGAAGTAAAGGCAGACGTTTCCGTACCCGGAAAATTTGTATACCTGAACCGGACGCGCTACGACGTCTCGCCGACGCTCACTATCCTTGGCTGCACGCTCTGGACGGCGCTCAACCCCGAAGAGCTCGACATCCTCTCGTGGGCACTGACGGACTTTCGCCGCATCGACGGCTTCGACCCCTCTGCATTCACAGCGCAGCATCAAGGCGACCTTGCCTGGCTGAACGCCACAGTCCAAGAGATCGCTTCTTCCGACCCCGAGCGCAAAATCATCGTCTTCACACACCACGCGCCGACCATCAGTGGCACGAGCGACCCGAAATTCGAGGGCCAGCCAATGAGCTCGGCGTTCTCGACGGAGCTCACCGGCGAGGTGTGCTGGAACGCGAGCGCGATGAAGCTGTGGGCTTTCGGGCACACGCACTGGTCGTGCGACTTTGAGAGGAACGGGATTCGCGTGTATAGTAACCAACGCGGGTATGGGAAGGGCGGGGAGGGCTATGACCCATCGAAGGTCGTTATGATCCCCTGAGCATCGAAGAAATTAAGATCGTGGAAGGAGCGTTTGATACTTCGGAACAGCGCGACGCGACTGACAAAGTATTTAGCAGACTTTTCTGTAGGCAGAGCTACACTCACAGATGCAACACATTTGGCTTCCCTGTGGCGCAGATTTCAGAATAGCCGATCGACTGGTGTACTTAAGAGGATGCTCGGACATCTCGGAGGCCAATGGCCTTAGATCTAGTACAGATCGAGGCATCGCCAGACGGCCTGCCAAGCTTAAGCATACGTCGCTTGAGGCACACATAACAAGTGAAGAAGGAACGATTAGTAATTGTGCACAGGAAAGCCGGCCCTGTCGATCACAGTCCGGGTATACACATAGTTTGTAATCTAGCACTTGTAAGTGTTGTGAGCGCAAGGGTAAGTATAATCACGAGTAGCACCGAGCAGCATCCCTCAAATGTACAGAAAGAAAAGCATACGACGGAAGAATGTGTGAACGAGCGGGGTGGTGCTGTACAGTGAGATGGGGACGACAAATGCAGCGTCTAACTTGACGCCATGGTGAGATTGGTTCCGCTTGGGCAGGAAGGCGCGCGCCTGGCGCGGCGCTCCGAGCACGCTCAGAGAGCCCGGCGCAAGGCGCGAGACGCGAGTGAGGTCGTGAGGTCGTGATAGCAGTCGAACGAAATCTAAACAGCGAGGCTTCTATAGTCCGATCCATATTGAGGTTGCGAGCATATTGACGAAGAGGGCGAGTACGAGCGGGAAGACGGACCACGCCGGCGTCGTCCATGATCTCAGTGCGGCTCTATATCGCGAATATCAGTCACCCATACTCCCGACCTTTGCCCCACAGTGGGTAACTCACGACGTTGCTTTCGGGCTCGCCACGACCTTGACCGTCAACACTGCGATGAACCCGTCGGTCGCATTCACGGTGGCGCTCGCGACGCTCCCGTTGTGGTTGACTGCATACGAGGTGTCCGGGATATATCCCCGCAGGTACTGCGCGGTCGTCGCGTAAGTGTACCCATCAAACGACGTCTGTCCGCTGTACGTTGTCCCGTTGGTCACGTTACCCGTGGAGATCAGGTGGGTCTGGTTTGTTACGTTGCCGACGAGCCAGTCGCTGGGGTACCTTTAGAAACGATGAGAGGAGGGAAGAGGGAGAAGAGCGTACCGTCCAAGGTTGTATCTGGGATATGGCTGTGAGTGATATGCCGAGGATACGCGTAGTAATAATACGCCTACCCGTTAAAAACGATATTGTGGTTATCTACGAGAAGCAAGGCAGACAATCAGCATTCATGAAAGAGCGCACCAGGACAACACTGTCGCACGTCGGGGGCGCACTCACCTGTTTCTGGCTCCTCATACGAAGCAGCCATGAACACGGCTTTGCTATACAACGCAACGTAACTTAGCGTCAGCAATTTACAGTGCACGAGGAAAAGGTCGCAAATGGGACAAGAGGCGTAGGGAGTGGGATTGCAGATGAGAACAAAATGCAACATACCTATCCGCCGCGCTTCCGTCCTGCGTCCAGTAACGAAAATGGCTCCCGCCAACGATGGTTTCCTTACATGTTCCAATCTCCGCATCGCCGTAATCCCACCGAATCTCTGCGGTTTGATTCACTGTGCGTGTGACGAGGTTGCGTCAGAACCACAGAAGGAGAGGGAAGATGGCTCAAACGGGAAGTCGAGACGCACCATAGCCATTCCCATCGCCCAAATTGGCTGCTTGATCCGAACCCTGGTGCTGCCCGAGACATTCTGTCGAGTATCCAAATGCACTGTGGATGAAAGCACTTAGTGAGCTGGCGGAGGGACGAGACGTTACGCGAACGCACTTGAAGTAGTTCTGCAGCCCACCGTCAATCTCCTGGTCAACGAGCACACTTGCCTCCGAGTCGGCCGAGATGACTACGTTGATGGGCTCGCCTTGTCCCGCCGGGTACGTGTCGTCTACTTTCTGCAGACCAAACAGTCCGCACGCGTAAACGGGACATCGTATCCACCGTCAGCACACACGCTTTGCACGAAACGTTCGTCACTCACCGTAAGCCAGCTCCCGCCGTTACCTGTCGGGTTGTAGAACCCGACAGCGGGGATGCTCGCACGGCGCGTGAGCGGCGACGGCGGCGGGTGTACGCGAGCGCGGGCGTAGTTCTCGATGTTGTTCTGCAGCTCGGCGCGCTCGAGCTCGGGGGCGTGTAGTTGGGCATGCGTGAGCGCGTACGCGGACGGGCAGAGCATGAGGAAAAGGAAAGTCAGGTTGAGCGTGGCCATCGCGGTGTCGGCAGCGGCGGTGACAGCGAGCGTATGGTAGAGCGGAAGAGGGTGCGCGGCGTGGGATGGATTGGAATGGGAGGAAGGAGGTAGGAGCACAGCTCGAGAAGGATCCGGACGGGGACGAGAGAGCTGGACAGTCTAAGTGCAATATTCCCAGCTGCTGCCTGATCCGGCTCACGGTGAGACGGGGCACAAGAACGACTCTAGGCGCCCTCGCAACAGTCCCCCGTTTCTCTCTCGGCGGTCCTTTTCAATTTTTTTTCCTCGTCGAGGCTCGAGTGGCCTTTGCTTTTTCTTCGGTTTTCTTGTTCTCTTTTGCTCGCTGGGAGCGGGAGGGGGCGAGCTTTCGCTGCAGCCGGCGCTGCCAGTGGTGGGTGCGCCACCACGGCCCTAGCCGCAGTATGCGCTATTCTTGCCTCGCATCGCCTTTTGCAGCTTGCTTCCTCCGCTCGCTATCGCATCTATTCATGGCCTGCGCTATCGCCTCAATGTCCCGTGCACAAGACGACGCTTCTCATGCAAGCGGCGTGTTCATTGTTGTCTGCATCACGGGCCCGATCTGTGGCGCATATCATATTTTGATATCAATGCTCCAGGCATCTGTATTGGTTAGTGTAAGAACCTACTTTGACAAAGTCATGTACATGTTCGAAGATATGGCAGGAGGTTGGCCAGAAGTAACACGTCGAGAGAAAAATATTATGCATGAAAACCTAGATCTGCAATCGTGAATTCATGCCACTGCGTGTTGACTCAAAATATCCTGGGGGGATATTGCCAGGAAAGTTGGAATGTCCCGGCAATATCCTGGAAATATCTTTTGAGGTGAATATTCTGGCGATTTTCTGGACAGGATAAGGCAAGATACGCTCACGTGATCGGCGCGCGTCGCAGTCTTCTCCATGTACTTCAGCTAACAGCTGCCAATATTGTCAATATCGACCGCATATATAGTGCTCGACCCCTTCCTCTCTCCTCTCTCCTCTCTTTCCATTGGGCCTAGTGTTCCTCACTGCCCTTGTTGATCCTGCCTTCCAGGTCCCAACCTGTCTACACTGTGCATATAGAACCAAGTTGCATTCGTCCTCCTGCGCCTCAGGTTCCTGAATGCTCCGCAAATGCAAATCTCCACCTCTTGCACCTCCGCCTACAGCTGCTGGATCTCGTTCCCCGGTTTCAAGTGCGCTTCGTGCCCAGCGCCGGCTTCAATATTCTTCGCTTTCAACTCGGCCTGTATCTGGTGCCTGCTCTTGCTCGGCACGTGCACTGCACTCCTCGGCGACCTCGGCGACCTTGCTATCGAGCGCCTCTTCCAAGCGAGCGTGCTCTGCAGCTGCTACAGAAATATTTTCGTGGAGCTCCGTCTTGGTGTTCGAGCGCGTAATCTCGAGATTCCGCTTCTTCGCCAGGAGATGCTCGCATTCTTCCTTGAGTTGGACTCGAGCATCATGCTCAGCAGCGATCTTGGCTTCAAGCTCTGTCTGACTGTTTGACTGCGACGCAGGCAACTCTCGGTGCTTTCCCTTCATCGTGCGAAGTTCCTTCTCCAGTCTAGCATAGTGCTCGCGCTCTGCGATTACCTCGGCAGTCTTCTTCTGGACATCGGAGAGAGCTTGCGCATGTGCTCCGTCGAGTGGAAGTTTGTCGGCTTGAGTGGTTCGTAACAAGTCTTCGATATTGAGCTTAGAAGTGCGTTCCTAGTCAATTCTCGCCTCAAGCTCCTTGACTAACTTCGAATGCGAGCTCCGCAGCCAGCTTCTTCGCCTGCAATGCCTCCACCTTGGCTTCTGCATCGGCACACGCCCTGAGCTCTGCGTCGGTTTCCGATGGAGCTCACTCCGAGCATGTGATATGAGCTCTTCCAGGTGCTGCTTCTCCACGAACAAAGTGTCCATCTTCTCCTGTAGAGCATCTCGAGAGCTGCGCGACTCGTTGATCTAGTGTTATCAGTGAGGGTACATCATCGCAGTGTTTGAACTCAATTTACTTACTCAGAATCGTGAACAATGTCAGCACCGAGTGGCACCTGAGCATAACCATACATAGGTAATATCGTCATCATCATTTGTGATGTCCAAGCTGACTACATGCTAGGATATTACAACACCATGGCCTTGTTCGGTGCTTCAACGTTTGGCTATGGTATGCTTCTTTACTATGATTGTATGCTCATCCGACTGATGTCATTGTAGTAGCAATCGATGATGCCGGCGGTCGACGCAGAACCTCCGCTTGTGGGGTCTGCGTCTTGAGCTAGTCACACGGTGCGTGCGCCGTTTTCACCCATATAGAGAACTTGTTAATGATGTTCTCGCATGCAGGTATCTTTGACTTTCCAGTTATCGCGCTCTGGCTCTGCTGAAGCGCACTTATGCACATCAGTGATCCAGAGCACAGGCTGTGTGTCTCTTTAATGAGTATTGCATATGCTACTGTACCATATAAGACCCTCTAGCATGTAGTAGCCTCAGGAGACAATAATATATGATTTTGTGATTTTTAATGTGGATATATGCATGCCGTAGGGTACCGGGAGCGAGCCACGAAGAACAGAGCAATATCCATGAACGTACATTGCAAGGATATCTGGCTGGATATTGCCAAAACATTGCATGGATTTCCGTTAAATCCTGGCGATATCCTTTTAAAAATCCTGGCAATATCCTTGAAGGATATCGCCAGAAAATTCAGGATATTCCTGCAATATCCTGCCGTGGATATTTGGCGTGATGTGCAGTGTGCAAGAAGTTCCTCAATATGGTCCTCATATATAGTACGCAGATGTGTCTGGCATGATTCTGCATGTGGCTCACACACATTGATGTGAGAGCTTGGCAGGCTTACTTGAGCTTCTATGTCCTCAGAATAACTGTATGCAATAGCTGATTACCACCCATCAACTGCTTTCTGTTCATGCTTTTAACGTTGAGTATCATAGTCTCTTAGCTTGGTGACCTCTACCAAGCTATCTCAAATTTGTATGTTAGGTTTGCTTCTCCATTGTTTACAAGCTCAGTGTCACAGTTTTTACCTGACAAGTCATTATGGGAGCCGATGCTATTAGAAGCATATTATTTTCATCATTTCTCGTCGCACAAGAAGCCACGTGACCTAATGAGAGATAACACCACAGACATGAAGCGATTTGCGCATGTGGCAAATGCTTAGCAAATGTCGACAGGTTTTTTGCCTTTGTGATCTCAATTTGCTACGGTTCCTTCCCACATTCCGTATTAAGTATTTGCATATAATATGTTGGAGGCAGAAATTTAATATCATATATTTAAGAAATGACACCATTTTCAAACTCACCAAATACATTTGAAATTTGAGCGCTGTTGAATGTAATCATACATTTTGAATTTCAAACTATGACATGTATAAAATATCCAGTAGCAGATGAAGGTGTAATTACGGTGAATGACTTTCATTCTAGTAATCTTGGCTAGAATGACTTCAGTAGGGAAGTAGAGTGTAGGCATAATCACACCTTCATCTGCTACTGGATATTTTATACATGTCATAGTTTGTAATTCAAAAATGTATGATTACATTCAACAGCGCTCAAATTCTAAATGTATTTGGTGAGTTTGAAAATGGTGTCATTTCTTAAATATATGATATTAAATTTCTGCCTCCAACATATTATATGCAAATACTTAATACGGAATGTGGGAAGGAACCGTAGCAAATTGAGATCACAAAGGCAAAAAACCTGTCGACATTTGCTAAGCATTTGCCACATGCGCAAATCGCTTCATGTCTGCGGTGTAAGATAAAGGCATCTAGTCACATGACCTTCGGATCTCTCTCGGCATTGTCACGTGACACCGAACTCCTCGGCATGGTGTCATATGTCGCAATCGTCATGACACCATATTGCGTGCTCAAGAGGAGCTCCGTCTCCATGGGTTATTATTAGGCAGCCAACTGTACAGTAGCATAGCAATCATGTATATAAGGACCAGCGAGACGAGGAGGAGACCTCAGTCTTATTCTCCTTCGTCCTCCACTACCATCACAGAGGGGTCTTACCAGACACTCTCAGTGTGCTATATATCTAGTATCATCCTCATTTGTGATAGCGCCCCTTGCCTCGTCAGTAAGTCTTACCTTGCGACTAGCGACTCGGCCTTGTCAGTGGGCACGTCGTATCGCCACAGCTCGTCACTGTAGGCTATCAGCCAGGAGACCCTCAAGGGGACTCCTTATTTTGGTTGTCTATCTTTGTCATCGGCGTGCTGTGATATTAGAATAAGACTGACCTTTTACGCCCCTACCAAGTGTCTAACACTGGTAGCCGCACATTTTCACCCAGAGATACATACGCCCAGGGCAGGGCTTTTTCCACACCACTTCCTTCATACCACTCCACGTCGCCTCTACCACCTAAGCCGCTCCCTTCCTTCAAAAGGAACAGCGCTGCATCGACCGGTAAAGCGCCGCAAGTGCACAACGGTATCGTTTCGCCCAACGGACGCTACCACCCTTACCAACGCGATCCCTGTCGCACTCTTCGTCTAACGGCAAGCAACCTACTCCGAGCCAAGCCCGACGACTATTGCTCAGACCTACAGAAGCTTCACTCTAAGGTCAGCTCGTGGGCCGAAGCAATCCCCAGAGATGCATCTGACCCATCCGTCCCCATTTACAAACCATACTGGTGGTCTAACAATGACGCCACTGCCGTCCTCGCCTTCGCACTTTCTCAGGACTATCATTCTCACGGGATCCACGAGAACCCCAAAGGCACACTTCCCGACAACATTGCGCTGACTGTACATGCTACTATCCAGCGTTACAAAGTCTTGCAGCAGCCTCACATCGCTGCCAAGTTCACGGAAGCACAGATCCAGTGTCGCGATCGCATTCTGCGACATCTAGGAGCCTTGAACGAAAGGATTGGACGAGGCGACAACTTCACATTCGTCGATAGACGCATCGCTATCAAGCTTTGCGTAGGACTAGGGAAGATTTCATTCAGAGGAATCAACAAGGAGCAGAAACGCGTAGGAAGAGACATTGTGAGGTTCGAGAAGGAGTCGTGCTACTGGCCATACTAGGACCAGTAATATCCCTGTACTACCGTCAGCAGTTTCATGCCCCGGTATCAAGTCGGCTTTGTATTCAGAAACTACGTGGTCGAGCACTACATCACCAACCTCTATCATCATCTGGTGTGCACAGGGTACTTCATCTATCAACCCCTACTATCAGAAGCGATCCATCCCACTTTATCATTATCCGATTGACATCGAACGCCGAATCACCCTGCACACACCTTTTCGACTCATTGAAACAGACATCGAGATAATCGATCCAGTCCGCGAGTGGATAGAAAACGCTTACTGGGAACGTCTTGCTCGGTTGTATCAAGAAGACGAAGAACTCTTCTGGACAAACTGGTACAGAGACTTTTCAGAACAAAGACACCCTCGCCCAACAAGACTAGAAGAAGCTGCAGCACGAAGGAATCGTGTCATCGAACTAGCACGCTTACTGGGAGCCAATAATCAGCTCCAGTAAAAAAGCTCATCATTTCAAACACACTCTCCGCCGCCTCTTTTCCATTATCTTCAACATCGATTCCCATGTCTCAGTACAACCTTGGCGGTGTTGCGTTCCCAGGAGGACATACTGCCAGTGAACCTTCTGACCCATGGAGGAGTAACGCCCCCTCCACATCATCTGAAGCAGGACCAGCTGCCCCTGCGGAAGAACCCCATAACAGCAGCACACCCAAGGTGTCGGGAGTAGTCAGAAACCCGTCGCCCACCACCCTGCCAGCATTCTCCACACCTCAGACTTGGGAATGGCAGGGAGTTCCTTACACAACCATCGAAGAAGCCGCCAATGCCGCCGCACCCAACACCATCCCAAACGACGTTAAGGAATGGGTAATGAACGTGGTACGATCATTCGTCATGAGAGACGTTGTAAGCTCATATGAAGCCTTACGTCAAAAGATGGATGAGCGTCACGAGCGCACTGTGGCCTCATTGGAAGATGAAGTACTGGCTCGAATTCACGTCGGAATAATGGCAGTAGAAATACGAGACCAGCTAAAAACCGCAAGAGCCCAGATCGGCACCCTCTCCGCCGACAACGAACGGCTCATCAAGGCAAACAACAGTCTGACACTCGAAGCCCAAGCAATTCGCAAGGACTTCGAAGACTACAAAAATGAGATAAAGGGTCAGATGGACGCCCTTTACGGCAACATGGTCGCCCTGAAGGAGGCTCAGGAAAAGACCACCACCTACATCGTTGGCTTAGAGTCCCGACTCAATAATGCCATTATCAACGCGCCTCCCCAAGGTATCCAACAACCGGCCAATCAATCCAGCCAATCACCCCGCCGAATTAAGCTCCCCGATCCACCCAAATACTCGGGAAGGAAATCATCGGAAAATTTCGAGACTTGGTTCACGAACCTCCTCATCTGGCTCGATTACAATCACTTCACTGATGACAAGGACAAAATTCGGCAGGCCAACGCACATCTAGAAGGAGGAGCCGCTCTATACATGAAAGAGTACACAATCAAGCTCGCCTCCGGACAAGACGTTGGCACATGGGCAGAATACACCAGGAAACTGGAGATGGCATACAAGATGCTTGACCCCAAGCGCACGGCACAGTCCCTGCTAGATGCACACTGTGCAATTCGTCACAAGACAATGATCGCCTTCGCAGAGAATTTCAGGGCTTACGCCTTCGAATCAGGATACTCTGACGAAGACCTAATTGTCAAAATCAGGGAACAACGGTCGATCCACATTCAGACGGTCATGTCAGTAACGGAGACTCTGGACCCCTCGAAGATTCCAACCACCTGGATGGACTATCTCGAGTTCTGCCTGGAGATCGAAATCAAACATCTCCAACAAATCTCAGGCAACAAGCCTACAGGACAGACCATGACGACCAAGGTGACCGCTCCCAAGGACCCTAATGCAATGGACACAAGCACACGAATCGCACATGAACTATCCCTGGAACAGGACAGATGGCTGGCAAACAAACTATGTTTGTTCTGCGGAAAGCACACCTATGAACGAGGAAAGCGGTGCCCCTTCCCCAAGCCAGAATACAAGGGCAAGCAGTTTCAGACACGATCCGCCCCGAAGCAAGGGCAAGGAAAAGGGAAGGGCAAGGCGACGAACGTGCGACAGGTGGAAGAAGAAAGTAGCGCGGGCTCATCAGCTCAAATTGCGGCATTGGAGCAAGCAATTGCTGCACTTCGCGGGATGAGCACAACGTCGACTACACCACCATCCAGTAAAGGCAAGGGCAAGGCAAAGGCGCACAGTGTGGACACGGAGTCAACTATATCGGCATCAACAGTTAAGGACACCAATGCGAGAATCATCGAGATAGACGATTTCTCAGAGGATTTTCAGTACGAAGTGTAGACGAGTCTGGTGTCACACTTCAGGACAATTGTATTAGTACTGTGAGAACGAATGTACCTAGCGACCACATATATATTGCATCCGCGGATTTTTCTAAACATTCGATCGAATTGCCGATAAAATTCGTATCATGGCAACGGCCTTACTGGATTCTGGAGCATTCTCTTGCTATATCGATCAGAGATTCGCCGAGAAACACGGGTTTAAGATGATACCTCTAAACCACGAAATCAGAATCCTCAACGCAGACACCAGTCCCAACAAGGGTGGCGCAATTACTCATCGTGTAGTCACAAGCATCTTAATCGGGGGGCACCGATCAACCGAGAGTTTGCTCGTCACAAACCTTGGACGCATGTCAATGATCCTCGGCATGAAGTTCTTACAAGAACATAACCCCCGAGTTGACTGGGAACATAGAGAGGTCACGTTCTCAAGATGCAGACACACGAGGAAGCAACGAGTCAAAGTATGTGAAGAAGAAGTCAACCTTCTATCGCAACCTCAGTGTTATGAAGTGTTCCCTGCTAGAACGTTCAGAACCACGTGTGCTTTCTCACA